AGAGACTTTATCAAACCATCCACTGCTATGTGTTTTGCTCTATAATTACCTCCTGTACATTTTCATTAACCTTCAAATTACCAATGTAGGGAATAATAATACTAGTGTACTTAAATAAGAGTTTATATGTTAGGACTATATATATACCAAATATAAATATAATAATCCTAAATATTTTGTCTACAGTAAGCTGATATTAGCTAAAGTAATATCTACTAATATGAACAGAAAGATATTTAGATACTTTCATGGATCAATACTTACTAGGTACTAGACTAGTATGATGTATATAGATTTATTCTATAACTACTCAGGTACAACTTGAAACTCTAAACATCAAAGTACTTCCCTAGCCTTTTACTTACCAGTAATAGTAGAGTAGTTATATTGATCTGATTATTATTTCTTGGGTACTGTTTTATCTTTAAACCTTTCAACCTTTTAGTAGTAGTTGTAATAAATAGAGTCAGTAACTCTTCCTACTATAAATATTTTCATGATTTAAGACCCCACCTGACTTTAGTTTGTTTTACTTACTCTTAGCATTAGCTATTACCTAATATTGTCTTATAGGAGTCAGAATATGAAGCAACCAGCTTAAAGTTTCTACCAGCTGATTGCAGGCTTAAAGAAAATTCATAAAAGTAAAGAAAGAGAGGAAACAAAAGACTTAAAAAGGAAATGTGACAGGAAGAAAAATTAAAATTAAAAATTTGCAAAGTTCTGGTGATGATACCATATATCAGAAGTGCATTCCTGATGGTTGTATCAAGCCAAAGTGCAGAGGCCCATAACCCAGCGGACGCATGAGGTGGACGGGGGGGGGGGGAATTAATGTATTTCCTACATAACTATGGTACAATCGAGGCCATATACAAGCAAAAGTACATGGTCCCCCGAGCGTCTCTCCTTGCACCCCAGTTCACCCAAACCCTGAACAACTATACACGAGGGCAAACCCTCCCGTGCCACCCGATAACATGCCTGAGGTCTTCTCCGACATGAAGGCCACACAGATTTCTCCTGCTTATCGAGCTCTCGCAAGGGGGACCTATCATAGAGCTCTTCCTGTTCCTAAGGGTGGAAGCCTAGGATAGTCTAAGGCCCATCGTCCACGGCCGAAGCTTGGTTTTGAAGAGATTATCGTCAGATTGTATGTAATTTCAAACCGCTTACGCCAAAATTCCCCAAACTTGTTATTTTGAAAAAAAAAAGAAACGGTCCAACGGGGGGGGGGGGGTTCTTCGGTATTGGCAATTTGCCACCCCCTCAAAAAAAAACCCCTTTGAGGTCCGAGCGCATTACATTATACACTGCACTGTTAATCCGGTTTTACTGGGGTATTGTGCTAATATATTGTGGTGTACCTTAGCGGATCTAGGGGAATATCCTTACTTGTGCGCACAGCTGGACCGGACCGTTGGAGCGTTTCTATCAAATTTTTGTTTATCTGGGATGTATGATATCTTGATCTCGCTCGGGTCTGCGATGTCCAGAGGGCTGGCAGGGACCGGGAATTCATCGTCTGAAGGGTGGGAGGGAATCCGGGTTGCCCTTTTTGGGTCCTTTGATCGCCATGGATCAGGTTTACAATATGCGAATACAGCACAGATAAAAAGGGGGGGGGTCTCGTTACTAACGTATCATATCATGTCCTTCGTTCTCTGAATCAACTTGGGATTTCGAGCGCAGAGACTTGGGGGAGAAAAAAACCCTTGCTCTTTGTGATTAACTGTGATCCATGTCTGTATATGCCGTGCTACACCCCCCGGATTAACCTTTATTGCTCCAAGTGCGAGCTAGGATTTCCTGGGTGAGAAGGAGTACGAGTACGAGTACTGTACGAGTACAGTGCCGGGAGGTAGGTCCTTGTATCTTATGCCTAAGGTCCAAGCATCCACACACTCCCTCAGGTTACCGTACTGTAGGCATGGAAACTCACACCCTAAAATGGCAGCAAATAAACTTAACAAATTGTTTATTTTAAGGGCTTCTCACATTTTTTTTCCGGCGCAAAGCTTCATGAAAGGGATCGTGGGTGCCTTCGGCGCCTAGGGAGAGGGGGAGATTGTCCCTGACCCCTCCGAGATGCTTGGTTGAGAGCACTCTATTGCCTTGTCGTTATTGTCGGAACTCTGGCTGTGGGAGGAGTGGTGGGAAGAAGAAGGAAATGACTGAAGCTCACAGAACCTTCGCTAGTATGATGCGAACATTTTTTTTTTTCACTAGTGAGGTATGTGGGGCCGGACCACCACCACCACAAAAATGTCACCCAGCACAGCGGGGAAAAGCCTAGGGATAAGGGGGAAAGATCTCTTTAGCACCCGTCGTGCCTTACTAATGGATCTTCGGTGCTGGGGGGTGGGGCGGGAGTTCACCGAATGGGGTGGATTATCGTTTTCGCAAATGGAGAGGATATTGCAGTTCGCCGTACAGGTACTGTACTCTACAAGGTGGTTTGTCGCTTCCTGCGCACAGTGCCGTCGCACCCGGTTGTCGCAGATTTCGCTCTACCAAATGCTTTATCGTCCGGGACACTTTTGCCAATGTTTGTCCGAGACGCATAGAAATACACCTCACCTCCTGCCTCAAGTTTTCTCCTTTCTTTCGATTGGATAGGAAATTTAAAAGTCTCTAAACCCCCACGGACATATCATAAGGAATATCTTTGGTGTTCTGGGCTTTGACTTTATTCTAGCTTGAACCCTAGCGTCACGGCCTTCAAAGTCATGACTGATACAGACAGGTCAATTATTTCCTCCTTCTCCTCTTTTTGCTCTTCTTAATCGCACCCTCAATACTTGCTAGTATGATACAGTCTCTGGCATATACAAGCTCTAGATTCTGGTTGATTCTTGCCAGGGGACTGGCTGTTTTGGGATCGGGGAGAGGCATCAAAACTTTTTGCTCCCGTGGGATGGCCTGGTATGTGGCATCGTGGGGAGGAATTTTTAATGAGAGGAGGAAGTCGTATATTGGGTACCATCAGACTGTTTATTGAAATTTTCAGGTCATTCCACTTATCTTTTGTTTTGCTGCTCTACCCCTCATTGAGACCTTATATGAAATGACTACTAATCATCGCTTCCTAATTATCACTTGATTTTCAGCCTTTCAGGGAGGATTCTGTCCACCATTTCACTCTCCCGGGTGTTTTGTTGCCCTAGGTGGTCTACAATATCGGCAGTTCCGACCTGCCAACCGGCACTTTACTCACACCGGTTTAAAAAAAATGTTCCGATACCACTGCCCTACCGTACTGTACTGTACCATCAACGACGATATGTATCATTTTACCAGTAAAACTCCAAACCGACTCCACCTTCGGAAACTCCGCCAGATTAGGACCCCGCTCTCTCTTCCTGAGAATGGACGTATAGCAAAATGCGGTTACGGTATAATAAGCTACGATTTCAATCGAGCAATGGAAGTGATAATTCCCTTCACGCTGCGAACTGCAATATCGCTTCCAAAATTGTGGGGAGAAAAACCGTAATTCCCCGAAGACTATTAAAACCTGGACAAGAGAGAGAAGCGCAATTTGTCTCCGGGCGTCGAGAATTTTTTTTTTTTTTCCCCACTCCGAGAAATGCGCTGTCCTATTAATCCCGCTGGTGTTCCCCCCGTCCCCGTCCCCGTCGCCGTTCGAAATACTCGGACGTTCTTGACTTTACCCAAGGTGGTACGGCACTTGGTGCGGCGAACACTGTTATCACTTCACTCTCAGCGGAGGAGGGAGGGGGAAGGGGATTTGTTGGAGGGGTCGGGACGGGGCCTTTGCCACGCAGTTTTTTTCTACTTCTCCTTCAGTTTCCCCCCCCCCCCTTTGTTCCTGGAATATTTATCCCCATGCATCATATATCTCCGTACCATACTAGGAGGAAGAAAGAAAGAAAGAAAGAAAGAAAAGATATCATACTGGGAAATGTATCGACCAAGAGCGGAAAAAAAACGTATGATAACCTAATTACTATACGGAATAATGTTGGTTCTTCTTCGCCCGTTAATTAGTAAATTGGAAAGTCGTGCCTAATGTGCTACTTTCCCTTTCCGACCTTTTTCCTTACGGTGCCGGACAAACGAACGAATGAATGAACGAACGAGTGCTGTGATGGCTATTTTTGATAAGAACTTCCGGAACCCCCCGAGGCTATCATAATATAATAATCATGTATGATATAGTGTGCTCGCGAGGGAGTTTGGGTTCGGGATTGGGATTGGGATTGGGCTTTGGGGGGTCGTTATCCCTTCTTGCTACAAGTATTATCAGAACTCACTTATCATACTCTGGAAAGAGCAGGGATGGGTGAGAAAAAAAAAGGAAAAGGAAAAGCAGTTCACGGGCTGGGTCCCACGCGCTCTGACTCCTTAGAATGTAATTCATTTGCTCGGGTATCCTATGTGTAGTGTGCTGTGCTGTACTAGTACTGTGCTCGTAGCTGAGCTATGACCCGGTGTAGTAAGCAGCCTTCCATTCTCCCTCCTTCACTTCCTTCCTTCCTTCCTTCCTTCCTTCCTTCCTTCCTTCCTTCCTTCCTTCCTTCCTTCCTTGTCGTAAGGTGTCATACCAGTGCTGTATTATACTTCTCCGCCAATCATATCATACACTGCAATCCCAACGGTCCATCGCGGCAAGGAAATGATTCCCGGAAATGAACGCAACGGAAAAATCATACAGTACCCGGAATCGCAAAAATTATGTTGCTACTTGTAAGATGATTACTGTGGCGCCCCAGGGCGTGGAGGGGCCGAACGGGAGGGTAAATTATTCGTGGACTCTAAAATTATGTCCCTCGAGTGCCATCATATCTGATATAGTAAGGTAGCCAGCTGGATGGCTGACTAACCCATGTGCCGCATTCGTCTTTCCTTCCTCTTGCGGCTGGAAAAAAAGAACCAAAGGCGGGATGTGATGAAGATTGGGCACGATTGGGCTGAGGTGTGTAGCGGGAGGAGGGGCATTTGTACCCGCGTTGGGCAGGTAACGGTATCGTGCTGCACTCGTATGGGCGTGGCGGGACGGCCAACCGGTGCTGGAGAGCCTGGAAATCATATCCTAACCTTTTCTCCTATCGTAAATTAAATAGTGAACCAGTGCGATACTGTACGAGTATAATGAGCTGTCGGTCGGCTGCCGCGTTGACTACTTGTGTCTAGGAAAAAAGAGGGCCCGGCCCCATTTCCAATTCACGTAGAACTATAGCCGAGTGATAGCAGAGGGAGGAAAAAGGAAAAGAAAAATTTAAAATACGAAAAACATGCAAAAATGTGCAGGAAAAAAGAAAAGGGAGACAGAGCCCCGGCAATACTTTACTTTGCTACTACTCCTTATCCTTCCCGAACCCCTTCCTCAGCGATCCTGTCGTGTACAACAGCCCCTCATTGAGGATCTTTACATCTCCCACATAACGAACCTTGGAAATTTCCTCCGAGACCGCGCGGGCAGTCTTGTCGCCCTTTGTAGTGTTTTCCCACTCGTTGTTTGCGGCGAGTGTTATGTGCTGTAGCAGTGGAAAGTCGGAGGTGGCGGTGGTGGAGGAAGGAGCTAGGGATACCCAGAACGAACTTGAGGTAGGGTCAACGGTTAGGTCTAGGGGGTTTCCGGGTAGTGGGATTGTGGTGTGGTGGGTTAAGGCTTGGTATTGGGTGGCGAAGAGGATGAGGGCCGGGATTCTGTTTTGGGGGTAGGTCAGCATGTGTAATAGATCGCTGATATGACCCAATACGGGCGCCCGAGGCACAAGGTGGCGGAGATGATGCGGTGTTGGGTAGGAGAGGGGAGAGACAAAATGTGCAAGTGGTACCAGAAAAGCAAATAAAGTTATGGGAATTTGGGTGCGGTGCTGTCGCCCACCCGGTTCTTCAAAAGGAAGGAACAGAGTGGTATGATGTACCTTTCAAACGCCACGATAATAGCCTTCCTCTCGGGCACCTCCCAAATCCCCACAACAGCTGGCTTACACACCTCTTCCTTGACCTTGTATCCTCCCTCCTGCCCTTCCGTCCCCTCCCTACTACTGCCACTGTCACCACCTTCCTTCCCGACTGCAACCTTCCTTCCAACAATCTCCTCCAACACCCTAGCAACCTCAATCCTCTGCAAGCACTTCCCGTCCGCCCATCTCCACCTCCCCAACCAAACATCCCCCCCACCAGAAATCACCTCTTGCGGTGCCCACCCCGGCACCAAAACCTTTGAAACGAACGCTGTATGTCCCAGGCAGAACCCCTCAATCACCCAACTCTGTGGGTACCTTGAGACCCGTATGTGTTCGTCCCTATCCGCTGTTATGATATACTTTCTCTTCTGCCCCTCCCGTGTGGTGGTGGTGACTGATAGCAGGTCCGTCAACATGGATACGTGCCCTAGGAGGAGTTTGTGCGCGAAAGGTAGGTCATGGATGATTTCTGTGCGGTGGCGCTTCGATCCCGAGTCTTTGGGCGTGGTTGCGGGGGGCACGGCGGGGGCGGCTTCTGGGGAAAGGAGGAGTGGGAGCGAGTATACGTCACCGAATTTATCGGCGACGAGGATTGTGGTGTCGGAGTCCGTGAGTGCAAGGGCGCAGGGTCTTTTGGGCATTATTCTATTTGTTTTTGTGAATTAGCTATTATAGAGCTTGCAGATTGATGTGGGGAGGGGGGCGTTAACACCTAGAGCTCAATTCCGCCAATCCGTCACCATCTAAAACCCTCACAGCCTTATCCTCGTTCGTAACAGTGACGATGTACTTCCCGGCCCGGGCGGAAATTATCCTGCTACTGTTGTTATTATCACTCCCTTCCCCCTCTACATCTTCCTCTTCCTCTCCCTCCTCCTCCCCAGTGTCCTTCACTTCCTCCTCCCCCTCCACGCCTTCATCCCCACTCTTCCGCTTCTTTCCAGCAACGTTACCACCATTTCCGTTATTCTTCCCCCCCTTCTTCTTCTTCACTTGTCGCACAGCCGCAGGCGCGGTCCATTTCGCTAACGACTCACCTATGCGCGCGTTGAATGAATGGATGTGTGGACCTGTGCAGGTGTATAATGTGCTAGTTTCGGGGACATAGAGGAGGCGTTGAATTGGATGCTGCATTTTTTATATACTTTTATTTCAAGCAATTGATGAGGTAGGCGGTAGTGGTGGTTGGGTTGAGTCAAATCGAAGGTTGGGGGCAATTACGAAGGAGGCTCTACGTGGGGCTTTTTTTCTAGCGGTAGGTGCCAAGGAAGCTTAAGTCGGGATGCATGGGGTATCACTCGATAGTGGCTATCAATTGGGGTCGTTTGGTAACCATACAGAGGCCAAAACACACCAAGATTGCCAGTTTTCGAGCCACCTTTACTCAACCACCATAGGTAGGCAGAAATAGTATAGAAAAAAAAAAAAGCGATTTGATGCAACGAAACCCACACAAAAAGTATGAGATTTTTTTCCTTCTATTCTATTCTTCTAGAGTAGTGAGATGTGGAATGTCTTCCCCCACCAGGTATCTGCCAAGACTAGGATTTTTCTATGGGACAGATATATTGCAACTGACCTCGCCTGGCTCGTATGCCCATAGCTCCGTAAAAAACTCTAGATAAAAACCTGAAATAAATATGTATCATACCACAGACATGCTAAATATTTTCAAACCTTTTCCTATACTACTTCCGCCCATGGTGGTTGAGTAATGACAGCCCAAAAACCCGAAATCTTGTTTTGTTTCGGCCTCTGTATGGTTACTAAACGACCTCAAGTGCCCATTGGCGGGATCTGGGGCCAGTACTGTTAGAAAACGTTTGATACTGCTCTTAACGATTTCGAACAAAGACCACTTCAACTATCGCCGAAACAGCGCTCCTGTAGCTACGAAATCCCAAAAGATATAAAGGGGCAATGAAAACAAAATCACATTTTACCACCAATGTGGCCCACCACTACCCCACTAGCCTGCGTTCCTATACTTATATCTGAATAGTGTTCAACCGGATTGAGGCCAGGTGAGAGTAGTATCCATTCCACCCTGTGAATGCTATCCCGTAGACGGAATTATGATGGTATACAAATATACGAGAGCCGGCACCACCTCCCGTAGCATGACCGCCCACCCCTCTTTAGACCTCCGCACTGTTGATAGGACGGCAAAAGGTGCAGGACGAGAATCCCACGAACATACTACTCAGAATCGAAGCCAAGTTTGTCCTTTCCATCTTTCCGCTCCCCTCCGCCACGCTTTCGAAGTATCATAGAATCAATGGTATTTGATGGCCATGTGGGGGAGCGCAGCCCAGAAGATCCAACAGAGATTGGTTCTCTGGTAAAAATAAGGTGCAGATTCACCATCTTGTAGGCAGCATTTTTCTTGCACCCGCTTAATGTTTCACCCCACCTACACTAGATATACGCCAAATCTTGAAAAGATTCCTTGCACACTGCGCTCCTTCTGCACCACCTCTTTTCCCCCCCAGCCACGTTTTGCGCCGGGGAAAGCAAAACAGGGCGAGACGCTCGGCGCAGATATCTGCCATCAGTGCAAGGTTTGAGCTTCAGGCCAGCTGCTTGCATGACACCGGACGGTGTATATCGAGGATGTACTGTATAATACTAAACATCGGATACTTTCCCCCGTTCAAATCTGTCTTCCGCCCAAGCAGTCAGCGGCGGAGGACCAAGTCCAGCTCTTCCCCTCTCTAACCAATATCTAAAGATATATATAAAGCAGCACCTCCCAAAATACCCTTTCCCTCCCAGGAATTGACCAATACCTTTTCACCCTCTGCTCCAACCTCGATCATTCGTATCATACCCTCTCTCACACTTCATGCCACAGATTCTCTCGCAGGGTGCAGGCAGCGCTCGTAATACCCTCCCGTCATACACCACCAATGCACCACTGCCCTGCACACAGCCGAACCTACCCATGTTTTTCCTTTTTCCTCTTTCCTTCTCCTGTCAGCATTCCAATCACCTTTACAAGCATTCCTTTCCCAAAACATAAGGCATCAGTGACCAAGGTTATATTCTATGACACCACCCTCCCAGTGAGGGTGTGTATTCATCCTTCCCAAATGCTCTCACCCCCACCATGGAACCTCCCAATCAATTAACACTTCACCCATATCACGAGGAACACTACAGATGATTCAACAGGATCTACCTCATACTGTACAAATCCGATCCAAACATAACCCCCCCGCCCCCCCCTGGAAACCATATCCACAATCAAAATTTCCCCTCACTGACAGGGAACCCTACCCCGTACAGGTATGTCATAACGCTCCAAGCCTTATGTGATGATACCACCCCGTAACTATACTCACACAAAGGGTCCTAACACCTCCCACTTCCCCACAGACATCGTTTCTAAACCCCCCCCTCAAGTATAATATCATACAAGCGCAGTACAGTACAGTACAGTGTAGTGCCAGCCCCCTGGATCATCCAATGATAAGATAATCCATTGGTGATGTGGTGGAGATTAACCCCACACCCCCTTGGACTCCTAACAATGAATTAATCAATTGCACGGGGGTCGACCACTTCCCGCCGCCCTTTCCCTCCAGACCGTCACCGCACTTTGGCAATGGCCAGGATATCAAACGGGGAATCACAAAGTAAGTTACAAAAAACTGAAATCTGGCAGCAAAAATTCCCCGGCTCAAGAGGTTAGTCGTCGCACAGCCGCCGGTACGCCACTTGTATAGGTATGCAAGTAGAGACATACAGTACGGGCACAATACCCATCGGACGCGCGCGGGCTCATCGCATGGCAAGAAGGTAAATTATCATACTGCGATGTGATATGCCTTGGGGCATTGCATCTTAGACTACCCTCCCACGCCACGCCGGGTCGTGGATTATCGAGTGAAGGGAGGTTCGGGACAGGTAGGGGGTCTCCGTATTCTAGGATAGGATAGGGGCGGACAGGCTCTATGCGGGGTGCTCGCATGTCTGGATGTTCGTGACTAGAGGGGGGGCGTGTTGATTGGATGGGATGAATTAGGGGTGCATTTTTGTATCACAGTGGATCACTCGCGGAATTAATGCGCGGCGAGTGAGCATCTTGAAAACTCCCATTCCGCTGGGCCAACCCTCCTTTAGGTAAATAATGCACCGCTAAGCATCACTTAATTATCATCAGATTCTTATAATAGAATGTACACCAGATCTAATCTATCGCACCTAAACAGCAGTAGCAAAAAAAAAAACACCTTCATGAGTGATCATTGAGCTATTTACATACATTACGATATTCATCTAGCCCCAAGAAGCCCCGCGCTCTCCCCCTCCCCTTCCTCCTCTTCGCTTTCCCCTTCCTCCTCACTCTCCTCCTCTTCACTTCCCCCCTCCTCTTCCTCATCATCATCATCATCATCATCATCATCATCATCATCATCATCGCTTTCCTCCTCCTCCTCCTCGCTCGCCAAAAAGTCTTCCAAGCTCTCCGGTGCCCAATTCGCTTTCACAGTCGGCTGCAGCGCTGGACTCCCAACCCGAGGACTTCCTATATGTGGACCTCCAATCCGTGGACTAGCACTCCGAACTCCAGCACCCCTAGCAGCAGCAGCGGAAGACAAAGACATGACGCCTCCTCCTCCCTGTGTATCTATACCCGGAGCTGACGAGGGGGGAGGTTCGCGCAGACTAGGGCTCGGTGCTCTACTCAGTGTGGTCCATTCTGGTAGCGCCTCGTAGCCGCGGACGTCTTCATCTTTACCTACGACCATTGCTGCAGAGCCCAGAGTGAATGACTCTCTTCCCGAGGAAGGGCTTGGTGCTTGGGGTGTTGGTTTGGGTGCTAGAAGGAGGAGAGTTGCAAGTTGTGTGGATGAGGGGACGGAGAGTATGGATTTGTAGAGTCTTGCTCGGTCGCGGAGGTCGTAGGATAGGTCGAATCTAGCTAGGAGGAGGACGTAGGAGAATAAGAGTGAGATGGGATGTTTGTCCTCATCGTCCTGGCTTTCTCCCGTGGGGGCAGCGGGCTGAGTGGAGTTTAGGTGGTGAGCATAGACCTTTGCAGCCAGGAGTACAATCTGTAACTTTGCTTGTTCAGACTCTGAGTGGAAGCCTTTCGCGAGGATCCGGAGTGTGTCGGCAGCGACGTTATTCCCGCCGTTAATTCCGGCGAACTCTCCTACCAGCCACACTATACTCGACCGGGCACTCGGATTAGTTGCTGTATCTAGAGCCTTTGCCAGCCGAACTACGGTTTTCGCATGGTTTTGGGGGTCTTGTTGAATGATATGTCGTATCACGGTTAACGATTCTGCCACTAGAGTTCCATCAGAGGACTCAACTTGGCGAAGCAGCAACCGCAGACATCTTGCCGCATTCTTTGTCTGACTCTGTGCACATCGACCAATTGCCCTGACAGCTTCTTTTACCAACTCTTTATCGTAGCCTTTGGCAAAGTACTCCAGCTCAGAGAGTATTAGGTTCTTCGTATGGATATCCGTATGTGGAAATATGAGTGTAAGGACTTCGAGCTTCAAGCGCCAGATATGAGCTAGATCCGAGGCGTGTACAAGGAAATGTGTGGCGAATTGGGTGAATGGTCGGGGATGTTCCAGAGCGATGGAAACTATGTTTACGAGAGCCACGTGCTGCACATCAACTGCAGCCCTTAGAAGACTGACCAAGGGACCAGCAACAGTGGACAAGCAATCTGGTGGCGCTAGGTGTCGATATACCCTAGCCACGGCCACGATAACCTGCATCTCGTTAGCTTAGGTATAAAAGAGAAGATATGAGATGACAATACCGCACTATTCCTGCTCTGCGTTAGAGGCACACAAGACTTCAACAGCAACTCCAAATCCGGATCCATCACTGGAACCACCTCAATATCCTCCCCTCCAGGATCCCCCTCCACCTCCTCATCGGAATAGAAACCCCCAACGCCCCCGGCATTCCCACCCTTGACTTTCCTCTTCTTCGCCCTCCTCGCAGGGAAATGCCTCCTCGAGTACTCGGTTAAAAGCCGCAGCAACGCTAACTGACCCCACTCATCCATATCAATCAACATCTTCACCAAAGACCTGTAATGCGGGTGCACCAATTCCCACTTGTATGGACACACTTCCAAATACGCCATCACCGCCGCACCGACAACGTAGAAACTCCGGTCCCCCAACAGCGTGCCCAGGTACTCCGCCAATTGCGGTAAAGTGGTAGGATCCAACCGGTAGCATTTCGGAATCGCCAACGCCGCGGATTTGCGCACGTAGGCTGACATATCCGCCACGCAGCGTTTTATTCCTAACGCTACGATCTGGGAAATCACGGGGACGCGGATCCCGGATATGACGCGTATGGCCATAGCTCTCACCAGCTGATTCTGATCATTGAGGGCTTTTTGGATGGTGTTTATCGATAGCAGGGCTAAATCCGGCTCGGACTCGGCGTACCGGAGTAGGTAAATGTATACTAGCTTCTTGATTTCCAGAGTCGGAGAAGCAACGTTCTTGACCACGTCCGCGAAAAATTCGGAGCAGTCCATCCCTCTGGACATCATCTGTCAAGGAGCCCCGTTAACAAAATAAATAATACTCATCGGTTACTAAATAGATTCAGAAGCCCTACACCTATAACCATCCGTAGCCCATCCAGAACTTCCTTGTCCATCCTGCTATTCAGCAGCTTCCTCGTCTCTGTCGACATTCCCTGTCCCCCATCTCTGCGGATAGTCCGGCCGGAGGCTGATGCTGCTTGTGCTGCCTCGAGGGTCAGATCCCGTGCGGTCTCGAGAATTGAGGAAATCCGGGAGAGCGACTCCATTTTTTGGTGGTGGAATCGGGGGGTGGATGGCAGGAGGTGTGGGTGATGCGGGGCGGGCTCGACACCACGATATGCTTCCCTGAGCTAACTACCGGTAGTTTCAGAGTTGAGGCTGAAAGTTAATAATCAACACCAGCTCTGGCTTACGTCAGCGCCCCTTGGATAGAATGCGACTCGGGTCAAATTTCAATAATTAAGGTTTTACTACCGGTATGAGAGTTACGGTCTGGTAGGGGTGATCCGTGGTCCCCGGTCGCATCGCCCGGTGGCAAGCTTTCAAGGAAACACTACCGACTTATGGGGAGCGCATTCCCCCGTGCATTTGTACAACTAGTTGCTCTAACAGAATTGATTTGCCCCACACGAGTGATATATTATGAAGAAACCAATTCCCTTGGTGATCCACTATCTCCATGCCGTACCCTAACGAATTTGCCAAATAAAAACGACCGCCCTCTATGAAACAGAAAACCCTAAACTATCTATAATGAAAGCGACAAATTTGTTTAATTAATCTCCCACTATGATAAGCGGGTCCCTCCACACATCCAAGACCCCCTCATACCTACTCCGACCTCTTCCCCACCGTTGGTAGCAAAAACCAAATTCCCTCCATTGCAACAAACATCCCAATACTAATCGGATGCAAAACCCAAGCACCGAATTTACTCGCTAGCATACCCGTCGTAAAGGGAGCAATCGCACCGCCCGAACTCCCAAAAGCAGAAATAAAAGTCAAGGATGAGACGTGAAGTCTCCTATCAATAAGCCTCGTAGTAACAGTCATGACGCACGGGTATAGTGGGCCAAGTAGCAAGCCGACAAGAGCGACGGAGACGGCGTTAGAGATAATGTTAGGGATTGTCCAGACGAGGATTTGGAATACGATCGAACCTGCGGTTAAGATGAATACGGATGGGCGCTCACCTATGCGAGTGCAGAGGTGGCTAAGGACAAGGCGACCGGCGGTTATTCCGGCCCAGAAACCGGAGGCGACATACCCAACTTCGGCAGGGTCCCCGGCGCGGGCGGTGATTAGGAAGGAGACGGTCCAGCCCCCGATGGCTACTTCTGCGCCCTATTCACTCCTTTTAGTGACGGGATAGGAGAGGAGCGAGCGAGGAGGTTTACCTGATAAGCAAATATGAATATCGCAGCCATAAGAGTGTATTTGTTCCTGATACTCTTCCTAAGGATATCCTTCGTAGATAATACACCCGTGTTACCGCTTGGGCGAGGGATAGGCGTGCTATCCTTCTCGCTGTTCCAGAAGGCGTACGTCGCCAGGCAGGAATTGAACACGGCAATCCCCAAGAGCAAAAGATAGAACCTCGACCAAAGGATCCCACGGGAGACCATCGCTGTAGCAATAAGCGGGGATATTGTTCCACCAAGCCCATATGCACCTATCCACCCACTCGCAACACATCAGCACAACTCCAGAAACACCACACCTCACTCGGCTAAGAACCCTCAACCTACCATGTACATAACCAAAAGCAGTCGTACTCCCTGCCAAACTTGACGCAAAAACATTACACTGTGCCAAAATCTATCCCTCCGCTCTCCCCCTCCATCAGTACAACCCATCCCTACATCATATAGGCCAACTCTCTTAGTTCACTCACCAAACTCATCCCCCCACCCGTCAAGAAAAAACTCATCACAACAGCTCCAAAGGGTGGGGTGACAGCAACCACCACATACGCCAGCACCATCATAAGTACCCCCACAAGAACCGTCCTCGCTCGCCCAACCCTGGCATAAATAGCCTGAGATATAGTAGCAGAAAACACAAACCCCGCCGCATTCGACAAGAAAATCAACGAAACGACGGCATATCCAATGTCGTAGTGCTTCTCCATATACGGTATCAGAGCTCCGGGCGCAGCGTCGTTGAACCCATTACAGAAATTCAAGCAGCAGGCAGCTATAAGGCGGAGGAGGTTTTCTGGGGGGCTGCAGAGTGTCTGGACAATTCCTATGCCTTCTCCTTCCCCCGGAGAAGAGGGAGGGGAGGGGGAGGAGGGGGAGGAGGGGGTCGCAGGCCGGGAAAGAGGGCGCATTAGGGCGGCGGACCGCACCGGCGTCGACGGGCCATTACTGGCAGCGGCGAGGCCCGTACGTCGGAGCTCGTCCAGGTCGGTTTCGACGTATCCGGGGGTCGCACCGCGGTGGAGAGGCTGGGCATGGTATGCTGGGGGCATGGACTCGAGTCTTACCCCCATTGAAGGGCCGTGGGGGGTCATGAGACTCATTGTTTGAGCTACCCAGGCAGAGGTATTCGGAGGGTTACTTGTCGCTCGAAAGCGCAAGCAGAGGGGGGGGCGGGAGTTATACAAGCAATTCTATCTCCTATTCAGGTTCAAAACACGATACCGGTAGTCTATCTTCCTGCGTGTTCGGAGCTCGCCACTCCGTCCCAGGTTCTCTACTAGCATATCCACTGCAACCACCACGCCGCACCATTCCGTATACAGACAGATATATAGTCCCAGTATGCAGATTCATGATCCTTCCCAGTCCTTTGAACCGCAAGCCAGCTGTATTGCTGTCGGCTTTTTTTCTTCTTTCCTTTTAGAGCACTAGCACTTCTATAAGGGGGCCTAGGGGCTAGATTTGCATCACTTGTCAACAAGTTGAAACGATAAGCCACCACTAAGTTACGTGCCGGAGGAGCCCAGGTCGGAACATAGTACCGCAATTAACATCCGAAGAGCCGCAATCGCCAGCGGAATGGGTTAAAATATATATATATATATAAGATGTACACTGGCACTGGGCTCAGATAGTCCTTGAAGAAGATTGTTGTTACCCTATCGGTAACCCCGCCGTCAAGCTAGCCAGGGGGGGCGGGAAGCGGGCGGGCCGTCCCGACCGACCAAGCCAAACCCTAGCTGAGCAGAGTGCAGATACCGGTATGGTATTGGTGTCATATGTACCAGTATGAGTCAATGAATACTTTGCAAAAAAAAAAACCCCCCCCCCACTAGTACCGCAGTTACTTGTACATACATCAATAATCTTATCATACAAAACTACTACTGTACCGTATTTCCCAAGGCAACCATGCGATATGCACCCCTTCCAGTCATTTACGCCCCATACCGTACTGTACAATACTCATAGAAAGAGTTGGCAAGTACATAATCTAACCACGTACTTGCACAAAACCAATTCTGCCAAAAACGCCATAAATCATATCATACGCCCCACCACACACACACCTCCAGAATACGATACTGACTAAAGAAGTCAATTCCGAGTGATAATCCATGCGATCCGAAGAATACACACAAACCAGACAGAAGGCATAACCGTATGATATACTATCATACCAGCTCCCTTCCACTCCAAGCGCTACTCTATATATATATATATATATACCAGAAGGATCACCCGCTAGTAAAATATTCCTCCACCACACGGGATATAAAGTCAAAACAACACACTGGATAAAGCATCCGTCCCGGAAGACAACCGGGGTAGTGAGAGCGGGCGAGTGCCCGGCTAGACAGGAAAACGCCTGATTAAACTGCACATATATCTATATGATAATTATATAATATGTGATGTTATACCCGATGGCTTACAAACTGGCCAGGAACAGTGCCCAGAGAAGGAATATAATTCTTGTGCGCCGGGTTGTTTTCCAGGCGGAGGAAGAAGAAGAAGAACAGGAGATAACATAGTCTAAGGGTTCTTCTAAGCTACAGAAACCGTCATATGATGTGTTACAAATATAGCAAGACCAGTACCCTAAAAGGTGAGGAATTGCAGAAAAGTTAGTTGGTTGGTTGGTTGGTTGGTCCCCTCCGGGCCGGCCACATTCCACCCTGCACGGTAACTTGCAAATTCAGGTAAGGATACTGTACCGGTAGTAGTGGACAGAGCGCACCTCGCTCCCGTCCATATAAGAATTGCCCAGCCGAGGGGAGGGGGAGGGAGAGGGGATGAATGTATAACAGTACCGGTAGGGTAAACGCAACTGGCGACCGACGCAGACTAGGGGACCGCTGGGAATTGGCTCCATTCCGCGATTGGCATGCATATTCCGGACACTTTCGGTTACCTGGTCACCAATGAAGGAGACCTTTTCTAGATTCACCTTTATGCCATTTGCCAGTGTGCTCCCCGGGGGATTAACTGTTGTTCGAGTTATATATACACTTGAGTACCGCATTATAACAAGTTGTGGTTGTTGTTTTTGTTTTTTTTCAATAGATATATACCGGTATTGGTACCATACCATCACCTCTGATCTCTATATTACTACTCGTAGGCTCAACGGGTCTGCTGTGAGACCCGCTACGGTACATATCCTGTTTTGGTTCCCGTTTTCTGTCATGATACTTCCCGTAGTGGGTTATTTAACTTGGTTCCTAGAGAGAAATTCAATTACCTCCTACTGTATCAATGCGCCCAATTATAAAAATACACCATTTCCTCCTTCCCCCGATTCGTGATAAACAGGCGTGACAACTTGTAAAATACCGGTAAAAGGAAATGAAGGCATTATAGTGTTATATATATATATATGCCGCAAGACTACCTCACCCCTACAAAACCAATCAATACAAGTATGATACCCGCCACACGGATTCGCTGTTTTCTTTTACCCCTCTACTCATATGAACCATGATTGTATACCTGTACGGGTATATAATATTATATATCCAGTCACGTAGCTCATATCCCCCCCCTTCCTTCCTTCCATCCATATAAGTTAGCTACAGAAATTCCCGGCAGACGCTATAACGCCCGGTCGCTGTGGTATGCTGGCTCAGTCCGTAATCTCTACAAGTGCAGTGCGATACGATACATTATAATCACTATGCCCTCCATTTATATCGCCCATATCATACGGTACAGGATCCCCCGGGAGAGTATTGAGTGAGGCTTACCCCAGTCGGTAACATAGGGCCACCAGCCGCCCTGCCAATGCCATGCCATGCCATACCACGCCAGAGGTACTGTACCCTGCGCCAAACTCCGCCCCCACCAAGAGAAAAACCTACAGCTGCGAGTGAGAATCTGTGCCAGAGGGCATAATGAGCATTCCACTACGGTACTGTACCTTACGGGTACCCTTCACACACCCCGTACGAAGCAACCCTCACATTGTGATGCCATTGTAGGTGTTTATTCATTCCCGAGATCGGAAAAAGGAAGGAAAAGAGAAAAGAAAAAGACCAAGTGTTTCGACCTTGGCCCGCCTGTTTCGTATGACCTGCGAAGAAAAATAAAAATTTACAATACCATACCCGCCGAGGTTGTTTTCGGCTCGCATAGGGAGGGCTTTTTATAATAAAGCCTGAAACTGAATGCGTCTATTTTCCTTCCATCCACCATTCTTCCGATCCAAGATATTGTGCGGTAATTGTTGCTGGTATGGTACCTGAAGGGAATTGACAAGGGAGACATGACGGTAGGTAGCGCTATCTGTACGGTTACCCACTTTGCAGAGGTCCTGTCAACCCGGTCCAGCGGTACGGGACGTACCGGCACGTCGAAAAATAGTCTGATACAATGACAACCCGCTCAAACCTCCCGCGCCCAACCAACCCAAACACCAACAGCACCATCTGAAAAAATCAAAAAAGCATAATCAAACCAAAATGGCCCCCCGTCGCCGCCCCCCACCGTCCCTACTAACCACCCTCGACACCTTAACCACAACCCCACCCCCAGCCCCGCTCCCAGCAACACAGTTCATAGCGCGCGTCCTCGAAAGCACCGGCAAGCACCTGTACCGCGTAGAGTCCCCGAAAGGGCAGGAGCTCCTCGTGGAGTTGCCAAAGATGTACCGCAGCGTCGTGTGGGTCCGTAGGAACCGATTCGTCTTGATCGATACGGAGGGGTTCGGTGGCGAGGAGGGGAGGGTTAGGGGGGAGATTAAGGTTGTGGTTAGGGGGGAGAAGGAGTGGATGAGGATGGGGTATTGGTAGGTTTTTCTTCTTCCGGCGGTTGACGGGGAGGGGGAGGGAGAAGGGGCTAATGTAGGGGGGGGTGGGTGGGTAGGCCGAAGCATTTCACTATCGGGTATGAAGGCGAGGACGAGATGTATGAGGGGCAGGAGGAATCGGTTGTTGGGAAGATGCCGCCAGGTTCAGATGATGATGAGGAGTCGGAGTGATACCTACATGCTGACGCCCGATCCGGTATCATTGACCATCACCTCATGTACTAATACCGGTATGTATGATACATTACAAGTACCCGCCATATACGAATACAAACTCTTAGACTCAAAAAGGTATTACATAATACATTCAGATAAGCTTCTTCTCATCATTCTTCATCCCCCGCCGGGGCTTCCCCACAAACAATTCCTCCTCATCCCTAAATCTACTCCCCCACCAAACCCCTAGTACCGTCGCCGCGAGGACACCTACCACTGTGCCCGAACTAGTGTTTGTGCTGGGGTACACGTTCCACGCCCACTCCTGCACGGCCCAGAGCCCGGTAACCCATCCGGGCCCAAACCCGCTACGCCAGAGAAGATAGGGGGTGCCCCAGGCTAGCCATGAGTAGAACTGGTAGTGCAGGCTACGAGCACAGAGCATGCCGATTGTATTCGCTCCAAGAATAGCAGTGAGGACAAACCTGGGGGTTACGCACTGGTTCATTTGGTATTCCGAGAGACCTTCTTGGGGGGTTATCAGGAGGTTCAGGAAACCGGGGAAGGAGCGGCCCGAGTGTCTAGCCACGTCAGCCACGATTCTACCGGAGCAAGGGGAAGGGGGGGGGGCAAACTTTGACCATCGAGTGACCAGGAAGTATACCAAGAGGCAGGCGTGTAATCCCAAGAGCCCTAAAGAGAAACCCCTTGAAAGGAATACCTCCTCCCCAACGAATCTCCAGTTTACAGTCCACTGGAAAAAGAATTGTCGGGTGAATTCAAATGCGCGGATAAGGTAACTCTTTGGGAATTCTGTAAGGAACGGCGTAGCGAGCAGGATCTTTCGAGCGATCAGTACCGCTTCCCCTCAAGACCTCCGGATGAGGAGACAGACACACCTGAACCTGAAGCATAATCCCCGCTTGGCGGAGAGCCTTATCCCTTCCAAGGGCTAGCAAATACAAAACCCCGACAGCTGGCAATGCCAACAGGGTATTCATCTTAACCCCCACGCTTAAAGAATATGCCAAACTACCTAGCGTCCACATCTTCTTCTGCCATGCGAAAACAGCCGAGAACAGAAGCAATATCGAGAAAGGATCATTGAACAGCCGGAGCATGTAAATGCTGTGCAACCGCTTGGAAAGTATCAAGAACGGCAGTAGATACGGAGGAGCCTGTCGACGGCATCGTTAACCCACCACCAGTAACACACCTTCAAGACCACAACCAAGGAAGGAGGAAGACACAATACCCTAGCCTCCCGATAACACAAGCCCACAATCCCCAACGTCACCAAATAGACCCCCATAAACACCCACTGCCCCAAACCCACATCCGCCCCGCCCCGCGTGATCCCATACAGGTAATTATATATGTAAACGTGCCCAGCAGGGTACACCAACGGTCCTGTCCCGCCCTTGATCATAGCGTAATCCCGTTCCCCGGCACGGTACAGCGAGACTTGCTCCATGTAGGCTCTCCAGTCGATTTCGGTATCTAGCCCCCCCCCCCCAAGTCGTTAGCTTGCTTGCCCCGGCCTGTCGGAGCAGAGGCCACACATAGGCCAACTATAGTGGACACCTACAGGGGACCCTTAAAATAATAACTGCGCAGAAGGCGGCATCTATCAGCAGCAGGGGCAGGAGTAACCATAGTGGAAAGCTAGATTTGGAGTTGAAGGTTGAGTGGACTGTGGCACGGAGTAGGCCCATTTGTTGTGTTTCTGTGGTGGTGGTAATGGACCGGCTGGTGGGTGCAAGTCACCGGGCGGTGGTAATATAGCGGTACCGGTAAGCCGGGTTATGTTTGGGACAGATGGGTGGTAAGGCAGGTACGGTACCGATGGTGCCCGGGTGTCCAGGATAGGGGGAACCTGGGGCTGTTGGCTTGGCTGGGCGGAGGATGACAGACGCGCGATAACGTTTCCCCGAAGATGGGTCTTGCACAGGTGTATTATACCATACTTGGACTGTGACTCAAGGGAAGAAGCATTTTAAATCACAAGAGACCAGAATACTCGGACGCGAACACCAAAAATACGATAAACGACAGAGCCAGCCTCCAAACCAGACAACACGTTCAAATTGAAATCCTATGACAGAACGAGACAAATTCCATAAAACACAAAACTCCCCAAACCCCAAAAGAAACCCTCCTCCTCCCGATCATCACAGTCAGGATCATCAAGCCCTCAACCCCCCCATCCCCTCCACAACCCCACCAACCTCCTTCTCCCTAACAGTCTTAATCCTATCGGGCAACCACCTAATCTTCTCCTTAACCGCTTCCAACTCGCCTTTCCCCACCCCTTCCACAACCCCATCCACCGCGCCCTCCAAAACCTGCACATAGTCATCGTAAGCCCCCACCAGCCCGGCCCATCCTCCCATCCCCTCCCTCGCCTTTGCCCGCCTATAGAGCGCTTTCCCCCACCCGGGACGGAGGTTCAGGGCCCTGCTGGCGGCCTTGGCGGCCTCATCGTAGCTCCTCAATTTTATCTGCGTGGCGGCAATGTTATGGTATATGGTTGCCCGCTCGAGTTTTAGCGTCTGCGGGCAGCGGGAGAGTGCTAGGAGGTATGCGTCCAGCGCTGCGAGGTAGTATGATGTGTTGAAGAGGCGGTTCCCGTTGAGGCGGTAGGAGGCAGATTCGAAGAGGAGGCGCTGGTCGCAGAATTGTTAGCGAGGTGTCATTGGATGGAACGGAGGCGAGAGCATACCTGTTCCTCCTCCTTAGATAGCACCTTCTCCTTACCCCCCCTCTTATTCTTCCCCTTCGCCGGACCCGGCTCACGTGGCGGAGGAGTGGATACCAAGAATGGCATCGTCGTCGTCACCGTCTTTGCGGGACCACTATTATTGGGCTTCTCGTGAACCTCGTTCGCGAACAGCAATATGTCCCTATTCTCCTCGTCGTGTTTCGCCGTGTAGAACTTTTGATCGACAATGTGCTTGTCCTCGAACTTCGTTTTGAAGAAGGGGAGTGGAAGAGACATTCTTATATCACTGGTATGTCAAGCTATGCACTCTGTGCTGAACCAGGTCCGTCGGTCCGGAGGAAGGGGGGGGGGGGCTTTGAAGGTGATGTGACGGCAGCTCAAGTGGTTAGTGAGTCCGGCAGAGGGTGGACTATGCCCAGCATGAGCCGTTCACTGAAATAAAAGTTCTCGAGTATGGTACTTGTATGCCACTGGTACAGTAACGTTGATGCCGGCTAGCTGGATGCTACAGTAGGCCAAGCTAGGGAAGCGACGGCGTGGGTTTTTATTATTAAAAGTACAGTACGAGCACAGTGCCGTACCCAACAAGCATGGTGAATCATCGGATTGCGCCCCCGACCCCATTCCACCTCCTGACAAGGCCCAACCATAGGGGTAAAGTACCGGCACTCTCACATTAATGATCGATGATTGATAGCGAACGCACGGTGCCGTCGACCCAGGTGGTGAATTCCGTAGCAGTAAAAATAGCAAACGTCCTCACGGAAAAGCACTACCGGTATGGTCCCCGCTTCATCCTCATCATCATCATCACCATGGTCATCACCATCATCAGGCCCCGAATTACCCCCGACTCACCACGTCGAATCAAAAGGCATGACATAAAGGCAAACACGATACCGGCGCCCGGTAGGCAGCTCGCAAAGGCAGAATCAGCAGGTAAGCAAACCCAGGTTTTCCGCATTATAACCCGACGACGATCCATAAGCAAACCGGCCCATGCTCACTTTCTCACGTAAGAACATTATTTTCCCCCGAAGTCTGATGATTGATTTCTCCGAGGCGGGGAGGGGCGGGCCTTGGCCTTTGTTCCACAATAAGAACCCAAAGGCGTGTGCGTGGGGGGTGAGGCCACGCTTTGTTGCTCCCCTGCGCTGTGCTGTACTGTACTCGAGTACTGTACTCGTACCGTACTGCACAGTTACTATGGGTACCGGCAGGCCCCTTTCGTGGTCGACATGATAGGGGACGGGGGTCGCTTATGCAGTGATCCCCACACCCCGACTGCCGTACTGACTCCCGAGTGCTCGAGCATCCGACTCGCATGTGAAGCAAGGGAGAAGCACGAATATGATACGGTACGGACCGGGTAAGCAGACCGTACTCGAGTGTGTATTTCGGGGTTACTGAAATGCCGTGATGACCCTACCGGTATTGTAGTCATGATACAGTACTGTACGAGTACTCGTACTCGCACATCAGCCTCCCTAAAGCTCCTATCATAATTGGTTCGATGCGGTGGTTACTCCCGAGCCCTTCCTACCGACTCGTCACGCTCCACCGCAGCAGGAGGAGAGCCGCGAAGCGCGGCATGGCAAACGCCGTGAAAAAGAGGAAAGGCTCGGGGGATGAATCAGCCGGCTTTTACAATTCGACGGATTAGATTTCTGTGATTGGAATCGATCACAAGTTACCCATCCTGGCCGATTTCCTGTCACCATGATACTTTCCCGGACACCAGACACTTGACCCCGATGTAATGTCTACATCTTTGCTGTACGAGTAGATCATCACGCCTCCCATACTCCTATTCATGTGGTGGTCGTTTCTTCTGTAGACGACCAAACCCTATTCCTCCCTGAGTATCGTGTTTGTGTCCTTCGCTTCACCGCTCCGCTCCACCCGAAGGAAGGAAGGAAGGAAGAGACCCTCTCATCGCTCACCTCCCGTACTCGTATCATACACAGCTGAGTTTCCCTTCACATCAACCGCTGCTGTTCCCAGAACAGGATGGGGGTCTCGAAAGATCGGAATTACGGGAACCTAGCCCAATACCCGGGGAGGTTGTTCGGGGAACCGAGAGCCTCATCGGCCACCCAACGATGTCCGGGCATTATACGGTAATACCCGTACGTCATACTCGGGAACAAACATCGCTGTCCGCAATGCACTTAACCGCTCTACCGCCAGCAAACCCGTTGAAGTTGAAAACCATCACCACAAATACCCCAAACCGAAACAAACACCACACAAGCCTCGAGCACCGCGTTTAAATGAAACAAGCCCCCGGTGAATGGATCGGATTCATGATCTATCCAAGGCGAGGCGTCCCGTTTAGGGCTGGACAACTAAACCTAATTTATCCGTCGATCTTCAGAAGCCGAAACGTCTCGTCTATTTCTTAGCACATGGCCAGAACGGCCGGGTTTCGTTTCGTTGGCATGGTCCATTTCTTGGCAGGGACCAGCACTATCCATTACTCGTACTGGTACCGGTATTGGGCCCCACAATGAAAGCCACGTCAGAAGTGCTCTGGTATGCTGTCGCTCCCCTGGAAGACCATTCCTGCGCAGAGAGGGAGAAACATTGGGTGGAAGGGGTAGCATGCGCCAACAACGATTGCTTTTCACCTTGATCCATTTGTTCATCCACCGTTACCGTGCTTCATTCATGGCATCGGAATTGGGATGCCACGGGGCTTGCCATTGTACCTGCAGCTTCGACATTTATTTTTCTCTCATTTGCTAGGGTTATAGTACTAGTAGGTTCACAAGGGTACATAAGTCAATTGTTCTTCCCCTCCTTTTTTTCCCCGTGCCTCGTTCCTCGTTCTATCCTTTCAAGTTCGGAAAGTTTTCCTACGCAAGACAGCCAGTTGAACCCGGCTGATCGCCCATACAAGTACTGATACATCAACCGTACCCGACCATTGATCCGTCCGTCGCAGCAACCCTCCTCCACCCACTACACGCTCCCTTTTCCCCTTTACCGTTCAGGCTTATCGCCACCATCAGATCCGAGAAGATAAGCTACAGAAGCAGACAGGCAAGCGAGCATTCAAGCAAGCAATGTCCATCCCCAGACCCGCAGTCTCCTCAAAACGACCCCGCTCTTCCTCAAGCATTAGGTCGGAAGACGTGTTTTCCCCGCGCAAAAAGGCGCGCAGTTCCTCGGTCCAGGCGACCGCCTCTCCCGGTCGATCCCCGCTAATCCGATCCCGACGCTTGAGCTCTGAGGTCCCAGAGTTGAGCAGTAATAGTTTGGTTACTGGAAGACTCACGCCTGCACCTTCGGTTACACCTGCACCGACTTCTGCTCTTGGGAAAGTTGCTGCTGCTAGTAGCGATAAGGATACCAAGCCCGAGGCATCCCCACCCACGACCAACCTGCCCGTCGCAAAAAGACGCCCGCGGCTATCGCTGCCAGCGCCAGAGCCTGACCACCCCCATCGCGAGGGGACAGCAGATTCCGGTGGGTCGGCCGGGGATGCAGAAGACTTTGCAGAGCTGCTGCGCAATGGGTTCAGTCTTCAGGAGGCAGCGCTGTTCCAGCGTATACAGAAGCGCGGGTTGGAACCTTTAATGCCAGCACACTGGCAGGTGGACTTCTCCACGATGCCAGACCATCTATTCACCGCTGCAGACGACCCAGCATACATCGAATCGGTCACGCTGGACGGGACGTTCAATGCCACAACGGCATTCCAGACAATGGTTAATTTGGGCGGATTTGTACGTGGGAAGTTGGAGGGGAAGCACGATGCTGAGGCAAAGATCGTTTCTAGCTTGAGGAAGTATATTCAATGGTCCGTTGATGACGCTAAGATGGGTTAGTCCCCCAAAAAATCTCTACCGCTCTGGTATCAATTCTGACAAATACAAAAGCCGGCTTCGAAATCCACCCCTTAATAGCAATATCTTCTTCCCAGGGTAAGGACCCAGCCCACTGCGAGAATCGCATGGATAAAGTATACCTTCCCCCCCCTCTATAACCCCTTCAATGCATACTAACCGAATTAGAAACTCCGTGAGATGGCCAAAACCCTCCGATCCCGAGACTCGCACCTCCTCTCAACCGGACACCCCCGACCAGAAACCTCTTCATCCACGGTTTACGGCCTCGCAGTCGCCGGCTGCGTCGCGGCACTAATCACACTCAACGCCCGCGACGAGAAGGCGCCTACCAGGACTATGCTAGTAGTAGACTTTTCAGAGACGAACACGGATTTCTGGAATGCTATTTCGGTATGCTCCCCCCTTTTTTCCACTCTTGCGTTGCACGTTGTGGTGGTGGGGGTAGGGCTAATGGTGGTTTTGGCGGCCGGGGTTCTAGATCGCACTACTAGTAATTGCAGCCAGAGATGACGAACTAGAACGGGTGGACTTTTATAGAGACTGTGGGGTAGAGAGGGGTTGGAAGGCGGGGCAGGTAGAGCCTTGGCAGGCGAAGGGGAGGAGAAAGAGCGGGGTTGAAGATGATGATGAGGATGCGTAGTTCCATCTACTCTCTGACTCTCGTGCGCTTTCGACCGTGGGGTATTAGTATTGTCAGGCTGTGTCCTCTTTGTTCCGCGTTTTTCTTTCCCTTTGTTTTCTTTGCTGTAGCGGGAGGGGGGGGGGGGGCGATTGCAAGGGAGGTTTTGTCAGTGTTGGCGTTTGGATTTGGAATTCCCAGGGGTTGGAGAGGGTTGGAAAGTAGGTTACTGCTGCCATATGACGCAGCAGCAGCGATGGTGGTGCCTCAGCGCCAGGAGGTATGATACCCTCGATATCGAGATTTGCGTTTTTCCTACTTTCGAATTATTACTACCCGCACAGAGCACTGTTCTGTAATGTATTGTACCACTGTTTTTTCCTCCTTTCCCCTTTCCCCTCCTCCCCCCTCTCCTCCCCGTTCGGGTTCTCTATGCATGGCGCAAGAGGGAAGGAAGGGAGGGAGGAAGGAGATGGTCAGAGAGGGGGGGATGCCCACCTACTCACATACACCTTCGCTACCAATCACTTGGTTCCTTTTTCCTATTTATTTATCTCCACAGGTGTAATACCACCATACCAGATATTTCTCACCTTCGCTTAATTTGGCCTATGGTAGTTTTTAGTTTAGCAGTCTATCTACGAGACTCACTCTGAGAATCGTTGGACGGGTGTGTAGGTTTATTTCATGAATGAATGCTAAAGGTCCCGTGGGGGCAGATATCACTCGCTCACCAGCTTCAAGCACGACTACCGCATCATCACTTTTTAGAACTCGTGATACTTTGGGTATATAAGACGTTCACATCACACCGCGCTTATCCATCCAATATGAACATGCGCAATGGGTGAGATTGCTACAATGGTAATGAAAAAGAGGGCAAACGAAAGAACTCTACCCCCCCATACAAGTAATAAAAGCGAGATACGGTAAAAGCCAAGAGAACAAGTGGGAAGAAGAAAAAGTATCCCTCATGCCATTTCCCATGCACTCATGAAATACCCCCTCCCCCACGCCACCACACAATTCATTCCAATTTCAATTTCACACCCGCCAGCTGCATAACAAACGTCTCCAGCTCCCTCAACAGGATTTGCCACAACAATCGTTTCCCCCAGGAGAGGAGGGGGAAAGTCCAAGGCTTTCCCTGTAGACAAAAAATAACGCCCGGCGGGATCAAAAGAAAGGAGGGAGAGTAAGAAGGAGAAAAAAGAGACACTGGGCAAAAAATAACATAACGAACTTTTGTCTTTGTAGAAAAATGGAGGGGGGGGGGGGTCCGAGTCTCCATATGAGAACAAACGCTCTTTGAAAAACAACAATTAAGAGAAATCTTGCACATAGGAGAAGCCACGGAATTCCTCCTGCATGGCCTGGGTGAGCACTATATGAAGGGTTAGCACGTGGTCTGCTTCAAGTGTGGGGGGGATACATTGCTTACCTGACTGCACAGGGGTGAGCACCGGGGTGACACTGGTAAACTCTTGATCAAAATTGGAAGTATCCGTGGCAGATTGAATCGATGGCTTAAAAGGAGGCGGGATGCGTTTGTGATAGATGTCCTCCCAGTTGATATTGGCAAAGAATGGATGGGACATAATCTCTTGAGCATCCGTAGGCCCAGACCCAAGACGCAGCTCAGGTTCCTTCGTCAGGAGCTAATTTAGATATAAGCATACAATTCAACCAAGACCAAGACAGGAGCAAACCTTCTGTAAAATAGACACCGAATCGCGAGGCATGTGAATCGGGTACAAGGCCTCGTCCGCGAGAATAGCATCATAAATTTCATCTTCATCCTCACCACGGAAGGGAGATTGCTGGAGAAGCATCTGGTAAATCAACACACCAAACGCCCACCAGTCGACAGCACGGCCATAGCGTTTATCCATAAGAATCTAGGCCCCAAATGTCAGTAAATAAAGGCATTACCAAAAACAGAAGATAGCAATATCACCTCCGGTGCCATAAACTCAGGAGTGCCGCAGAAAGTACTTGTGGTAGACCCATACCACATCTCTTCCTTACAGAGACCATAATCGGCGATCTTAATGTGCCCATCAAGCGTGAGCAGAATGTTATCAAGTTTCAAATCACGATAGATCACTCCGTTCTCATGAAAGTACTTCAATGCCAAGCAAACCTCGGCAGCATAAAACCTAACTGCATGTCAGCATTGGCCCTACCAAACCCCGAGATGTAACCTACTGCGCTCTCCTAGATCCGAAAGCGCCCCTCTGAATGTGCAACATCAAATCTCCCCCGCTAATATACTCCATGACAAAGTAAACACGAGTCTCCGTTTGGAAACAAGCGTGGAGGTTCAGTAAGAAGGGGTGGCGCTCCTTATTGGCAATCAGGAACACCCTCTTTTCCGACCTCGTACTCTCAACTTCATCATTCTCAATGATGAACTCCTTCTTTAGAACCTTAATAGCATACAGCTTCTTCGAAGCCTTTGTCTCCGCCAACATGACTTTCCCAAAATTACCCTTTCCAAGAACCGCAAGGAAATTGAAATGATCCAATCCAATCTTCGTGGGCCTGCTAACTGGCGGTTGTGGCTCAGGAGCGGGCGGCGGCGGTGGCTTTTTTTCAACAGGATAAGCGTGAGCGGGAGGCGCGACCTTCACCGGTGTTGGGGGGGGTTGGCCATACGACTGCCTCTGATCATACTGAGCGGCTTGTGGCTGTCCATAGCCGGAGGGAGCGGGTGGCGCTTTCGGTGGCGCGGCAGGGGGCTGCTGCTGCGACACGGAAGTGCGATGCTGTTGGTAGGGATTGTCATAGCCCTGCCCTTGCTGGTACGGAGAGGGAGAACTTGGCAATTCGCTAGCATGATGCTTGGGCTGAGTTGGCGACGTTGGAGCCCCCTGGTAAAAATCGGCCGATTGTTTTGGAGGGTAACTGGTCTGGCTCTGGACCGTGGAAGGGGGGCGTTGGCCAGCATGAGCTGCTGCGGCTACCGCGGTTGGGTCCGGAACACGGTTTGGTCGTTGTTCGGGAGAGTAGGGTGCGGGCTGTTGTGGGCGGGCTGGTGACGGCGCCGTTCCATACGCGACGTTAGCGGCATTTACGGCAGTCGGAGATGAGGGACTATAAGAGTGAGTTCGCTGTGACAGTTGAGTTGGCTCCCCCTGCACGGAGTTCCGGGGGTCCAGATGAGATACATAAGGATCGCTGGTAGGCCGTGCGGATAAAGGCGACGAAGGGGCCGGCGGGCCGCTAGTTCTCAAGTTACGATCTGCCATACTTGGTCTCTGTCTTTTGGTCTTCTTTATCTCTCCCAGAATCTGGTTGGCAACCTCCATAGACATTCCGCAGAAGTCAGGAACCAAATGAGCACATTGTGAATGACAAGTCAGACCGCATTCTGTCTAATATTAGCCAGGTCAGCCCTCCAAAGCTCCAAGGAGGGTATTACCTGTACACTTCCTTGCATTCTTCTTTCCAACAGGCAGCATGTAGCCGCAGTGACAACACCAGTTTGCCCCCATATTGGTCATTGGTTCGAACCTATGCGGGATACGATGATTGAGCTTCTCCTCCTCGGGATCCGTTTCGGCGTTTGACTTTGAAATACACTTTGTGACCACCTTTGGGTAGCACTTCTTGTGGCAAGTATACTTGCAGTCCGAACACTGCATCCCAGCGGAATACTTGAGGAAGTCGCTACAAAGGGCACAACGCATGATGTTGTAGAACTGTTGCTGCACGAACTTGTGGCCATACATTTCATGCACCTCTTCTTTGCGAGCACGAACAGCTCCCTTACGACCCAATCCAAGATCGAGCGGACGCTTATTCCTGTTGTATTTGACTGGAGAGAGTTAGCGACGGAATCGCCTTGGACAATCCGAGAAGCTTACCAAAGTTGAGATTGAGATGAATCTGCCCAACCGGCTCCAGGGCAAACCATGCATCGATACCCGCAGATCCACCCGGTGCTTGCGCTTGTCCGCTATTATTGACGTACATTCCAGCGTTTCCTCCCCCAGCAGCGGCCGGCCCACCGAATCCCTGATTGTAGTTGTAGGTACCCTCACCAGGTCGGCCAGCCCCACTATGCGCCATCTTGTCCGCACTCACCCAGCCAGAGCTCGAGATCTCCTGCTCAATCTTCTTCCTTCTCAGCTCTTCAGCGATATCAGAAATTCTTATCCACAATAAACCTATCGGCATATGATTGTCCCCGGGTTTGTCGTAGACGGTCATTTCAATCTCGTTGGCTTTATCAACGTCGATATCGTGGGCTTCATCCAACCACTTGTCGTTCCTGGTGGACTTGGTGCGAACCCGGGCAACATCCTCCACCTTGATAACGACAAACGTTTCTGGACCCCGGGCGAAGCGCGACGTGGTGGCATGGTCTACATCTTTTACCGCCAAAACGCGAATGGCGAGGCGGCCGGTTAACGGGCGTCGAATATTGGGGGAGTTTATGCTGTCATCTATTGAGGTCAGGTCCCGCTCACTGTAATCCAAAGACAAAGAAAAGGGGCGGGGGGGAAGAGAGAGAGTCTGAAAGCCTACCGTCTGCCTCATCCCCAAAATCCATGTCGACGTGGAGATCCTCGTATCTCTTGAGGGCCTGTTTCAGCAACTGGATTTTCTGTCCGCTGTCCGTATGCTTGCTCTCCGCATCTTGTCTGCTCTTGCGATCACCTTCCATCTGGTACAGTTTGATCATCTTCTCGATACCCTCCTTGTACTGCTTTTCAACGCTGAGCTTGAATTCGAGCTGCGACAGCATCAACTGAATTCTCGGACCGAGATGTGGGGTATCATATTTGATTAAATCTATGGCAAAGCCATCAATAAACCAATGCGCCCCAAGGAGCGAGCGAAATGAATATCATACCAAGTTTAGAGTAATTGGGTTTCGTCTTTGGCTGTGCAGATCCCCCAGAGCCCCGGGCAAACGGCTTATTAGGAGGTAGCATCTGCGGGTTTTGGTATCCCCCTCCATATCCACCTTCACCTATAGATAAGCATCACTCCCTAAACTCTAAAGGAAAGCCTGCGCACCTCCGTCGTTAACGTGCATATCATCCACACCACTAGTGATCATCACCATATTCTGTAATTCACCGTACCGTCCCTCCAGATAACTCAGGTTTCGCTGCGATTCCCGTATCTGATTGTCCAGCCTCTGCTGGACAGCAGCGTTGTCGGTGGATTGACGCATGGCCCGAGCACCGTTTATGAGGACCTTCTCCCTCTCTATCTTACGATAGACATCCTGAAGAAGTTTGTCGGCCATGATTGCGAAAACAAAGAGTCAACGATTCTGAAGTTCCCGAGTTAGTCGTGATCAAGTTCGGGCGGGTTGACCGGGGGGGGGTGCTCCGATGTTGAGCAGGGGAGGTGTGTGAAAAAGGGTACCAGTCAAATGACGAATTCCGCTCCCCGCTCAGCCAAGTTACAGGAGGAGCTCGTTGCTGCGACTTTGCCTCTTGCTCAAACAAAGAAAGGTGGAAAAAAAAAGAAAAAAGATAAGGCCCTGAGAACAGAACAGAACAGAACAGAAAGAAATAAAAGAAAGGAAAAGGAAAAGAAGAAGGAAAGAGAACAGTTGGTGAAAAAGAAGGGCCCCACCAAAATAAACGTAACCACGAAGAAAGCTTTTTCCGACGAACACGAGAGGGACGCAGGGGACAGGCGTCGCCGCTGACTATGGAAAACAAGAGGAGGGGTATCAGCTGTCAAAAATGGCTTTTGGTGGGGGTGTTGACGACGACGGCGAGCGGAGTTGGAGTCGAGTTGCTGTTCAGGTTTCCCTTCGGCTCGTACTCGTACACGACCACCAACCTTCACGTTCAGATTACGATAAGTAACCGTATATATCATGCCTTCCCCTATTCCCCCCCCCCGCCCGACCTCACACCCATGATATGATATGATATGATATGACAGCAGCAACCCCATCCACAACCGCACTCAGGAACGCATATCCGATTCTATTGGCAGGGAAATAATTCCATGTATGATAGGAGCCAACTTCCCATAGCTAAAAAAATACCGTAATGCAATACGGAGCATTCCATCATCTGTTCCGAATAAAATTTAAAAAAAAGAGGACATTCGGGATTCCACCCGTGACCGACCTTTTCCACGGACAAAAAAAAAGAATCCCTTTCACAGCCACCACCATATGATTATAAGAATAGCTTATATCCCGCATATTCTCTACCAACCATCACTTGTGGGATCGGATATATAGCGATTTTGTCCGTGTTCACCCTCAAATAAAACCATCCAGCGTACCGAAAAAGAGAAAGAGAGAGAGAGAGATCCGTCAGTTACCCGGCCATGAGGCTTATATCACAACATACCATATAGCCATATCATCAAAACTTCCTCCATACCAGCGCCCCGTCAAGTTAAATGCCGAACCGGGTTTAATAATAATAACAATAATGATAATAATCGTCAGGATCTCTCACAGCTTGGTGATCCTTAACGGCTCGGTTGGTTGGTTGGCTGGTAGGGCTGACATGATAGCATGATAGTATGTACGATACCACAATCTGAAACTAAAATAAAACGGGGCCGGTATCAGCGATAGCCGAATTATATATATACAAGAGGTATGCCCTACAATAACTAACTAAGCAGCAGCAAGCATTCCCCTCCTCCTACAGGTATATGATGGATAGTTTGCTCCAGCGGTGGAGGAGGAGGAGGAGGGGTTATGATAGTCTGGAGAAAATCACCAGAAGTCACTCGAGAACCTAAACCACCTAAGAAATGAGGAATTGAACATTTTACCCAGCGCCGCCGAGAAAGAAAAAGGAGCCCGAGATGAAAATAGAGTGGAGGGGAGGGGAGGGGAGGGGATCTCGGTAGGGAAGGAAAGAATCGGGTCGAGGTTGGCAGGGAAACCTTCCATGAACCCCTCTCTACCAACCACCCACTACTAGGTTATCTATCGGTGGCACCATTGGATTTACCAATGTCCCCCCCCCCCACACCCCGGATTATACCCCACATTCTTACCTAATACCGGAGTATCCCTTCCCTTCCCTCCCCGTCAAGATTCCCAAGTCCCATACCTTGATCGCACAGATAGCAGACGTGAACTGCATCTAAGGGGGAAGGAAATATACGAGTGACAGCGTATGACCAACATATGTGTTTCTAGAGCATACCATCTCAAAACCTCGTCCAGCTGCTAAGGACCGCTGAGGCCTGGAATCCAACAATAATGACATTGCTTCGTTATTACCTCTTTCCAGAGCCAAGCCGTACAGGACTGCAAAGATCTACGCGATCCCATTTCTATGATGCGATTGGTCACACTTTTATGAAAACCTAATTAGGTCGTATGCGACGCTGTAGTCTAAATAATTGTGCAAGCTCGCTCGCAAACACCGAGAGCAACAACAAAGACCCAAAAAACCAATCATATGCCATCACTCGACTACTAAAATTGATGGCAAAGTAGCACTCGCACCCAATGGAGCAGCAGCCACAACATTCATTACTCCCGGCGGAAAGCCGATTATAGAACCAATCTCCAATTCCGAAACCCCGTCCGGATGGAAAAGAAAATAAAAAATAAAACGCCATACGCGTACCGCCAAACCCCATAAAATGCAGAGCCCACGAAAGAAAGAAAACATAATGACAGAGAAAAACACAGTGAAGAGGAACATCAAGCACGAAACGGAGTTTTAAAGCTTCACCCTGTCATTTAGTGGGTCTGCTATTCTTTGTTATCTCCCAAGTTCTTTCTCGATTATATGCGGTAACTAAACTCACCAGCCATACGTCTGATATTAGGAAGGACACCTCCACTGCTCAGGTTACCACCCTGAGCAGATGAGTTTTGTGGCCCACTGGAGCTTGAAGTTCCCCCAACAGGGCGTTGATCCACTGCCTGATGACGGGTGTTCATCAACCAGTGAATTTGCATACGGATGCCCCCAATTGCAGCTCTTAAGCCGGCAACCTCTTCTTTCAGCCTCAAACTCTCATTCATCAGCAGCATTCCTTGCTGTATTTCCATCTCCGAGAGCGATGCAGTCAGCCGCTCAAGATCGGAACGAAGATGCTCCTGCTCAGCAAGGAGCTGGATTGTATGCTCGTCAAAAAAAGGCGCAGCTGCCTCCGTGGGTGGCCTTGGGGGGAGAAGAATATCAATCTTTCTACGAAGTGCTCTGTTCTCCAGCTCTAGTGTTTCAAGGCGACCCGCATGGGCATGGAGTACCGGTCGAAGAAGAGTAAATGGGCAAGCTCTCGTATGCTCTGTTAGCTCCCTCCGAGCCCCCTTCCATGGACATCCCACATCTGATGATTCGCACGGCATAATTGCTTCATCGCAAGTAGCTTCATGAGCTTTAATGTTGGAACGAGTGAAATCTCCCGAGCAGTGGTTGCACGCGGCGATGATTCGTGGACACTCGACTCTGTGATTCTAGATAGCAAACCGCACCATGAGTCACGACCCATCTTCCCCAACCACCAGCCCCTGATTGTGGGGGGGTTTGGGGGGATAGAGGATAATAACTAACCTCCATGTCAATCTTGCGGCAGCTGGAAGAGCAAAAGGGGCACTCCACCAACTGGTGTAAACACTCGGACCCAGCATCTCTCCTCATTATCGTACCATCACATCCTAAGCACTTTACCGCAACGAAAGCACAATCTTCCCTAAGGTGCCCGCCCAGCAGGTACCGCGCGCAGGTCATGGGGCAACCGAATTCGGAATTAGGACACAGAACCACCAAGTCGTTGACCAAATTGGCAATCATGATGGGAGCTGCAGAAACGTCCTCCAGCTTCAGTGGTTTCCGGTCGACCGGACACGTCTTCGAGGTCTCAAGGGCCTCGGTAATGCAGCTGGAGCAAAAGGTGTGACGACATTTCGTGTGAACGGGGTCCACCAGCGGGGAATGACAGATAGGGCAGCAAAGGTTATCATCAACCTCCGTAAGGTATGAGAGATTCCCCAGGTCCAGCGTATTTTCTGATACCGAATTGAGGGACATTGTACCGTATCCTTTTTCCGATTCTAATCCCGGAAGGTGTGTGTGTGTGCGTGTGTGTGGTGGCGGTGGTGGTGGGGGGAAGGTGAACGCCAAGGAGGGCTTGTTGGGTGGTTGAATTAGCAAGAGCTTGTGCGATGATTTCGGGCGCGGAGGTGTTTGCGGTGACGATGGTGATGGTGGTGGTGTTGGTATAGGCCGGATGGTGACGAGAGAGGCAGTGGTCAGAACGGCGGCCGGATAGGGAGGGGAGAGGGGTGTGGAGGATGGTGAAGTTTCCTAGACGTGCAAGAAATTGGGTCCTGCAGTCTCTTTTTTATCGATAACTTCTTACTGGTGGCGTCCGATAGCTTGCTCTCTGCGGAGACCCTGGAACTCGGGAGAGAAAAAGAAAAGGGATTTACCTCTGACTGATAAATGGCAGCTTTCCATGTGTTCAACGCATAAAATCCCCTACGTAGCTTCCTCCTTGCTTAAAACTGCTCAGTTCTGATAGTCTGTAGAGTGTGATGCATCATTCAAAACCAGTCCAATGGCTGTGCACTCGAGTATGCGGGAGAACAGCAGGCTGCGAGCTGGTCCGTGAAGCGTTGTTAAAATGCGGAGAGGAGCGAACCAACGGGCAATGTAATGCATATTTTGAAGGAGAAAACCTGGTTACTCGAGCATCACAAGGCCTGCGAGTACAACGTCGGCTCCGTTACGGCGTTATTTATAACTGGCTTCGAAAACTATCTCCACACATTCCCCTACGATTCCTGTGAAGCTTTCTAAAGCCCGAGTGAAACAAGGATGGCCAGAATCTTTGTGCTGATTGAGAACACGCCAGTGGAGTTTTTGGCGTCGCGACTCTTACTCGTCAACCCTCACGCAAGACATTCGCTGCATCGGCTGCAGGCCTCCAATCCCCGTCCACTACCGGTACTCCCCCCATAGAAAAACATCTCATCCTGTCTCCTCCTCCTCCCGCCTGGACAAAGTACCGGTATCCTACCAAAAGCTTTCCCCCCGAACCCCAGCTCCAGACAAAGCAACAGCAAAAAAAAAAAAAAGGTAATCAACTTCTTCACCTCTCGTTTACCCCCACACACACACTTTAGTAGCCTATCCTTTCATCGCTCCCTCCCGTCCAGTCTCGGCTCCCCTTTCTCCTGGTCCGCATTTCTCATGACGAGCACAACCGCCGATCGTCTCCAGCTCCTCCAAGAACATATCCGACTCTCTCTTATTGAACGCAAGCGAGCTCTCTCCCTCAAGGCAGAGCCGGACACTCGAAATACACATGAGATATCACGCAGTCTCGATACTTTGCGTCAAGGTATCGAACAGTTAGAGAAGGAACAGCAGCAGCTCGAAGTTGCCGGGGATTTGTTCGTCCGACCTTACCCTACTACCCCCCCCCCCCTCCCCCCTTTCCGTATTCCTTATCCCCGTGCTACCAAGGCAGCATGATCACTGATATCAAGCATATTCGTTCGCCTTTAGATCATCCCAAGGCTTGAGGGAAAGGGAAGATGTTCTTATCAGAGTCCGCTCACAGTACGATGACCTACACGCGCAATTCACATCGACAGACACCGCTCCCTCAGGCCCCTTGGACCTATCCTTCCGACCCTCCTCATCAGTGATAGCCCCTGGGCGACTTAGTGAGAACCCTATAGATGAACATGAAGCTCGGGAAGCCCTTATGGGGAGCCGCGAAACACCCAGCGCCCTGCGAAAGGGTAATAAAACGGTTCGGTTTTCCGATACGTTGGTGAACACGGATGAGTTGGACAACCACCAAGTGCTGCAACTGCACCGAAGGGTTTTGGATGAACAGGATGAGAGCTTGGATCGACTGTCAGAGAGCATACGAAACCAGCGGGAACTCAGCATTCAGATAGGCGATGAACTCGAAAGTCACGTGCAGTTGTTGGACGAGGTGGATGGACTGGTTGATAGACATCAGGGCAGGCTAAACGGCGCGAAGAAGAAGCTCAAGAGTGTGGCCCAGACGGCAAAGGACCACGGTACGCCTTCTATATATACCCTTGCCCGGGCCGAAACAAACTTCAGCCTGCTTCCGGACTTTACGAATGCTAAACATGAGCACAGGAAGTCTGGTCGTCATTGCTATCCTCATTATTACCTTGATCCTACTCATTGTTGCCATCTAATAGTTTGATATCCTCACCCGCATCCACGAACTAATCCCATCACCAGATAGAATCCCGTTCGTGATCAATCTTTCATATTTTTTTTCCTAGTCATTGGAGTTTTGGTTGGGTGGTCTATTATCGGAATTACGGGAATCAACTCTAAAAGAACAAGGGGTCCGGGAAAGTCCAATCAATTTATTCGCTCGTCGGCAGTGTTTTCATAATTTTGCAGCCTCTCTTTTTTTTTTCACCTTCCACTTGCCCCCATTTATTTCTACTTTTCCCCATTTCCCTTCCCGCCTGTCATACCGCAAGTATAAATGTTTCCTTCCCCTTCTTCCATAGTCTGTAGATTCCGGCAAAACCTGAAGCCTAAACACGTCATGCGTATCGAAGGGAAAAGTCATTCCCTAGAAACGCAACCCTTATCAATATGACCCCCTGATAAACAAAAATGACCCGGCGCAATGATGATGATGATGATGATGATGGTGATGATTCACTTATACGACACATCCGTCGGCCCCCGGCAAGGTACCTGAGCTACCAGTAAACAATCAAGCAAGGAGGCAGCGGACCGACCAGCGGCAACTACACGTCACGGCAATACCGGTACATCATACCCTGCAGTCCGCTCTGCCCAGCAGCGCGGTAACCGAGCCTCGTCCCTGTCCATCACGGCAACCCCCTCACCGCAACGAGCATCAAAATCCTACCGTAGTCTTAACGACCACAACCTCAGCACGCACACTACCCATCACCAGCAACACCACCTTCTCCACGTTTGTATATAGCACAGCATAGCATAGCATAGCATAGAAGGTAACAGTACTGTACCCCCCCCTTCCATACATACCTGACTCACAACCACCGAAACACACTTACAACGCCTACGGCACCGGTGAGATACGGCTACGAGTATTACTTACGGCACCCGTACCACAGGCAAACAACACCATCCCCTCCCGCCCGCCTGCCCGAACCACACCCCCCACCAAATACTCCAATTCCCCGAAAGATGAAAACGAATGTGCGAGAAAAAACCTTAAAAAAAATGAAAAATAAAAATAAAAACCTTGTGTGACTTGCTCTTATGGTATTTATTTGCTTTTTCCTTTGCCCTGACCGTTCTGACCCGACCGACTGACTGTGCTGCGCCGTGCGTGGGGGTTTATACAGTACAAGTACGGTACGGTACGGCACAGTAGCGCTGCATGCGTGCGCCCGTGTGTGCAACATGTGGTAATATTTCGAGTGATTTTTCGTGATTGTAGTTTTTTTTCTTTGGTGACGGTGTTATTAACTTAGGGCGCGTCTGGTCGTCCCGAGTTTTTCAAACCTTGATAATCACAAAACCTGATTTGCAGGCTGCAACTGAAATAATCGCAAGTTGTTATAATTGGGAGTCTTCACACTCCCAGAGGTGTGTCTGGTCGCCTGAAAAATCAATTCCAAAAAGGTCACTCAAAAAAATCAGAATAATTAATGTGTGAAAGACATTGCCACCTGTATTTCAATACTTATTTTTTAATTTTTTTTACTCCACTATTGGTAGTGGGAGTGGATTATTGTAGCCAATGCGCACCACTCCAAAATGAGAGTTTGTGAAATACTGGTCGGACCAGTATTTCAGAAACCTTCATTTTGACATCATTATTGCGTTTTGAATATTGTGTTTTGGTGTCGACCAGACATGCCACTCAAAAGCAAAATAGCATTTTGTGACAAACCTTCATAACCGGGGTCAAAATGAAGGTTTGAGGTGGCAACCAGACGCGCCCTTATTGGTTGTACGATCTGTATGGAGGGTGGTAACTCCTACGGTACCGGTAGGCGTTTTGTCCTGCTTTGCTTGTTTGTTCATTAGATTATTAAGGTGAGGTGCGCATTCGGCCAAGGTGGATGAGGCTGGCCGGCTTGATTTGAATTGTTGCGGTTTTCGCTTACTTACTTGCTTGTCTGTTCTGTTTGTCCGTTTGTAGTATCATAAGTTAAGGTTGAGGTTGAGGTTGAGGTTGGTGCGATGGCCAGTGCGTGAATGAGAATTACTGTACGAGTGCAGTATCATACATATTATGTTTTGGAAGGACTACCGATAGTACTAATATATGGTATTATTATTATTTATTTAATCTTTTTATTTTTATTTTTACAGTGCTCTATGCTAATTGTAGCGATTAGGTTGGATTATGCTTTTGCGGGGTGCATTTTTTTTTTGTGCATGTGTCGTGAGGTTTGAGGTTGGTTGGTTGGAGGGAGGGGATTCGCCATGCCATGTTTTTTTTTCTTTTTTCCCCGGATACGGTAGATGTAATGGATATAAATGTACGGGGTAGTCTGTCGGCGTGGTGACTTTTCGATTGGTCTATTTATGTGTTTATTCATTCATTCATTGTTTATCGCCTTCCTTCCTGATCGAAAGCTAGTCTAATACGGTACTGTACGAGTACAGACATGTGCTCTACGAGTATGGTGGAATACGGTACGGTACGGTACTCAGGCTCCCGTGATATAAAATGAAAAAATGAAAATGCAGTGTGACATTATCGTGTGCATTCTAATCCAATCACGATAACCGGTATGCGGTATAGACTATACACCAGTTCCCGAACTTTTATGCATTTCTCACTCGATCCTACGCCTGCAACTGCACATTATACATATCGAGTATGATATCTCACACCGCCCTTTCCTTCCTTTTCGCATACGATACGGCACTTGCTTTCCTCCCCTCCGCCTCTAGCCCTTCACATTGTTCTTAGCATCAAGAACCTTGTTGGCCGCCTGCTGCAACTTTTCTATCTCGCCTTCCGAAGCCTCGGTCTCTCCACGGTAGGCTTTGACCTGTATTTATTTATATGCCCCACACTGTTACTGATCGCCCATCGCTACCTCTCTCACCACCCCCCCCCTCCCTCCCTGCATGCATGATGGTGGTGGGGGAACATACAAAAGCCTCAGAATCGGTAGCGAGTTCCTCGTGCCAGTGCGGGTGCTCGGTTGAGCCCTTTGCGTGCTTTCGTAGGATGCTTTGTTTGTTCCTTTCGAGGACCTAATATTGCAAATTAGAATGGTGGAGGAAGGATGGAAGGATGGAAGGGTAGCAAACCTCAGGATCGTTATCATGCCTCGCCGATGTCCCCATGAACCTTCCACCCTTACTACTACTGCTACTGTTGCTACCACCACTGCCAACCACCGCTGCAGTCGGTCGTGCAGAAGAAACAACCGCCCGCTCCAGAATTCCGGACGATCGGAAGAGTGTGGACATGTCGAGTCGTGATATAGCTATGATGAGACGGAGTAATGAAGGGTAATAATAATATACGGTGCTTTTTTCAGATGTGTTGGATAAATGAAAAAGGTATGATAGATTGGTTCGGAGGGAGAGAGGAAAGGAAGTGAAAGATAGGGACAGCCTTCTTCTTCTTCTTCTCTCCCTTCTATGGGAGATTTGAACAAAGGCCCCCCAAAAAAACCCTACCCTTAAAATACAAAAGTCAAGTCGAGCAATGACGTCACATCTCACCAGTCGTCCGAGCATCATTATGTCATAGCCTAAAGTCACCGCCGAGCCTTTGATTCCTTCCTTCCTTCCTTCCTTCCTTCCACCCCCGCCTTTCCCCGGCCGGGGTAAGTTGGGTGGGCACGTTTACCATGGACTATCCTCTCATCCTGTCCCGTCCGGCGTCCGCGATGTAGAGTACGAGTACGATACCCAGCCTACTGTACGAGTACTAACAAATTTCAAAAGTATTCGGACACCTTGGCGCCAAGGCCACAGGTACTTAGTGCAATCCAAAATCCGGTATATCCAACAAAATAACTAGCTATAGAATTTGCTTCTGTCCGGCTTTTCATCCATTTAGCCATGGAACTTGTTTCCACCCTGCTGTTCAATGTGTTTAGCCATGACTCTAGGAAGCTACTCAGACTCATCATTAGATAAGAATGTTTGTTGTCATACATGTGTTCGTCAACTTGTGATGAATTCAGCCTATTTACTCAAAAGTCTTGGCACCACACTTTCTCTTGGCGCCAAGGTGTCCGAATACTTTTGAAATTCGTTAGTACACTACCGGTAACTGCATGGTTAGTCATCCCATCCCCATCAATCAATCAATCATGCCTACCGGTACTGTACCGGCCGGTACCGTACCGGTATTCCAGCACAGTTGAGAACCCTCTCTTGGCAGGATCATATATGAAACGCGAACAACCCCCTTGGAAAACAGGAAAAAGCACCCGCAAAAAAGCCCACGAAGTTCATGATTGATTAATAACCTCGTAACCGGAGCTGAAAAAAAATTAGAGAAACCTCGGCAAAAGAAAGACAAAACCTGGGTTAGAAAAAAAGCGTTAATAAGCGAGATCAGACTTCAAAACTGTTAGATCGCGTGGTACCTTATGCGCGAGCCATGATTATTATACATATTATCGTGGAGAGAGTAATGATATGTATCGTAGAATTTCGAAACCGGCCCGAGCGACAAAAGACAAGGACAAAAAGGAAAAAAATCAAAAAAATCAAAAAATCAAAACCTAATTTGTTCAAGTTTAAATTTGGGAAAATGTTTTTTTATTTTTTTATTTTTTTTATTTTTATTTTGGGAATGTGGATTGGCGCTTTTGCTTATCTTAGGCGCTTGCTTCTCGCTGGAAACGTCCGCAAGGGTCAGGGATGGGGCGGGCGTGTGAAAAGGGGGGGGGGGGAGGGAAGGAGAAAGAGAAGAAGAAGAAAAAAAGAAAAAAAAAGCAATTTCTTTACTTTTTGCTTCTTCTGATTTGTTGTTGTGTTGATGGATGGTGTTAAGTTATGAATGAGTGGGTGGGTGTGTATAGAGTATGGCGCTGTAATTGGTGGACCGGATAGGATAGACATTGGAGTGGTTACCAGAAAAGTGAAAAAGTGAAAAAGTGAAAAAGTGAAAGTGAAGAATTATCCTCATCATCGCGATCGAATATGTAGACTATGGAGGGAGGGTATGGGAATGGGAATGGGAATGGGTGATTACCGGTTGCTTTTTTTTTTCTTCTTCTTTTGACTTTCGAGTGCGTGCGTAAAGTACTAGTACTAATACTAGTATTGTACAGACCATCCCATCTCCATCATCCTCCGAAAAGAAAGAAAGAAAGAAAGCACCTTCCTCAATTTATGACTATAAAACTCCAAGATTCGTTCGCTCCATAACTCTGAAACATCGTGAGGTTCTCCACCACCGCATATTATATACTGTACACTGTATGAATATATAGAGCGCTGCAAAGTATCCTGCATGGACCACTCTATCATACATGCACAGTACAGTTCTCGAGTACGGTACTAGTGCGTTCACCCGTGCATGGACTAAAAGTAGTCTAAAACAAACCCACCCACCGGAATGAATGAATAAATGAATAAATAAACACACAACGGTACCGGTAGCTTGTTTCCCTCCCAACCTTCCAACCCCCCCTTTCCATGCTAAAACGCGGAGGGCGCATCGAATGCAGGTTGGCTGGCTGGCTATCGTACCAAGTACTAGTACAGGTATTGGTATCATAAAATAGCAAAACAATAATAATATGGGAATGAAATGAAATATTTAAACTTGGGGAAAGAAAGAAAGAAAGAAAGAAAGAAAGAAAGAAAGAAAGAAAGAAAGAAAAAGAAAAAAAAAGGTACGGTCCTGTTTTGTAGTTATTGGTAATGATTGTTTTTGCAAGCTTCGATCAATCAGTTCAATCACATCTACGGTACTCGTAAGTTATCGATCTAGCTATGGTACCGTATGATAGGCTCCGGGGGAAGGGGGGAAGGGGGGAGGGGGGCGGAGCGCGGACAAGACTTATTCGTAGGCTCTCAACTCAAACCAAACAGGGGGGAGGAGGGAGCACGAGCTGAAGGGAGTCAAAAGTAGGAAAAGGAAAGAAAGGGAAAGGAAAAGGAAAGAAGGCAATCTCGATAATCCTTTTTTTTTCTGATATTGTACAATAGATAAACGTTACCGTACTTGTATTAACTCTTTTTCTTTTCTTTCTGTTCTACCGTATTCGCTACCTGGCTATTTCTCCGTTAGGTTAGGGTTGCCAAAGTCATTTGGCGGTGTTTGATCTCATTAACTGGTTTTTCGGAAATTTCCTCAACTTGTCCAACTAACCCAGACCAGACCGAACCGAGCCAAACCAAACCTGGGCGATATACCGTTATTTGCGGGGATAGATGCACAGAGTTGATACTTGTACGGTACGGTATCTTTTACAGCGCGGCAGTATATTATTATATAACTGTATCATAACCAGGTATTTATTCACGGGTTTGTTGGAGAAGGAAAAACCCTTCTCCGCACTACCGGCACGGTACTCGTGCTGCGGTAGGTACCCTCTTTACCAGTCCTTCCCTGCCTCCTCCTCTTCCTCCAGGTTCCAGGCCTGGCTACGCTTTCCCCAACAAGAACAGACCCCCACCTTCAAAGGGAGGAAGAAAAAGTAAAAAAAATAACGAAGGAGTGCACGGTCGTTATTTTTCACCCTTACTGTACACGGTAAAGTTTCAGGCTTTTCCATCCATGATCCATCCTTCACCTCACCTCACCTCACCGTTCGCCGTTCTTAGCGAACGGGGGGGAAGGAGAACGAAGGGACGGGTGATCTACAAGATGATGACTTATCATGGTGTAGTATGATAGGAAGGTGTGAATTGTGAGCTGCAGGAGGGCTGCCATAGGAGGAGGAGGAAGGGAGGCTTGGGTACCTGGGCGGTACCGGTATGGTACTCTGCCGTATGTGAGGGGAGGGAAGATTATACGTACTAGCAGTATTAAATACCGGTACGTTACTGATGATGGAGCTTGACTTGTAGCGCGTGGAAAAGCTTTTTTCTTTTTCTTGTTCTTTCTTTCCTTCTTTTTCTTTTTTTGCTTTGCCTCGCTTTGATTTGCCTGGTAGGTTCGGTCAGTCGTGGGGGATGTAGCCTACCGGTCCTGTATCATACTGTCTGGTGCCTCCGTTTTCTCTCTTTTGTGATGCCTTCGCGTACTGCACGAAATGATGAGATGACAGGTTTGGTATTTGTTTTCTCTCTCCTTGGTGTTTTGGGAAGGCGTGGAGATTTAGGTACGGGTACCTTACCTTACCTTGCTTTGTGATACTCACTCTCTCCACTCGAACTCTTGGTATCGTTGCTCCTGTTCTTCCAAGCATCGTAGATACTACTCTTATCCAGGAAGAGTAAAAGGGAGAGCAATCAAACAATACAATACAGTTTTTTTTTGGCCTTGCTTTGCCCGCCTGAAGCCGAGATGATTTTAGAATAAAGCACCCACTGGTGAGGAGAGGGGGGATATCAGAAACATAGAAGGGAGGAGAGTGAAGATAAAAAAAAAAAGGAAAACGATAGACAACGAATGCTGGAGGGAAGAAAACTAGCTCGACCACCCAAAAAAGCATTACTCCATTTTCCGTGAGTTAATACAAGATCGAGGTATCAAGGTGAACAGCTTGGGTAGGTAAATAAAGAAGAAACACACAGAAGCAGAGTACACAAGAGGAAAGGAAAACTAGTTAAGTTAGTAACGGATGACAGATCCTGAAAAAAATTTAAAAATCTTTTTAAACAAGGAAGATGAAAAAAGAGTTCCCCAAAATTCACACGAGAATATAAAAAAAAGGTAAAAACCGTACAAAACGCAAAAACACTCCGCCCCAAGATCAGAGATACACGCCGCTATTATCGCAGCAAGTGAAAACAGCTTTGCACCATTGAAAAACCCAAGACAGCAACCCCCGAAAGAGCCCCGAGATCGTTAAAACAACCCAATAACCCACCGCCCCAAGTCCGTTGACAAGAACTCCCAAGACTAAGTGAAGACCCAAAAGGAAAAGGAGGATTAAGGAAAATAAAGAAACACAGAAGCCGAAAACTATGTATAGAGATATTTATAAGGCCGTCCAATATTTTTCGTTTTTCCCCACTCTTTTTAAACAATCCCTGATGCGAAAACAAAAAGACAAAACCGACCGTACCAATAAAAGCACACGTTGAAGCGAACACAATAACACCATCCCATGGTTAATTTGACACACACCCCGAAAACGTACAGATAAACCACCAACATTCTATAGACATAGCGAGAATGTAATCGCTAGGAAGTGAAAAAGACGGGTGAAAAAGTTTTTTTTGAAGGTTGCTTTCAGTAGGATGGGTGATATCAACGTCGCTTCTAGGACACTCTGATCGAGAAGGTTGGTTTGTCAAGGACGCGAGTGATCTCACCACCTCCTGGCGAGGCCAGAGCTGGGATAAGGATTCCTGTTCGGTGACGCTAGTGGAGGGGAAGCAACGCGCAATCCAGTATTAGGGTTGACGATGGGGATAGCAAAACGTTGTTTTGGGGGCATAGCAGGGGGCTGTTGATATTTGACATGCATGTTGTGGAACATGTTTGCATAGGTAGCAGCGTGAGGATACGCTGTCGAGGGTTGAACCTGATGCTGTAATGGCGATGACTGGGGAGAACCGCTTGAGGTCGAAGAACGATCTGAAGACGAGTAGTCCATCATCTGGCGCTGCGGACAGGTGAAATGTAAGCACGCTGTCGAAGCATCATTCGGGTAAACAGATCATTGGTACGGAAGGCGGCTCATACTTCTTCCTCCGTACACAGTTCCGGGATGAAAGCGAAATCATCCTCCATCTCAAAAGACCTTCCCGCCTCAAACTTTTCAATGAAAGTAGGGACTGCTGGTGTGTCTGTCAGCTCCTCCTTCGGCCTCATCATGAGAAAGGATGGAGTGGAAGAAGGACGGTGAGGGTTCCTACGAGAGCGGTTGCCCGAGGAAGTTTGTGCGGGATGTGGTAGGTAGGGATAACCGAAAGACATCGCGTAGTAGCAGTGGTATTTGATATGTTATTATGGGGGAGTTGATGCTATCGCCAGGAAAAGCTGCCCGAGGGAGTGAGTTGAAATGTGAATGCCTGGTAGTGGAGACTTGTTTTCTTTTGCCGGTGTCGGAATTTGTGGGTTTAAGGGCGGCACAACGCAAGGCAAGGAGAGATGAAGTGGTAGGAAAGATGGACGAAGGAGGGTGGCGATGATTAGATTATAACAAACAACACCGGACCGTATCGATAATGGAAACTTTGCCTGGATGGCTCGTGTGTGCTTTTGAATGTGAATGAAGAGGGGTGCGGGAGGGGGTAGAAGAAATAAGAGGAGAAGGCTGTGGCGGACTGGAGGTTTGAGTTTGGGAAAGTGGTGAGAGCACTGAGAGGGGGGGGAGGAGGATAAGCAAGAGAGAGGCTTTGGGAGGAATACAGGAAGCGTACCGGTATGGGAGTACAGGCAGGGAAAGAGAGGGAGGGAAAAGAGCGAGGGAGAGAGCATTGCGGACTTGGGGGAGTGTGTGTGTGGGAGTAAGAAAAGTGTGTGTGCGTCTGTTGTCTGAATGGTGGAAAAATATGATGGGGAGTGCAGGGGGGGGGGGGTGGTCGGGGGTGGAAAGAATACAGTGCGAGTACTCGTACTGTAAAAAAGGGGTGGCGACATGCCTGCGAGTGAGAGGAGGGGTGGGTCGGATACTGTTCTGGGAATAGGTCTGCAAGCGCTGGTCGTACTCGTTACACTCATACAGTACAATCCAGTGGAAAGGAAAAAAAAAAAAAAAGATATAAAAAAAAGAAAACAATAAAAAGAGGCATCCAGGCTATCAATATCCCGCCACTGGCATCCCTCATAGAGAAACATACCGGTGGAGAAAATCCAACACCAGGCACAAGGGTTTGTCCATGTCAGTCCGAGGCCTGGTTGGCTCGTCGATTTTGCTGCGCCCAAGGCAAGCCCCACCCTCCCTCTCTGGCCTCTCTAAATTCAGTGCCACCCACCCCCCCCGAACACAAAACGGTTGGGGGGGAAAAGAAGGGGTGTGTGTGTGGTGAAGCTTTGAGGTGGTGGTGGGACCTGGTGAGTGATGGGGCAGGTTTTGGTACAAGATTCTCATGTTTTGGGAGGGTCAGCAGGGGAATGTTGATCCCATCCAACCAGTCAGAGTGCAGGCAACTGGAGACGGGTCTCGCCATCTTTGCTCTCCGCAGCCAGTTGCCGTGCGCATTGTCGCATGCATCATTTTTTAATTTCGGTCCTCGCGCTTCCCAGTCCACTTGCTCTGTTCGGGTAGACGAGAATTGCGGAAAGCGGTTAGACCACCATTGTCCCCGGTCTGTCCTGGAAGGTGGTGGGTGACCATTTGTTCAGCCTCGACGGATTATGCACGAACCGATCGGGTATCGAGGTTTTCTCCCTCTCTCACTGGCTGCCAATCGGTCCGGCTTGATCATTTGGCCCAGCTTGACGTGTTCGTATCCTCCAGGAACAAAGAAAGGCGTGAATCTAACTCTAAAGGATTGCTGCTGCTGCAAGCATTCCTTCCCATCATCAAGATGCAGAAGAGGGAGGCTAGGCAAGTTCTGCGGATAGAGCTCCGAACAACATCAAGAACGTCACAGGCGCCTTCTTCTTCTTCTTCATGGAGCTGTCCCATTGCTTCCAGACCCTGGTTTGGTTTAGGGGTTTTGCCCATTTTAGAGACGGAGCATTTCTTCCTGGTCCTTGAAGCAGGCATGCCACTCATTATCTCCGGCTGCTGCCGGATTCCCGATCAAAGTCACAAAACATCTAGAAAATGCACCAACGTCCGTCCCATTCACAGCAACGTGCTCTACCCCAAACCCGGCTCTCATGCCAACCAAGAAGGAAGAATATATATATTGTGGGGAAATCTCAAAAAAAAAATCAACAAAAATCACAGAAAATGGTCAGGAAAATGAGATTTATAGAAAAAAGAGTAGCCAAGAGACCCTCTCACACAAACTGCGCTACACAATGCCCCTCGCTTTTATCATCCGACAAAGTTGATCTTTGCAATTCTTCTCCGCAGATGGCGTGAACGACTCCCACGCCTCATAGAGCGATATGATTTCCTGGGTACACTCGATAACGGCTTCCATATCGACTTTCGACTCGGCATACCACTCTATCAATTTTCCGATCCGGGCTTGAGGCCCCTGACCGCTCGCGCCGTAAGCGCCACCACCGCCGCTATTTCCCCCGCTACCACTAGAGTTCGCCGCAACGGCAGATGATGCTGCGGCATGTATGTTCGTTTGTGGTAGCGATGTTTTCAGTACGACCGAAAGAAAGATCGCGGTCAACGCAATTATGTGTGGAGGGTATAATAGCGGAAGGTCGGTAAGGCAGGAGTCGTTGATAACCTGCCAGGAGGTGTTGTTCTCTTCACTCGTCAACGATAGAACAGGTGTTAGATCCTGAAGGGTCCGGTATGGGTGATGAACTATCAGATACGAATTCATTTCAGATATGAGGTAAAACTCGCATTCAGCGAGCTTCGCTGTATCGGAGGGCATTACATCTGTTGGGCGCGCCGGGTGCAAGGTTTAGAAAGAGGGGGGCCACTTCCGATCGGAGGGCTGGGTAGGGTGGAGCTTACCGGGCCAGCAGGTCCGCGCCTCACTAACAACAATCCTGATGTGCTGGGGACACTCCTCCATCTTCAACGCGAGATACAAGCATGTTGCCATCACTAAGTAGGGATTCGTATCACGTATGGGGACCTTTGTGTAAAATCGTCGGATATACAATTGGGCCGTTGCCAGTGCCTGTTGTCTCGTCTGCATGCGCCGACCGAGACGAGCTATCTCTGTTTCGTGCGAAGCATGATACATTTTTTCCTTTTCAGTGAGCAAGCATAAGAGGCAAGAACGGGCATTTTATCTCATTTTCTTTCTTTCTTTTTGAACGGAAGAGGGAACGAACGAGAATTGAAGTATATGCTCAGGTGCCTCAATTCGGGCAAAGGGTATTGTTGAACCGTCTTCGGATCTTGAGCGTCGAGGGCGCTCCTGACCTCAGCCAGTCTCTGTCGAGACATTTGCCAATGCAGACGCTGTGATGAAGCCCAGTAGTTTGCCGCCATGACGTGCACGCAAGAATAACCAGTGCAAGACTGTGTACGGGTTTATCGTATGTGCTGCGACGATGTTCTCTTTGGGGCGATCGCCGTTGCTTTGCTTCAGTGTGCTGCTTGTCGTTACTGTAGGGAAATAGTGATGGATCTAGTTTGGTTCTCTTTCTTCCTCCTTTGGTTTTTCCCTCGGCGAGTATGTATTTGGTGGCTGGGTCGAGCAGGTTGAGAGGCGGGAAAGGCGAGTCAAAGGCGGCAGGGCTGTGTATAAACGTTCATCGGGTAGCCAAGGGCTCCTCTCTTCCACTTTGGAAAGGGTATGATGCTGATCGAGGTGCGGCAAGGCAAGGGCAGAGTTGAAGTGCCGGCCGCGAAATCGATTGAGGCTCAAGCGAGCAAGCGAGGAGCTATGGAGAAGATTTTTGGATGGTGGGTGGAAGGGGCGGTGCGACGGAAGGATTCTCTGGTCCCGATTCTCGAAGGTCCGGACGAAGGTGATCGGAGAAATCACTGGCTCTCGCCGCTTTTGGGGACAGATCTTGGAACGAATTGCCGCCGGTTTTGGCTGGTCCACGGATGGGGCAGATGAGAGCCATCTGGTCCATCTCGGTCGCAACGGGGCTTGGCAAGTCCCAATAAAACATTTAATTTATGATACCGCCTTTGCCAAGTCTGAAAGGAGCCAATAGACTCGAATCACAGACAACCTTGTGACCTCACTTCACACCCACACCGCATTCGTCCCAATTCATCCGCCAATAATAAACACGTGGAGATTGGGACCACCATTAAAAAAAATTTCTTGAATTCTCCCCGGTTTGTTTGCTTGGCCTTTCCAACCCCTTTGCAGAGAATTCACGATAAAACGGTGACCGCGATCACTTACGGCCCCTCATCGGATCAGATCAAAAGAGGAAAAAAAGAGTAAGAAAAGGTGAAGGAAGGAAAGAGAAGAAAAGGACAAGAAGGTTCCATACATGAACGAGCGGGAGAGCCAAAAGGCTCGCGATGAGCGCCTATTGAGGCTCTTCAACAACCTGGACACACGCAGCGAAGGTCATTTGGACCTAGAGGGGTTGAGGCGGGGTCTCAAGAGAATTAACCATCGTGAGTTTAATCACCTACTTCCTTTTAACCACCCCGCTTAAACACCCTTGAATGGGAGCCCCCACAGTATAAACGATCCATTTTCTGAATCATTGTCGGCCTGTGACAGCTCTGAAGGACGCGGAACATCTATTGCACGATATCCTGGAAGCAGTCGATACATCCAAGGATGGCCTTATTCAGTATTCAGAATTCAAGCACTTTTTTGAGAGTGCTGACCGGGAGCTATGGCGCATCTTCACTTCCGTCGACCTGGATAAGAACGGAAAAATTGATAAAGCGGAACTCCGAATCGCGCTTACCCGTGCTGGATTAGTGGTGGATACGAAACGGCTGCAGGAGTTCTTTGATTCAATGGACAGAAATAATGACGGTGTGATATGTTATGAGGAATGGAGGTACGATCGCGGGAAACTAGCAACCCTGCTTACTTTTTCGCGGCAATTGGTATGTCCCGGGTAGTGCTGACGAGTTCAAGAGATTTCCTCATGTTCATGCCCCATGAGGCCTCCTTAAAAACAATTTACTCCTACTATCTTTCCACCGTGAACGTTAACCCAGAAGGTGACGTGAGTCTTAGTGATGAGATAAATCACTTAGGACTAGGTAAAACCGGTTTCAATTCTTCCGATCTTACTCTCAATATATCAGGTTACCCCATTACAGCCCCCGCATGCTGGCCCGGTTTGTAGGTGCCTTCGGAAGGAATGTGCTAATGTCAATGTTTGGCTAGGCTACTTTCTTGCAGGCGGTATTGCGGGTGCAATTTCGAGAACTGCCACGGCGCCATTCGATCGTATAAAGGTTTACTTGATTGCGCAGACTGGCAATTCAGCGGCGAAGAAAGCGATTGAGGCTGTGACGCAAGGTGAAGCCGTCCAGGCTGCAAAAAAAGCTGCAGGGCCCATCAAGGATTCCATCCGGGCCTTGTGGAGAGCGGGCGGGGTCAGGTCCTTCTTTGCGGGTGGGGACAACACAACCCTGAGATTCGGTGGGGGGCTTTCTAACGTGGACAGGTAACGGATTGAATGTTGTAAAGATCCTACCCGAGTCTGCGATTAAGTTTGGCTCATTTGAGGTAGGCTATGCGCCTCTACATGATCCACCAGACGCTTCCCTAACATGAACAAGGCTGCGAAACGAGCATTCAGTAGGCTCGAGGGAACCAGTGATGCATCAAATATATCGCCAATTTCCAGATTCTTGGCCGGAGGTATTGGTGGTGTTGTCTCTCAGTATGCCAGCATTATCTCGAAGCTGAAATATCAACCCTAACCGATGGTCTAGATTTTCCATATATCCTATTGACACTCTGAAATTCCGAATGCAATGTGAACTGGTTGAAAATGGATCCACCGGGAATAGGCTTATTCTCGAGACGTTCCGAAAGACCTGGACTAACGGCGGCCCTCATGCATTTTACAAAGGCCTTCCACTAGCTTTAATCGGGATATTCCCTTACTCGGCCATTGATCTGGGTACATTCGAGTATATGAAGAGGTCATACACAGCACGGAAAGCTAAAAGGTTAAAGTGCGACGAAAAGGACGTGGAAGTGCCGAATTGGATAGTTCTCGGAATCGGTGCTACTAGTGGTAGTGTGGGGGCTACCGCGGTATATCCCATCAACGTATTAAGGACAAGACTGCAAGCGCAGGGGACAGCGCAACACCCGCAGACATACACCGGTATGTGGGACGTTACGGTAAAGACGTACCGCGCGGAGGGTTTCAGGGGGATGTTCAGGGGTCTCACCCCGAATTTGCTGAAAGTCGTACCTGCAGTTTCAATCGTAAGGTTTCCATTTTCCATATTAACCGTACTTCGGGTACTGCCATCTCATTACTAACACGTCTTCAGTCGTACCTTGTGTACGAAAACTCCAAAAAGACCATGGGTTTGGGATAGAGATTCGCGATACATAGATGTTTGCGATCCCCTTCACAGTGCACACACTATAGACAAGTTACAGCCTGATGATTAATTTTTTTTTCCCATTTCATAAATCCCCTCTTCATTTCCCTCCATTGGCCTAGGGTTCTCAAGGTAAAAGGTGTTTTTATTTCAATGCATACTAGTATAATTTCATTTCTTCACGGTTTGCGCAGTCTATTCCACCATTGAACCTCACTACTGCTCAAGTGCCATTTTTGTTTTGGTGGTTGTCTCTTCTATCGACAATTCAAGGCAAATCGAGCCCGCTTCCACTGTCCTGATAGCAGTAGATCTGGTCCCGCCGCCACGCCTAATGCCCGTCCCGTCACTACCCTGCCCTTCGGCGGGAACCCAGACTTCGGCGTACTTCTTCGGATGTCAGCAAGAAGTACCCAAAAAAAAATCTTACCCCCGAAGGGGGAGGGGGGGGGGGGGGAGTTCCCACATTTACCGGCGCTCCCGGCTCCTTCATCTCCACTGCCACGGTGTACGTGCAGTCTTCAGGTAGCCTGCCCAAGCCTGGAGCGGCGATGGAAAGCTTCATCAGGCAGGCCCTAAACTGTGCCTCCAACCCGGCAATCGTGATCTCATCCAACCTCTTCCTTCCCCCCCCGCCTATTCCCTCCCCTCCCTCTTCCAACTGCTGCAGTAGTAAATCGCCGTACCCACCTTCAAACGGAACATTCGGGAACGTGCTGAGATCAAAAACGTATCTCTCCAACGGAACATTTCTCGGAGAAATCAGAATCAGGCTGACTTTTGATACATTGCCCTAATTACTCCTCTGCTAATAAGCCTACTCACCAGGAACCCGAGTAAATCAGATTCAACTATACCTTCGCAATCTCCCCAGAAACAGCCCCAACCGCGTCCGCAATCCACTTACAAACGCGCTCGTGGCGGGACTGGTACACAGGGAAGCTGTACTTGCGCGCTTTGATGTAGAGCTCGGGTGGGTAGATGTTGCGGTGGTAGAGGATCGTGTGGATGCAGACTGTTAGGAAGTCTGTTAGGGTGGAGAGGAGATCTGGATATGAAGAGACTACGGATCTGCCTTCGGTCAGCTTTGGGAGGGGTTCCATGATGCGTATACTTTGTGCGGGATATGACGGCGAATGCAGGAGGGAGGGAGGGAGGAGCGGGGGGTGGCTTTGGCTCTGGGCTCAGTTGCAGCACTGGGCGGGAAGACGCGACGTGCTTCCGGGCGTGTTCCGTGCGTTGTTAAATGGTTTGCCAAGTCGGTGGGGTTTGCTTTTGCGTGCGCGTTGCTGTACTCGGGTGTGGACATGGGTGACCGGACAGCTAGGGATTACAGAGGCTTGACTGTTCTTGCTTTCATAGGAAATAAAAGAATGAGTCCGGCATGGGAATTGCTCGAAGCAAGAAGCTTTGACACCTCTAATCCCTGGCTGTCCGGCCTGGCTGTCTGGTCGCCCGTGTCCATTCCCGAGTACCGTACCGGTAGTCTACGCAATACCGGTATCATAATATTATGATAGAGGAAATACCGCTAATGGAATCGGGCTAGCCTGGCTCCAGCAAATATTGCCCATTCATCCATCCGATTGTCACCATCTCCATATCGCACCCGTATCATACCTCTGAGGACGGATCCCACCTTCCAAGAAAAATTCCAGAAGACGGATGGAAACCATTTTCCCCCAAGCGGCAAATTTGTCGGCTAAACAGGTACTGCACTGCACCTGTACTCGTACAGTACTCGAGTACTATTTGAAATCATAGATTGCACTGCATTGCCCCCTCTTTTTTTTTTTTTTCTTCTTCTCCCTTCCTTCTCCCCACACACCCCCATACCGGTACTGCACCAGTACGATACACACCCCATGATATAACACGCGCAGGAGAATAAATAAACCCCCCACACACCCCATCACTCGAGTTTCCTTCCGACCCCCGTCAATTCCTCCTCCCTTTCTTCCAACAACGGGTGCCTCGCCCAGCGGTATAATACATTATACCATCCGTCCATACCGGTAGGTAGGTAGGTAGACTAAGTGAGTTAATCCTTCAGTAAGGCGTTATTTCGTTTTTCGTTCCCCCCCCCCAAAAAAAAACCCCCCCTCCATAGTATATAGTACCGTACTTGAGCACCGTATTACCACATGCCCGCAGAATCTCCCCTCTCCCCCCCCTCTCTCTTTCCCCGTTAGCCCATAATTTTCGTTTCCACCTTTATTGCCCGAGGCATTGAATGTGACCCCTTTTCTTTCCCTTATATAAATATATATAGATATATATTTTAGCTCTTCTTTGCTCCCGGCGTCGGAAGGAGCATTGTAGAGCACAATACCGTACTAGGGTACACCGCATTTGTTCCCGGAACCCACGCTTATCCATCCATTACCCATCCTTCGGTTACCGTACTTGTATCGTATCAGCATTACAAGTGCGGTGATTATCGTGATGGTGGACCTGCCGTTCCTCCTCCTCCTCCTCCTCCCCGTATGATATAATTAGATCTATATCATGGGAATTCGGGGCGGGATTTGGAAGTGGTCTTGGCGTGTTTCCCCTTGTGTGGCCGAATAAATCTATGTATGGATTCTTGATATGATATGATACTTGTTTGGGGGGCTTGGTTCTCGATATGTATATATATGTGTATCATACCGGTATCGTGCTGTACAGTACTGCGCACGAGTGGTGAATTGAGAGGAGGGGTTATTACATCATAATATTCTCAAACTGGGGATGGAATGTTGTGAAAATTCATTTCCTATATATAACACAATACTCGCTGCTGATTATTAAGTTTCATGTATATGTACTATACGCTTTCAGTGTAGTACAATGACCACAATCTAGAAATTTAGACAATCGATCTTTATTGTTCTTGTTTTGTTTTTTTCCCATGGGAATAGTCCGTTATCGTTATTTTCCGGGGTTGCTTCGGGAAGCCCCATCATCACCATCGCCATTATCATCTTAAATAGATAGGTTTTTGTGGCCTTGCACGAGTGCACTTGATAGTTGAGTTTTTGTGTGGGGGGGGGGAGGTCCCGATGACGGGGGTTTACCCGTTGAGTGAGATAATTGTGCATACATACATACATACTCGAGCATATACAACGGACGGGCAGGGCAGACTGTCTCAGTCTGTCCGCTGGTGTTGGATGAAGTCATATCATGCTGGTATGATCGGTTTTAAGTAGGAAGCTGTCAAGCCTACGTTGTGGTTTATCATAGATTATGTGGAAATTCGTATTTGTATGTGTGGACGGTTGTCATCCTCCACACATACCAATTGCTGTAGATGATTGAATTCTTTTTGTTACGCAAGCTGTATTATAAAAGGAGGTCGATAGGACCCTTTGGTTGAAGAGAGGAGAGGAAAAACCATAGGATAGATCGTGGGCAGAACCGAGGGGAACTCTTTGATTACCCGTGTCTTTACCTTCTTCGTCTTCTTTCTTCGTGATACTTGACAATACTGATCAGGCAAGCCGCTAACAACTGACCGATCCCTTGTGCCAGTTACCCACCAAAGAACGTCGATCGCATCTACCAAGAGAGAGAGGTGACAAACTACACCCGAAGGACCTCCCACAATACCGGTATTGTGCTAGACCGACTATGATAGACTGGACTAGTGTGCTCAGGTTATAACTCGGGCAGCACAGTGGAGGTGGGGGGTGTCGGTAGGTTGACCGTGAGTGTGGTCGGCACGGTAATTGCGGTTGATTGATGCGAAGTTTGGCTTGGGTTGGTGGGGTCGACCGCAGGTGGGACAGGAGGCAGGCAGACAGGCAGACAGGCAGCGCAAATAGGTTTTTCCGGCGGGGGAACGTATACCCGGTGTTAACGGCGGATTGTGTGGGTCTTGGGGGGCGACGGATGTGGGTTGGTGTTTGGTAAGCTGTGGGGAGTATTGCTTTGACAGGTATGATACCATTATGTTGATACTGTGGTAGGGATCCGTGCAGTAGTCGGGTTTTGATTTAACGGTATGTGGATATCGCTGCTGCGGCTGGAGAGTGAATTTTATATTCCCCCGCGGCAGTGCTATATTGTCCCGGGTTGTGTGGTTGATATGCAGGTACCGTCACATGGAATCACTCGGTATGATGGGATCGCTGTTACCCGTTCCCGGCTTCTGAAAACAATCAGAGTAGAGCTCGGGAATCTTACTCTGTTGTGATTGGCCTGGGTTTGTCTGCGATGTTTTTTTGTGGGGTTGGGATGCGCACCATAACACCTCGTTTGGTGGTGGTGTGTATTTGTATAATATCGTATCATAGCGATGGGTGAGGTGTGGCTTCCGGGGGTCTTCGAGGCATGTGCCGGTTAGCGGGCTTTCGGGCTCCTATGCCTTTGTGACCACCTGTTGCCGAGTCCCGACATACTCACGCATCGTGCCGGTACGCAAGTAGCCTTCTGGGACCAGTATGATAGGTTCTATAGCTTCGGGAGTGGTAGGCTGCCCCACGCTGCCCGCTTGTGCCGTGGACCTAGGGTGGATACCCTGGGGGTCCGAATGTTGAGCGCAAACAAACTTTGGGGGCCGTTCTGGGCTTGACGGTACCAATCCAGCAGCAAAGCGTCAGCACCAAAAGCCGTTCAGAGAAAAGTTCCTTCTTCTTTATTCTAGAAAGCGTTTATGGTATCCTCTGCGTGGCTGTGCAGTAATCATGTCTTGGCCCCGCAGCCGTTTTAGAGCTTCTTCAGAGGGCTTCTGTTTCTTCTTTGTCTTGGCGTGGCGGAGGAGGGGCGTCGTTGTCGCGTCGCTTTTTTTTCTTTTCTTTTCTTTGACTGCCCCCCCCGCACCGCATGCGGGTAAGCGTGTCTGGTTCTTTGCCTCATTTACTCGACCCTGTCCGGTTTGTTAACGACAATTTTTATCAGCCCGCAACATTGTTCTGCTGTACCATACCCTGATAACCTAGATATCGCTTCTTCCCTCTCTTCTCTTCACCTTTTCTCAAACAACCTCTCTACAACTATTCGTCCTTCGTTTTTGTTTCTTTTTTCCTTGTCAATTCTTCATTGCTACCCTTGTTAGACTATACCTTGGTTTCTTGAATCTCGATTGTAAAGGGACGATCCTCCCGCCGCACGCGCTTCTATCGTGTCTATCATGGAGCAAGAGTGAGTTTTTATTTTGTGGCATTGTGTGATTGTTTGGTTATCTCACGGTCAAGGTGGGCTGACACGTGATTGTAGGATACTCCGTTTGTTGGGTGAAACTTTGTCTTCGCAGGAGGGACCTAGAAGGAACGCCGAAACTCAGATCACAAATTTATATGGGAATGATGGTTTGTCTTTTTCTTCTGCTGTGAATTGGAAGGGGGGGCCTTGTCTCCCTTCACTTGGTTGGCCCGGGAGTTTTACGTGTTGACTCATGAGCTGCTTTTTCGGGTGCCTAGCACTTCCCCTAGCTCTGGTCCAGGTTGCGTCAACCGCTCACCTTAATATATCTGTCCGTCAATCAGCCCTGTTGGTCCTGAAGAGATATGTCCAGCATTGTTGGAGTGATGGGTTTGAGGAGTTTACGGGACCATTGGCGAGTGATGGGATTAAAGACCGATTGAGGGATCCTCTTCTTGGCTTAGTTACAGACGAGCAGAGGAAGATTAGATTTGCTGCCTCGTCGATTGTTAGCAAAATTGCTGGTGCAGGTCAGTTTAGCTTGGGTTTAGGTGGAGGGCGGGGGCAATTGACTGAGCTGTGGTAGATTTCCCCGAACGCTGGCCGACGCTCCTACAAGGACTACTGAATGTTATCAATACGAAGACCAGTGCCGAGTACCAGGTACATGGTGCCTTGCGCGTACTCGCTGGTAAGCTTGGAGGATTGGTACTGGTTATATCGGGGCTAATCAATGTTTGTTAGACTTGGTCGACGATGGGTTTAGCGATAACCAATTTTTTGCGGCAGCAGTGCAGATAGTTGCTGTAGCCTATGGCGTGGCCGATAGTGAGGATGTAAGCTTTTCAGGGCTCTCCATTGTATTGGATGAAGCTAACCCCCTAAAAGAGGGATTACACCATCCGAGCACTTTCAGTACTCATCTTTTACTCTTGCATGGAAACCCTCGAGATGGTGAAGGATGATCATTCGGCAGAAGTCAATGCATTCGCCATGGACAGGTTGAACGAGTGGTTTCCATTTTTCATCCGTGTAATGAGCAAACCACTCCCGGATAGCACTGACCCTGCCTATGAAGGATGTGTGACGTTAAATATCCAAGTGATTCGGGTGAGGCAGCCTGCTTTCTTACATGTAATTGAATTTTCTGTTGACAATAATGTATCCAGACTGTTATGCAAGTCCGAAAAGTGTTTCCATCATTATTCGCTCCATATCTTCGCGAAGTGTTCCGAGCGACATGGAGTGGCTTGAATATGATCCAAGATCGATATGTCCGTGATTTCATCACCAAAGATTCACAGGGAAAGCTTATCAACAGTGACGGGCTACCTCGCACTCTCGACCTGCTTGTTTTGGAACAGCTAGATTTCATACAAAGTTGCTTGAAGAGTAAGCCATTAAGAGATGAACTCTTACAGGCAAGCAGAGGCGCTGGGGTTGATGCCCCCTTAACGCAAATGGTCATGGCTACCGTGGCTTTAGGCCAAGTCGCAAAGGAGGATGAAGGTTTGTGGGAAGTAGATTTGAATATCTTTTTGTGCGAAGAGAGTGCTATTTCTGCCAACTATACACCCAGAACTGCCTCTGGGGACCTGATTCTTGTAAGAATCCTATGGCAAACTTTATCCACATTTTCTAACTTTAGCAGAAACTTGGAGAATGGTTCCAGACCGAGACTGAAGAAGCTTTGTGGGCTCACACGGAGCAGATTTTTGACTCAGGAGTGGGAAGGTTGGCAAGCCTGGTGTCTCGGTAATTTTTTTATATACTAATGTCTAGACAGCCGTCAGATGAAGGAAGCGGCTCTGTTTGCTTGGGATCAGTTGTTGACTGAGTTCGCTGAGATTGGTCTTAAGATTAACTCTAGTACTGCTGCAAATCTGCTTAACTATGTAGCTGCCGCAATCAGTACTGAGGGAGAGGGTATTATTGGTTTGGGTTTCTTATATCGGTAATCTTAGCGCTAACACCATACAGAAAATCAACTCCTCCGGGCGAGAGGCTACTTCCTAGCAGGCACACTTACAAAGTCAAGTCTCGAAACCGTGGGTTTGCAGGTCGCAGAACTTATTACGCAGACATTGCGTGGTGCAGCGAGTGACCCCTCGAGTATTGTAAAAATATCTTGTATCAAAGTTTTCCAAAAGTGGGTTGAGTACTTGTTTTCTCTGGGTTTCTTCGTTGACATTATATAGGTATTGTGAGACTGCTCCTTCGGAGATAGTGAAACCGTGTCAAACTGAAATCATATCGGCTATCCGTTCCTTTCTTGCAACCAAGGAGAAGGATGATGCTGAGGATAGCCAAGATGTCCTGGGAGAGCTGCTTGAGACCATGCGCGTTGCTGTTGGACTGGACTACTCGGCGGTGTTGAACCCGAATATTCAGATCATCGAGTTGGTTTTTGCTATCGCGCACAATGGTCCTCGCAGTCCTCATCTGGGAAGCTTGATTCACGAGATAATCGCAGATGTGACTGAGGAATTGTTTGGGTCTTTTGTGCAGTTATGCGGTCAAATTCTGCCTTTTATATCGACATCGTTGGCCATACAACCAGATGGGAAGGAACATCCTCTTATGAATGTAAGCGCACTTGTTTGGAGATTGGTTTCCGGCTTCGAGATTTTACCTAACCTTTTTGATATAGCTTTCTGCAGATATTCTCGCCGTTTTGGTTCACAATGGTTCAGAACCTCTCCCTAATGGGTTTGTCGTGGCGACTATACCACACCTTTCAAGAATTCTCCTCTGTAGTGAGGACACCGATGTGTTGCAAGCTGGATGCGAGGCCTTTAAGGAGATCGTTAGGCACGACATTAAGCAGTTCCTCGAGTGGCATGACGGGAATGGGAAATCTGCTCTCGAGGTTTCGCTCATCATAATCGACAGATTGCTGAGGCCAGAAGTTGCTGAGGGTTCTGCTCTTGAAGTTGGAGGATTGGCAGCGGAGATTGTAGAAAAGGTACTTCATATCTCATCACGTATTCTCACCCGGACATCGATTGACTGTTTAGGCCGGTGACCATCTTGGTCCATATCTCCCTGAGCTCCTCGGTGCGGTTGCGCGCCGTCTAGCTACTGCGAAAACTCCATCTTTCATCCAGGTTTGTTCAGGTCTCGTGAGTCACCTAGTATAGCTAATTAACGGGTTGTTTAGAGCTTGATTTTAGTGTTTGCACGTCTCGTTCTTAAGCAGGCAAAAGATGTGGTGGAATTTCTTGCAGGGCTCTCCATTGGAGATAGCAACGGGCTACAGGTCGTCATCAATGCATGGCTCGCCAATTCCAGTATCTTTAGTGGATATGAAGAGATTCGCCAGAAGTGAGTCCAGCGCACGTAACTTTGATCTATACGAGAAGCTAATGAGTGGATAGTGTTTTCGCCTTGTGCCAACTCTACCGATTGGAGGACCCAAGGCTCTCGCAAATTATGGTTCAGGGTGATTTGATCGTACCAGAGAGCAATCGTATTATGACCAGATCAAAGGCCAAACAAAGTCGGGATTTGGATCTCCAGTCTCGATCTTTTTTTTTTCTAGTGGATGAACTCTAGCTGACTTGTCGCTTTTCAATTTCTAGCACCCGACCAGTATACTAGCGTCCCTGTACCCGTCAAAATTATCAAGCTCTTGATACTAGAATTAGGATCGGGAGGCGATCCTAGTGGTTCTTTCGGCGGAGGCGCCCTTGACGATGAGGAAGTTAGTGATGATGGTGAATGGGAGGATGAGCCGCCCGTGCTGGGGATGGCCGGAATGACAAGGGAGGGTCAGTATAAGCTCGAATTTACGACCGATCCTTGAAATTTGCTGACGCTATAAAGAGTTGCTCGCTCTAGGTGGCTCAGGGCGTCAGTCAAGGCAGGCGGACGATATTACTCACGTAAGGCCAACTGTCCATTAATTTGGGAGCGTATTTTGTTTACTAATTTTTTAGACATACTTGACCGGTTTTTTCCATGAGGTATCTACCCAGAACATTGGAGGCTTTCGGAATGTATTTTCTGCATTGAAGTCCGAAGAGCAAAAGCAATTGTCTCAGTTGGGCTCATCCCACAGACAATAATTCCCTTCGGCGCTAGTTTCTGGGTGGGCGCCCCTGTTCTGCACATTGGGGGTGCATACGCTTACAGAATGTTTGAATAAACTGGTAACCTATGCATTTTTCTTCGTTCTTGTGATAGTTTGCGACGCACCATAGTTGCAACTTTTCCGGAATGCATCGCACGGCCCCACTGTAAAATAAACACTGCTTGTTCTCCGCTCTGGAATGACATGGCATGATCTGTTCAATCAGATTATTCCAACATTTCCACCTCTACACACTAGTACTGTACGTGTAAGTTATAATGTAGGATGCACAAATGAGTTCTGGTGAAATGTGTCCCCGATCACCTGAGTGCATACGATATGTCGCACATGAGAAGGAGGGGTTGCCGCTAGGCACGGTACCGTACCGGTACACTACAGCCGGTAGCAATTATGTAATAAGTCACGTGTGGGATATACCAACCGGTAGTCCCTTCCTTTCGGGATTTGGACTCCCAAATAATCCATCCATTCAGTTCCATCGATCCAGTCCAATCCAATCCGGTACACCCGTACTCGTATAATATAACAAATAATGACAGTGAGACACCCACTGTGTTCTCTCCCTCCCCTCCAACCCTTACGAATGAGGGTTGGTCCACCGTATCGTATCCTGTTGTTCATTCAACTAGCACGGTAACCTACGAATCTCATTTCCAGATAGTCTACTCGAGTACCGTACCGTTGCTTGGGCGCTACTCGTCCGGAAATTACACTACCAAATGCCCCCTTGGAAGGATTCTTGGAAGTACCTCATTTGACACCGAGCCGTTACGACCTACCGTGCAGTACCGTGCTTAACCTACGATACCCCGTTATTTGGCTCCCGCCCTCCCTCCCTCCCTCCCTTCCCTCCCCACTCCCGCATAGAGCGTACTGTACATGTACATTCCCCACCATAATACCGGTACCCCTCCCCCCCTAGACTCACTTGTCACCTTTCCCTACTAGTGTGTATATACTAGTACCAGTATGGCACGTGCTTCCGGCAACCCTGGATCACTACCAATCACTCGCTACGATGCCTCGATAGAGGTCACTTGGTACTGTACCCTACGATAGCCCAACGGAGGCCAAAAACGCACGGGGAAATACAGGTTTTTGTAGCGACCGCACAGTATCTCCACAGATATCTTTATTTATTCCTGCCATTTTGTCCAGAGTTTGTTATATACACACGGTTATGGGGATGGGGTACGAACCAGGTACAGGTACCGTACCTACCTACCTATGATACCCTTGGCACGTATGACATCACACGAATCTCGAAGTGTCATAATAAAAAAACAAACTCCACAACAAAAATTACAGGCTTTTCTTTCCATCCACCGTACTGTAGTAGATAGATACAAGTACGAGTAGCGGATTACGGTAAGTTATCATACCCCCTAAAGCCTCCATCCGATTCCTGTGGCAAAACCAGTTCACCGTATGACGCCGGTATTATTACTATATAGAAATTTACCCATCTGGAGGAGCTCTGTGGCGCGGGAGGGAGGGAGGAGGATGCGAGAGTTTAGGAGTGAGACATTGTTTTTTTTTCTTTTTTTCTTTTCTTTTCTTACCGGACAGTACTAGTACAGTGCCCTTCCGTACGAGCATGGTGAACCGTAACTCACAGTACCGGTATAATAGAATGCGATATACCTCGCACCGGCGCTGGGGAGCGGATACCGGTATAGTATGGTACTGGTAGTGAATGATCGTTCGGCGGGGTTGCCATGCGCCCTCCGCTTAATTGATCGCGGGTAGGATAGTCTACTTTACAGATGGTCGGCTAGGGAGGTTTGATCTCAATGTGCACTACCGTATTGCAACAGCACAGCACAGCACAGAACAGCACAGCAACAATCTACAGTTTGCACTTGTTACGATTATTTGTGCCTTGCACTTATGACAAAGTAGAACGTATCGTACATCTACCTCCATGCAACCAAACACATAGAAGTACCGTACCGTATCGTATCATACTCGAGTAACTGTGCTGTGCTGTGCTATTACCGTATTGTAACTGTAGAGTCAACCCAACCAACAATTTAGAGGATAAAATGGCTAATGCGTGAGAGAGAGAGAGAAAAGAGCTGTGTTCAGCCCAAAATGCTTCTAAGAATCCAAATGGTGTGCGTGTGGAAAATCGAACGTGTGATATAAGTAGGAACTTTCAAAATTCTGTAGAGTACTGTACCGTACTCGGGCAACTAATGACCGTTTAGTTTTTTCATTTTTTTTCTTTAAAAAAAAAAAGGGTTGCACATCACGTGGTGCATCTGGCCTGGTGTATGTTTTGACCGCAGGGGGGGGTACGATGTTATGATGCTGTGGGTTTTTCTTTCTGGAGCTCCTTGAGTGTCTTGCCGGTGGTTCTCACGTGGGGTGGGGTGGGGTGTATTGTACGAATGGAGCGTGTGCGAAGTGAAGGGATCGTGGGTATAAGGCACCACAGGTATCGTGAGTTAATGTGCCGTATGGTTGCTGTGTCATACTTTGCAGTACTGACTGCGCAGCACAGGACAAGGCTTTAAAATATAGTATGTCTAGACGGCGGGTGAAAGGAGTATTGAGGTTTTTTTATTGTTTTGGTTCTATTTATTAAGTGTCTGGTTCCCTCCGCCTCCACCCCTTCTATCGCCCCTTCGTCCCTTTTAGTCTTTGCTTGCCATATAATCAGATGTATCCACGATAGAGCACTGTACAAACTTACCTACCCAACCCACCATATACTGATACCTACCCTCTAGCTTGGGTCGAACGTACGTGTGCACATTCCTCCCCTTTCTCCCTCTGATAGGGATTCCATTTTGATATCAAACGCACACACACCCCACCTCTCCCCATTCATTCCAACAATTAAAACTCACCAAAACTCACTCAAGGCGAAAACAAAAGATACAAAGACTAAAGATGGAACCCCTTATAACTCCCTACCCCATAATTTCCCTCCTCTCAACATACATGACCCAAGACGACCTGATCAACCTCTCCCTGACATCACAAAGCGCGCAGTACAGCCTCTTCACGGCATCCAGGGCGCACTGGAGAAACCTGTACTCAAAGACCGTGCCTGTGTCCTGTAGCTTCGCAACCTCGCAAGCGGGCTATCACCGCTTCTCTGTCGTGCTGAAGGAATTACAGGTCGGGAGGTGCATTAGGTGTTTTACTACTGTTTGTAAGGTACGCTCCGTAACTCCCTCCTCCTCTAGCAACCGGTCGTAACAAACCAGTTGAATTGGTAATGATGATGGCGATAGGGGTGTGTCTACGACACAAGCCTACACAAGCGCCTGTCGAATTGGATGAACGCTTGCACGCTCAGGAAGAGACTTCGTAAAGTTTGCACCGTCTGCGAGAGCAGGAGGGCCGTGAGGAGGGCAAAGGTTTGCAGGTGCGAACGAGCTGGTGTGTGGATTTGTGAGGGGTGCAGTGTCGGGGTGGAAGTCAGTGATGATCTGTTCCGCCGAGAGCAGCAGGTAATTAGACCTGAGCGCACAAATGGTACGGAAATGTGCTGGAGTGCGAGTCATGGTCGTGACGGTGAGGGAAAAGAGGAGATGGGGGAGGTGCAGCAGCAGCAGCAGCAAGGGGAAAGCATGGTCGTGGTGTGTAGTTGGTGCGAAGGATTGGTGGGTGGTGAATCCCCCCATCCTGATCACCCAGGAGGATCGCGGGTTTTCCTTTGATTTCGGCGTACATCTCGCAAGGGACGGGTAGTGTATTTGGTTTTCTTTCTTCCCTTTTTTAAATCTCTACTCTTTGGTTTTTTCTTTATCCTTGATTTTGTTGGTGTTTTCTTCCATTTTCTCCTATCTATTATCATTGAAAGATAGGCATTGGGCGGCGCGGTTTGACTCTTCTCTCGTTTTTTGTCTGTATTATCATTCCATCCCGTACTGTGTATAACTAGATTCCAGTCTAGCTTGGTTATCCTCCGTTTGAAGGTGATGATGGTATCATGGAGTATCACTCACCATGTTTATTGTCTTGTACTAACCATGCATCCGCTGCTTGTCGTGAATCGGTCGGCAACGTCACTTACAAAGCACCCCGCACACACACACACACGCATTTTCTCGAAAGGGTACGGTGGTTAGACAGATGGGTGGACAGTTAGGTAAAGCACGGTATTTCCATGTGCCCAACAATGTTCACCCAAGATATTGCCGGTGCCATGTCATAGCTCCACCTCCCTCTTCAGCTCGGGTCAACTCACCCATACATAGCAAAAACACAAGTCCTGCAGCAATAGAAACGGAAAGAGTAAAAAATAATAATACAGTAAGCCAAGTCGACACAGAAAACTTCACGCGGTCCGTAGCCAAGGTATCGGTATCACTATTCGCGTAGTATGGGTAGGTAGGAATAAATCCGGATTACGGTAATATGATGGTAGGATGGGATAGCAAGGGGAGGAGAAAGGATGATAATTAATGTGCGATATATCGTGAGCAATGATGAGAATGAGAATGGTGAAAATGAAGCCTAGGGTAGGCGGTAAAACACGGGTGCCCCGAGAAAAGGAAAGAAAGGGAAATGCAGATACGGTAGGTAGAAAGAGAGAAAAATGAAAAGAGAGAAAAAAAGGGACCAAAAATCACCATTGATAGACTCCGATCGGATAAAATGAATAAGGGAATAGAAATAAATGGGGAAGGAAGGAGGGGGAAGATGGTTAGTGATGGGGATGAGATGGTATGGAAAGGGGGTCCGTTGTTGGTCAGTCAAGGAGGGGGAATAGAGGGATGATAAATCTTGGGAGAAGATATACCGAAAGAAATGCATGTGGGAGTGTGGGGGTGTGGAAGGAGAGGAGGAGAGGGGGTAAAGTCTTCATCACTGTACAGCGCTCTGTGCGGTGGAAACAAACAGAGCGTGAGCTAAGATCTATCTATGAAGCAATCGTGCCACTATGAGGAAGAAGAGTATTGGAGAGGATCAGAGCAGAATGAGACGAGAGAACAAAGCGAATATACATAAAAAATAAGAGAATAAAAGGGAGAGAGAAAGGTATGAATATCAAGTAACAGGCCTAATATGGTCTCCTGAGAACCCATGGCCGCCGCTTCTACCGGCACCACTACCACCTTCCCGGTGAACCTGATATTGACGAGCTGGAGAAGGGGCATGCCTGTTATGGCGACCACCACGCCCACCGCGAAAACCGGGGACCTTGGGCTTCGGTGGAAGGGGGTGATGTTGCGGTGGGGGAACACGTGGTTGACTGGATTGGTAAGAGAACTTTCACAAAATAGGTGGTATATGGATAACTTACGTGATGTTAGATGGGCTGTTACCCCTGGTCTTCCTGCTACCCTTTGCCGGCCGCTTGGGACGACGATCATCGGAACCATCGTGGGATGAATCTTCGAGATTCTTGTGCCAACCCCTCTTCTTAGACCCTTCCTTACCACCTTCTGAAGCTTTGCCTGAAGCACCGCTACCCCTCGAAAGTGGCCGTGAGACAACCGATAACGATTCCTCCGATCCTTTTTTGTTTTCTCCATTGAGGGAACCGTAAATTTCCATCTTGGCCTCGTATTCCAGTTCCTTGAGCATTTTCTGGAATTCCGCATCCCCATTCTTCTCTGGATCGTCAGACAAAGCAAACTCTAGCGGCTGCGACAGCGTAGAGCCTCCTGTTCTGACAGAATCGTACACTGGATCCTCTGGTTCCCCATCTTCCCCAGACTTAACAAGGTATCCGTCAATGCGGGTACCCTTCTCATCAAAATACCTGGTTGAAAAGACCCGCTGCTCGGTTGGCTTTTCGGAGTCACCCTCCTTCTCACTGCGCTGGACATCCGTTTCCGCAAAGGTTGCCGCCAGTGGCTTTTCGACCCGCTCGGGAGGTTTGTACACTAGAGGATCATGAAGTGAGTCACGGGATACCAACAAGAAGTCAGATCACAAACGACCACTAACCTATTTTCCCCGACTTACCGAACTGAGTGATCGGGGCCTGTGTGTTTGGAAAACATGGTGGTGGTTTAGGAGGTGGAGGCTCGCGGCGATTGTTAGCAGTTGCCTGCGAGGCCGCCTGAGATGGACCGTGAGCAGCTTGAGCAGGCGACGCGTTGCGTTGCGCCTGTTGCTGGAAGGACGGTGCGTGGTGTTGAGATCGGTTTTTATTGTTCTGCCTTTGTCTGAATTGGTGCTGAGGACGATGGAATTGAGGGTTAAATGAGGCGGGTGGATGGACAGGGGGTGCATGGGCTCCCTGAGGATAGTTATAGTATGGTTGCCGAGTATGTGGTTGCGAGGGCTGTGGAGGTTGTGGATGCGATTGATGCACGGTTGGCTGACTATAGCCCTGATATGCCGCCGGTTGTTGAGGTCCATACGCTGCGGTTGGAGAAGCAGTAGCCGCATGGGGAGCATAATGCGGCTGCGCTTGAGTCGAGGGCTGCGGCCATTGCTGATGGGCGTTGTAAGTATAAGGTTGTTGCCAATGCTGCGATTGTTGCTGCGGGGGATAAGGACTGACGGGACTCGGTGATGCTTGCGGAGGATACGCCTGAGGGGAAACCTGTGGAGGATAAGCGGTCTGCGTTTGGGCTTGCTGTGGATAAGCTTGGGGCTGAGGTGGCTGATAGGCTGGCGGTTGAGTGGTGGGATATTGGGTGGGATGAGGGTATCGAGTTATGATCGGCTTGCTACTTTTCTTCTGTATCCGATGGGTGCGAGGAGGTTGATTCACCGAACCTCTAATGCAACATGTTAGTTCGGATAATTATCTGACGAAGATCTTCAGGATATAACGTGACACTAACGCAGGGACTTGTCGCCGAGGTTCCGGACAAAACTGGGCAATATGAGTAGTGGATCCGCAATTGTAGCACGGCTGGGGTGACTGAAAATTCTGCGATGGCGCGTTTGCTGGCCACGAGTGAGGTGCTCCAGGTTGGAACGGTGGTTGATTCGGTGGTACGTTCATCCTAAAAGCTTCGGAAGACAGTACCCGATTGTGTAATTGGAATGGAGGATGAAAAAAGAAACAATCGAAGCCTCAAGCAAGGCCACCTGAGAGTCGAATAGTTAGCGTTAATTCCAGGCGGAGGGGCTATGGTCTAACAGGGAGGGTCAAGGGGGAGAATGATAAGAAACGATAGATAGAAGGGAACGACTACCGTAATAGTACCAGAGAAAAGGCTTTTGAAACGCACGAGAGGGGAGCGGGCCAAAAGCTCAAGTTCGATCAAAGGAGGTGGCTAGGTCCATAATACAGGGGAACGATCGAAGCCGTATCATAAAAGCCGTGAAGCTCTCTAAAGAGGGACCTAGGGTAAGTGACGATGACCTAGCGAACGCCTGGCGGGCAGAGCAGATGAAGCAAAGAGATGGCTCAGGAAGAACTTTTTGGGGGAAGTCGCGTTAAGCTTTGCGCCAAGACAGGGAACCCCAGGCTCTCTGCTTTTTAACCCTCTCCGACTCCTCTTTTTGATCCCACCGGTGTACTCCACTAAGTTATCGGGCAATCAGGATGTACCAGAGCCCCAAAGAATCCTGCGAATTCGTATATGAAATGGCTTAAAACAGCACGAGGGCTTGGAGGTGTAACAGGATTGAGCGGGCCTTTCTTCTTTCTTGCAAGGGTGCTTCTTTTTGTTTTTTTCTGGCTACTCAGTGCCAACAGCGGTTTTCAAATTTCTTCTGCTCGCTGCACGCCATATTCAGGGTGGGAGGGAGTCAAGAATACGTTAGGGTAATAATGGCGGGAGATGAGTGAGTGTACAGTAAATAAGGTGATTGATATTGGATGACTGAATAAGGATCAAAACCAATAAGGCCAACGGGAATGTGAATAAGATTGAGAACCGAGGAAAAACAAACGCTAAACAGACACCGTGGGAATTTATGATACCGAGGAGCAAACAAGAGAACAAAAAATAAGAAACAGAAAAAGGCCTCTCCAAACGGGAGCGGGAGAACAGGGGGAAAGATCAAATCATCGTTTCGGCAGCAACCACAGTGACTGAACCCCTTGAACCTTTCGAATGAACACTAGCGAGAAGGCATGATATTTTGGGGAAAGCATTCCCCCACTGAAATTGCATCGATCTCGGAGAGGTGGGCAGAGCAGCGTATCTTCATCGATATCTGTGGTGGACCCAATGATACCGCAAGACAGATCAAATATCATCATGGAAGGAATAGAAATGGTAATCAGACGGTCTGAGAACCGAGGGTAAAGGTCCCGGAGCTTTGTTTCCGTGATAACAGGTGTCGTATGCGCTAGCAGAAGGGGAAGTGGGCGAGGGGAGGAGAAGTTGAAGGGGAGAAATAGGGGAGGAGGAGCTGGAGGAGCTGGAGAAGGTGAAGGTGAAGGGGAAGGGGAAGGGGAAGGGGAAGGATGCACTTTTGCAGTTGCAACCCGCCATTGCTCAAATAGAGGCAGACAGAGGCAGGCCACGACCCGAATCAATACATCGTTTATGTGACACTGGCATAAAGAAAGCAGCAGCGAGCAACATTGAGCAGCAGCAGATGAAGGCTCGCAGCAACAATGTTACAGTACAGTACAGCACAGTGTTGCCCACACAGGGAAGGAAAGCAGGCAGGCAGGTGCAAGTGGCAACCAGTGTCCTTGGTCACTCAATTGCTGTATATGGAAATCATCAACGCCGATCATCACTGGGGACGGCTGGGAAAATAATCTCTACCGTGCGATACGAGCACTGTGCGTTTGGAACTCCCGCGATAACTTCCAGAACGTGAAGACGCCTCAGAGTCGGTATCACGGTAGCAGTGGTGGGATCCGAAACTTGATACAGCAGGTACAGTATAGCAGGTGCCGGCATGGTGTTACTGGAAATGGCAATCCCAAAATACAAGACTTGTACCTGTCCATGATGGGTTGACCAGTGGCCACTGATGTGAATGCACGCCCTCCTAATGTGTCCATTCTGATGCTCATCCAATTCGTTGAAAATCCATCCCATCGACAACTATGCGCTTCCCCCACCAATCCAGCAATCTTTACCACCATCCCCCCTATCACCCCACCCCCGCCTCTTGCGTCCCGAATCGATTCCCAACTATTTTTTTTGGCAACTGATCTATCCGCCCATCTTGCCCCTGCATCTCTCCGCACCATTATATAGGGTCCTGGCCGGACATGCTTGGACTACCCGGTACCTATCTTCGCTCCCCGAAGCTTCTTACCTTTCCCCCCTTCCCCTCCCCCTACAACGCCATCGGAACATTTCCCAACTAACCAACGCACCCGATTGCGTTACCCCCTCACAGCCTCCGTCGACTTGGACGAATGCATCGAAAGACTCTACAAGAAAGAGCTCTTGGCGGAATCCGTGATCGAGGCGATATGCAACAAGCTCAAGGAGCAGCTCATGAGCGAATCCAACGTTGTACAGATCATGGCCCCCGTAACCGTCGTCGGAGACATTCACGGACAGTTCTTCGACATGCTGGAGATCTTCAAAATCGCTGGCTACTGCCCGGACACAAACTACCTGTTTCTTGGGGATTATGTGGACCGTGGCTTATTCTCCGTGGAGACCATCTCGCTGTTGGTGTGTCTGAAGCTCCGGTGGCCCTCGAGGGTTTACCTGATCAGGGGCAACCATGAGAGTAGGGGGGTTACGCAGAGCTACGGGTTTTATACGGAGTGCTCGAGAAAGTACGGGAGTGCCAATGTCTGGCGTCACTTTACGGACATGTTCGATTTCCTCACCTTGAGCGTTGTGATTAATAATGATATATTCTGCGTTCACGGAGGTTTGCCACCACCAACCGCGATCACTTATCTGCCAAATTGCTATGGGTAGTCTGATTGTCTTTTCTTTTCTTCTTTTCTAGGTCTCTCACCATCTATACATTCGATCGATCAGATCAAGGTCATCGACCGCTTCCGAGAAATCCCCCACGAAGGCCCCATGGCAGATCTAGTCTGGTCCGACCCAGATCCTGATCGCGACGAGTTCTCGTTATCACCCAGAGGCGCAGGATACACTTTTGGTGCCCAGGTTGTCAAGAAGTTCCTCGAAGTCAATAATCAATCCCACATACTCCGAGCTCATCAGCTCTGTCAGGAGGGGTACCAGCTCCTCTTTGATGGCTTATTATCTACTGTGTGGAGTGCACCAAATTACTGTTACCGGTGCGGTAACCTGGCTAGTGTCCTCGAGGTGGACTATGACGGACCACGCTATTATAATGTCTTCGAGGCTGCTCCGGAGAATAGCGAGCATAGAGATGCTGCTGCAGCACAGCAGCAGGATACGGGCGCGGTTGTGGAGTACTTTCTGTGATTTTTCCTCCAGGAGGATGGGACGATTTTAATACCATAGTTTGGGAGTGAGCAACCTGGCTTTTTTTTCTTTTCTTTTTTTTTCTTTTTTTTTTCCATTCCTCTTTTCCCTCCCTAGTCCCTCTTTACGACCGGTTTTCTGTAAAGGGGGGTTTACAACACGATATCCCCCTCTTCCTTTTTTCCTTTCCTCCAAAACCTTCTATCCTCAGGTCTAGTAACTAAGTAAGCAGGGGTGCGTGATTAGACTTCTGGAATGGTTATAATTATGGCATAGAGGCGTCGTGTGTTTTTTTCTTTTTCACTTGCGTGCTGTTATCGTTCCTTTTGTCGGTGCATCCGTGTATCATAAAAAGATGTGTACAGACCGTTGTCGTCGCCATCGTGCTTGAGTATCACTCTTCCGCGAGCATTTCTGTACTTTAGCTGTGATATAGCGCTCTGCCGCCAGGGGGAAACTTGGTGTACGATATTGGGTGTGATATGAAGAGGTTTCGAATAACTGCAGTACTTGAATTGTCATGCATGATGTGACATGACCCACTAATTATGGAACGTGGGCATTTTTTTTCTCGATCATAAATTTTTCTTTTTCCTTCATCCAACGAGACTAAAAGTGGGTTCCGGGAAAGACGAGACAACTAATGGCTTTGGTGGCAGTCTTCCTGGCATCGGTGCGAGGATTTTCATATATCGCTTTTGCTCATCGACGGACGCACTGCTCGGCTCAACCATCGTGGTCAGTATACCCAACAACCCCGCGGCCACCAGGGAAAATATAAATAGAAGAGAGAGGAGAAGAAAGAAAAGAGGAGAAGAAAACCCACATATAGACAAACCCCATCACTGAGCTCTCCGCCAAAATATGCACCCCATCTCCGACCTCCGCGTGCAGAACCGCAGCGACCGAATGCTGTAATAGCATCGAGCACTCTGCCTGGGCCAGCAATGCCTGCCCCCCACCCCCGCCCCCGCCCTCTTCGTCGTCGTCATGGCCGATGGGCAGCAGGCTAGCGTTGAGCGTGCTCGCCTCGCCCACTCGCCAGATGTTCAGATCGTCAAAGCCGACGGTCATGGTGTATGGGCTTAGCGTGCGCTTCTTCGGCTCGCCGAAGAAGTACTCGCGGATGGAACGCTCGCGGGAAGCACGGAGGAAGGCGTCGTCGCGGTCGACACAGCCGCCGGACTTGCTGAGCTTGATTATAGAGATTGGGGGATGGTGTTGGTGGTTTGGGCGGTCTTCGAAGCGTCGGAGCATGTCGCTGTACAGCCGCTCGCTGCCGAGGACTACCAGGGTTGTAACAGAGAATTCGGAGATGGCGTGGTGTAGGAGATCGTAGCCGGTGGGCGTTTGGCTGATGGTGCCGGGGGTGTCGATTATTATGCCCGAGGAACGATCTTGGGGCGTTCTTGTGTTAACTTCGTTCGTGGAAGGGGGCGAGGGGGGAGGGGTACTTTGGTCATCTTCTGAAAGTCTTGAGGATACGGCTACCGCCATTCTTGACACTAGTGCTCTATATAACTTTGTATTCCCCTCTGGTGTCTCCAGGCCGTAGTAATACACCAATGGCAACTTCACAGGCACAGGACTCGGTCCGCTGGTAGGACTGCTGCCGAACCCCTCCTCGACGTCCATTATCGTGCTAAAGCTCGTGGCGCTCAGTGTTCCCGGCAGACTCAACACCCCTTCCTTTGGGTCCAGATTCACAACAGCCGGTTTCTGCCCCTGTCTAACGGCGTACGCCGTCAAGATCTTGACGAGCGAAGTCTTCCCCGCGTTCTCCGGCCCAATTATCATCACCCTCGGCCCCTGCATCGTCGGTGACTCACTCGCCATCCCGCGCTGCTTCTCCAGGGCGAAGTGGAGATTAGTGTATGCAGTCATGGGCGTTTCCTCGCTAGTGTACTCAACGCTAGGGCTACCGCGGACCTCAAGGGTACAGCCGTGCCAAGTGAAGATCGCGGATTTTGTCCCCGTGAAGGTGAATTTGTGGCCGATTGGGAGCTCAGTGCCGAAGATTTCGGCGCTCCCTTTTAGGAGCTAGGCTTCTCATCAGCTCCTCCTCCCTTCTTCTCATCCTAGGGCGGGGGCGATGGATACCTTCACTTCAACAGTAGCGCCAAATGCAACCTCGAACCGCCACTCCCGTAACTTGGCTATCTCGTACGTCTTCTCCGCGAGCGGTTCCGCTGGCGTGGAGTCTTGTGCCGTGAAGTTTGAGAATGGCTGGCCGATGGGGAGTTCCGAGAGTTGGAGACCCGGGACCGACATTCTTTCAACTATGATAGTTTTACCCGGTTTTGATCCTGATTCTATCCCTTGCGTTTGTTTGTGGTGAGTGGCGGTGGTAATTATCAGGCAAGGTGAGGTGAGTGAGGTAGCCGTGAGGTTGATCACTGTCGTTGCTGGTATGATAGGATACGGTACCTATGATAATTGAATGTTGGGTTGTGTCGACAGGATGAGGCTTAAAACCTTATTTGGGCTTGGCGTGGGTGGAAGTGCCCCGAAGGTTTAGGGGGTGGGGGTTATTTACGTGTAGTGTGGGAGGGTGAACCGTTGCCGTTATATCGTACGGTAACGGTATGTCCGGGAATGGCTTATCATATTATTGTACTTGCGGCTCAGAACCCCTTTCCAGCCCCGCATTTTCAAAAGTACCAGTACGACAAGGCTCCGGTTCAGGGAAAGCTTGACCACCGTAGACTAGACACAGTATGATGTAATAATATTATCACCATATCCAAATACTACGAGGACAGGACAAACCGTATTTCAAATCCATACCGATCAATCTCCACCCGAGCATATGATGATTCCTCCACTCCACCGCTGTACATCCTGATTCCCGACACGAGCAGTTGGCATCCACGGTACCACGCTCACCGCATTCGCAGAACCGGCCTGCTAGGGCATCTGTTATATAAACCCGGAACTTGATGGGAGGAGGGGAGATTACCGGCAACCGGTTGATATGATCAATAGTATGATAGTATTGTGGACGGAATTATGATAAACCGTGATTGGGGTATGATAATAGGTCGGTATGATGTGATGTTATAATCGGCATTGGAAGTTGCTATCATGGGGGGTTTTGCAATTGGGGTGAGTGATGGGGTAGGTAGGGGTTTTGGATTGGGGTTCATGTTTTGTCACTCGGTCTATAACTATGGATACCTACTTTTCTCTGGTGGAGGTAAATTCTGCGGACTTGACAGGGGATTAATAACGAAGGGCATTTGGATATACTGTCCCCTCCGATCGAGCACACGGGCTCTGTTGTTTTCATCGGGAAGAATAGCCATCGCTAATGGGACTCACTACTCGAGTATTTACCAACCCCGAGTTATATACTGGCATGATACCGGTCTTGGTCGAGAACTTTCCCGCACTAAATCTCCAAACTATGTAGCCGAAAGCCCCCCATCGAGCACAACCTGACTCCCGTTCGCAAATTTATTCAGCACCAGAAACATTGCTGCGTCTGCGACCTCTTCCGCCGTGCCCATCCTCCTCATTGGCGTGAACTCCAGCGCTTCCCTTCGTGCTCCTTCTGCCATGCCTACTATCGTTAGGACTTGTCAGTGGTTAGTATAGTTGAGGGGGATTAACCGCTCGTCATATCCGTTTCAATATACCCGGGGAGAATTGCGTTAACTCTTACCCCACTGCTACCGACCTCGGCCGCAAGTGATCTTGTTAACCCTGATTTTGGCCTGGTGAGCCGGCTTAGCACGAGGGGGATGGGGGAAAGGAGGCTACCAATAACACCGGCCTTACTGGCAGCGTAGGCCACGGATCCTGTTCCAGCTTTAATCCCCAGCACCGACGAAATATTAATTATGCAACCTTTTTTCCACATCATTGCCAACCAACCATATTAGCCCCACATCATCCTTTCTGGCAGAGCGGATAGACAAACCACTCCGTGCCCTAACCATCCCCCTCAACACAGCCCTACACCCTAACACCGACCCCACCAAGTTCGTCCTGATAATGTCCTCTATTGTTTCCGGTTTTGTCGCCATCAGGAGACTGGAATGCGTGATCCCGGCAGAGTTCACGAGGACATCCAACTTCTTCTACCATGCTCGAGCCACCATTAGCTCTCTCTCTCTCTCCCCTTCTTCCCCCTCCTCCTCATTACCGGTCGGGGGAGCAAGCGTACCCCACATCCTCCTCGAACTTCCTCCCAAAACTGTGGATCCCCAACGTCACCAGCGATACACCGGTGCTCTCCTCCTGGCGGTAATGCGGATAGTGCGGCATCCAGGTGGGGCCTGGTGCGGGATACTAGGATCAGGCTTGCGCCGGCGTGGGCGAACTTTCGGGATATTGAGAGACCGATGCCCCGAGAAGCGCCGGTTATCAGGATTAGTTTTTTGGAGAGGGGGTTGGCCATCGTCATGTCTATTAGGGTGGGAGGGGCGTGGTCTTACGTTGATGGTATTACCCGAAGTGGGGTGTGGGCGGGGATATGCGGGTACGGAGGGTCAATGGTTGGCGGTGGGGGGGTTCGCGTTGCATGGAGTGGTTTTAGGTCGATGTTTGATAGGAGGTTGCGGAGGAGAGTATCATATCATGCCGCGGTTGGTGATTAAGCAAACATCATGGGATCTCACTCGGTATTGCGTGTGGTTGTCAGGGTACCCAGGGACTCCTCATTCACCCCGGATGCCTTATATGGTACCGGTATGTGCTGTGCGAGCACTGTGCGCCGAAACTATATCTAGGAGCATCAGGGAACGGGGCCCACACAACCACTATATTTTCTGTCGTTTCTCACCCTCCAAAGGGCGAACTCACAGCCTGGGAAACTGTGGATAACTCTCGTATAGGGTATTCCCGTCCACGGAGTGTTCTTCTTTCCTCTATTATTGTCACGGTGGAGGGGTGCTAACTTTGCACCGGCGAGAAGTGGAGCCTGGGATCGGTAGCAAGCGACCTGTTACGTTTGGCACAGTAGTAGTGGCAACTGGGTATCACCGAATAACACAGAGGCTTGAGGGCAGACATGGGGCTTTTGAAAGCTCACGAGAGGGAAGGGCTGGGTTTCATGCTCAAGTGTGGGCTTCGCCGTTGCAGTCTTAACATAGGGTAGGGAAAGGTTGTATCGTACGGGAATGATATGGTGGATGGGACACAGCAGTGGAACATCCGACTTGGGATTCAGGGGATCGAGTGTGATTCGGCTTCTTCAAGCACCGCCTTGAGGAATGTTGACATCATACTGTACCGGCACTGCGCTGCACGGACTGAGGCGGTGGGTATCATACGGTGCACGATACCGGTCCCGGTTGCCGGTAGTGTCGCAACCAATGGGAGGAACAAGGACATTATTTCTCTGCTTTCAACAGCATTTCCGGACGGGCGGTTCGACAGTGGGGTCCATGGTCCACCGGTGGTTGGCTACCCTCAATCGATCGAATGGAGGAGGTCTCGAAACGGTGGGGACTCGCATAGAATGGAACGGCAAGGGAAAAAGAAAAAGGAAAAAAGGAATTTCCTTCCTCAGATTTGGCGGTGACCAGCCACTCGGGTAATTCGATCTGGCATACATAGAGTACGATGCTCGAGTTAAGGTTCCTTTGTCGTTAACCAAGGATAGCAGATAGCCAAACTCTGTATCACCACCGAAACCATCAGCCATCCCGGCTCCCACCAACGGTGGGCATCTCTCCGCCAGGGGCACTTCTTCGGAGGCCAGAGGGTCTGGCCGGGAAAGCGTTGGCGAACAGCGAATCCGTCCGGATTGGGAAAGGACAACGAGCAAGACAATGGTGGCCCTCCACGTCGACTCGTGATTAGCGCGGACGGGAGCTCCAGCAATAACGAACAACGAAGCGAAGCGAAACATCAAAAGGTCCCCTCCAATTGCGGTAATTCCTGCTCCCCCTTGAGGAGTGGTGATGATAATGATATGAACAATAAATAAATCCTCACCCAATACAAGAGACTGCATCCCGATCAATCCATCCAGTCCATCTCTCCAACCCTGGCCTCTTCGACCGGGCCTTTTTTTTTTCTTTTTTCCTCTTCTCCCGGCTGTCTGTTCTCATCGCGACTCGACTTAAACCCACCCTCCCACCCCTCCCACACTGCCATCTTTCATCATCACAACCCTATCGCCTTAGCACACACACAATCCATCCCTCCCACAGCCAAGCAATGCTGCGCTATTGCTTATAGAACAAAGAAACCCACCTCTTGATCGAACCCTGGAACGCGTCGAGCCTGAGTCAACCTCTTGTCACCCAACTCACCACACCCCCGCCCTTTATATTCCAACACTTTGCCCATAGCTGCATTGATTCTACGCCCGTTGATCTCCTTTTACTACAGATATAGCATTTCAGAACAAAGGGAGCTTCTGGTTTTTCTCGGTTCGTCGCAGACTCTTCCACCCGTTTCCTTTCTCCTCCTCCACCCTTCCTCCTGTTCCCTGCTCTGTGATTCGCGCTTGCGCGTTGGGGTAGCCTTCCGCACTTCCGCAACGATAGCTACTGGGCCCGACAGCGGAGCCTTCACTCGAGCAAGCGTTGTGAAGAGCTAACGGGGCATGATGATTAAGGGAAAGATGTTCACAGCAACCCCGCCTTCGGCCTACCGTCGGCGGTCCAGCAGTCGGAGGATCGGTAGCGATGGGGATCAGCGGGCTATGCCCTTCATTCCTACCAAGAGCAGTTATTCTTACGGTTCTCCGCATAGCAACATGCCCAAAGCCCCTCAATTGGCCGATACGAAGGTGCCCATGGCCGTGGCCTTGCAGCAGAAGCAGGATGCGGCGGAGGCCAGGATGAGGGCGGAAGAGCGGGAGAGGGAAGGGGCTTCTGGAGAGCAGCCCGAGGATGGGCGGGATGATCAGGATGAGCAGAGATTTCAGGATGAGGAGGATAGCAGAAGGTTAGGCCCGACCACCAACACCACCACTACTGCCGCCACCACTACCCAGGCGTTCACAACGGGTAAGAGGGGGAGGGCCACAACGAGGGCTAGGGGGAGGCTTGGTGCCGCTGAGGTCCAGGTTGTGATGAATGATGTTAGGCTCAGGTCGCTGAGAAGTCGCAGTGTCGCTTCAGATTTAAGTCAAGGTCCTCCCACAGCAAGATCGATAGACCTTATGCCACCACCGCCGCCATTAGCGAATGGAAGGCAGCAGTCTGGTAAGTTTCACTCTATCCACTGCCCCGTCCCTTTGTAGGATATTCTGGACACTTGGATGTCTGTCTCCCAACTTTCGTGCTTCTAGAAGCTCTCCTTTCGGCGCTTTCATTCACCGCCGCAAATTGGTTTGCGCGCTTGCTAATACAACTCGTATACTGAAAAACAGAAATTTCCGATCGTTCCTCTATCGGAGTCGATACTACTCTTGGCTTTAATCGCTCGTACGGTTCGGAGGATGATATAGACCCCGCGCTTGGGAAGAAGGTCTCTGAGAATTTGGCAAGGGGCTTTGGCGAAACTGAAGAATCTGAGGTCGAGGAGCCGGAAGCGGCACAGAGACGGGCTTCCTCCAGGAGGAGGTTAGCCCCGGTCCCCATTTATCCGGCGGCAGGAAGATCCGGGGGTGCCGAGAGCGGAACTCCTGCGGCTTCCCTTGGATTTGTCCAATCGAAGGTAGGGGATTCATCCGCGGTGCTGGCAGGTAAGAGGGCAAGGGAATTGGAGAGAGAGAGGTTGCAGGGAGAGATTGATAGTGCGAGGTTAGCTAGGCAGAAGCAGAGAGAATTGCTGGAGAGGGCCCGGGAGGCGGCAAAAGGTACAAAAAATACTGGGGGTGGGGGGGGTGAGAAGGGCGGCGGGGGTGATGGAGGAGGAGGTGGTGGAACTGATTCTGATGATGTACCCTTCAACTACTTTGGATTCGCCAACTTCCTGTGGCAGCGATGGCTTGGAGTTTCGATCTCCAGGGTCATTAAAACAATCGTGGTTTGCTTCTTCGCGACGATCCTTATCCACTACCTGGTAACCTCCAACGGCCTCGAGATCGGTTGGCCGAGGAGTAGTTCTGGTCCCACCTATATTCCCCCCTCCGAAGCTCCGAAAAATATCGACGAGCTCGTTCACCGCCTCCACACTGTCGAGAGGGAGCTGGGCAATTTCGGACATCTTGCTTCGAGTTTTGAGACTAAGTATCGTCAGGTCCTTGAGAAGGAGTTGTTAGTGTTGGAGGACTCTTTAACCAGCGCTGAGATGGAATCGTCCGCTGATCGAGATAAGATCAGAAATGAGATCAACTCTCTTTCGAATACGCTGGATACTGTCAAGGAGCTACAGAATGCGCTGTTGGAAGACAACAAGAGGAAATTGGATAAACTCTACTCGGCACAGCAGGCGTTAGATCAGCAATTGTCGGATTTCAAGGCGCTGCAGAAGGCACGGGACGAAGCTATGCAGTCCTTTGAGGGGGCCCTCCCAAAACAGATGGTTGCTACTTTGGGCCCGGACGGGAAGGTCCAGCTCACCGACGAGTTCAAGGACAGTCTCCAGGATGTGTTCTCGAAAATATTCCCCAAGCATTTCAAGGATGCGATCGCGGGGACGGGATCCAGCGGGATTGGGAGGATACCCAGTTGGGAGGCCTTCATAAAGGGGAATGAGGACAAGCTAAAGGATTTGATCGAAAAGCATGCATCCACGGGGGGTGGCTCGGGGGTGGGTGGGGATCCAGGTGGTGTGGTTCTGAGCAGGGGGACCGTGATGGCCATGGTCCAGGAAGAGGCGAAGAAGTACCACCAGAAATGGGAGGTGGAAACCTTCTTGCCGGATTTCGAGTCCAAATTCGAGAGCCAATTGGAGGAGCTTCAACGGCGAATCCGGAGAGAAAACACGGAACATTTCAATTCGGCATCGTCCTCCATCCTCGCCGCGGCCAGCGCCATAGCCTCCGGAACCGCAAGCAGGACGGCCAGAAGCATGGCGCGCGATTTTGCCAACTCGCACAGGGGTCGGGGCTCCACCGAACGCATTTCACTCTGGGCCACCCTGCCAGACTACGCATCCATCATAACCGGAGCTTCGGTCTGGCCATACGTCACATCCCCTTCGTACGACTGGACGGGCGGCAAGGGCTACCATCACTACGTCTGGCGCCTCTTTGGCCGGGGCGCGCGGATCTCGCCGCCGCCAGTAATGGCCATAACCCCGTCCACAGAAGTGGGCGAATGCTGGCCCTTCCCTGAGCGCTCGGGGGACATTGGCATCAAGCTCGCCACGCCGATCTACGTCTCGCACGTCACGGTCGACCACGTGCCCAAGCAGCAAGCGATCGAGATCTCGTCCGCGCCGAAGAACATCGAGTTCTGGATCCGTGTGCCCTCGGAACGCAAGGAGGAGCTGCAGAAGGCAGTGGGCAAGCCCGCCAGCGAGTGGTACCGCCAGGACAGCGATACGCAAGGAAAGCAACAACAACAGCAGCTGCTGCAGGCGTCGGCCAATAGCGGTGAGTGGGTGCGTGTGCACGAATTTATGTACGACATTCACACCGCTGGGTCCCCGGTTCAGACATTTGAGTTGCCCGTCGACCTCACCATGCTCAACATCACTAGCCGCCTCGTTGCATTTAGGATCGTGGATAATTGGGGGCATCCGAATTTCACGTGTTTGTATCGCGTTCGCGTTCATGGATATCCGCCGCGGAAGGATTTGCCGATTGGAGAGGAGGGGGAGGGAGTGTAGTAGCGGTATTGGGTAAATAGTATGCGATAGTCTTGGGAGGGTTTGCTTTTCTTGCTTTATAGTATCAATCCGTATCATACCTTTATTCTTCTTTTCTCCCTTTCCCAAACCGAATTGTTGACGAGAACTTTTTTATCATCTTATTTTGTTATTCTTTCATTGAGGGTCTGTTCTATATTTTTGTCTGGGTCCGGGGAGTCACGTCTTGTCTATTCTCTATTTCTTTTGTTTTCCAATTCGTTTTTATTGAGGTATCGGTCCGGTCCGGCCCCAGCCTGGGCAAATTTGAGTGAAGTGACGGGAGATATGATACCTACCGTATGGCCATGGGGTGGGGGGAGGAGGGCCCGCGTGTAGGACAGGGTGGGTAGTATAAGTAATTGTTATGATACTGTTTATACCAAAACTCTCTTTTTTTTACCCCCCTTTTCCTTTGTCGTCGTCGTCGGTGCTGTAGGTATTGACAAATATATCTGAGCTTGTAAAATAGTGCTACTGCACCGGGACAGTAATGATATTGTTACCCGCGCGTTTTGTATTTTTCCATTTTTTTTTCCATTTTTTTTTATCCCTTTTACTTTTGGTATTGGTTTTTCGAGCTTCCTTTTCTCACTGCTTAGTTATGTATGATACGATATGATATGATACTTGCCGATCCTATAGTACCTCTATTTCCCCGTTTTTTTAACCTTTGTCCGGTTCCAGTCTGGTTTAATGTGATAATTATAGTACGGCGGTTTTACGGGAAATGCTCGGTGTCATGGTACGATATGTAATAACTTTTGCATACGGTAGTCTAATTGGGTTGAGACTACGCCATATGATCAGATTTGTACGGTACCGCACTGTACAAGCACTAGTACTTTACAAAGCTAAACCACGTATGGTACGGTACGACGGACACCGTGGTATCTATCATACGAACAGATGAATATCCGTACGGTACAGTACATCATTATAAGCGCGGATAGACGGATTGATTAGCCGACGGGCCGAGTAAGGTACTGTAGGAAGGAGGATGTGAGGCCGTATCCATTATTTGAGGTGGGTTTATTATTCTACCGTATGACGGGGGGTATTTACGCTGTTCCGTATCGTGCGTTCACGGGCTCTAGCTAACTTACGGTAGTTGCTGTGGGTCCATCCATCCCGTGGGGCGTCCTCGGTTTGTGCAAACAGACTTTTCGAGTGATCTTTTGTGATGGGGGAAAGAAGCTAGCTTATCTGCCCAGTGAGAATCGTACTATGATAGTATTTTATTCAGCCACTGGCGCTTATAGATTGATGTCCTATTTGTATGATATTATGTCCGGTTTTTTTTTTTGTTTTGTTTTTGGCTCTTCCGGGAAGGTTATTTCGAATGTGATGGATGGCGGATTGTGGTGATATATATACGGAATTGGTGGTAAAAGTGGTTCTTTGTCTTCTAGAGATCTGATGATGATCTGGACCGAGGTCGTTTCGGTCGGGGGATCGTGGCCTGCGTGGGCGAAGGAAGGGGTTGGTAAGTTAGGGGTGATAATCCGGAGAGGTGGTTCTGTCTTATCATCCTTCACTCTGGGCTTGGGTAACTGAGCGGTTATCTGGCGTACAGTACCTCTGAGGTTTCTTTTGACGATGTGCTTCGCATAATTCATTCAATCCATCCATCTCGTCACCTTCGTCCTGTTTTATTTTATTCTATCCTTTGTTTCTTTTTTTTCGGCTAGTGGGAAATAACTTCCCTTCCAAGATAGCATCATGACGAATCACTCACTCACTCCTAGCAGCTCTTTTTGAATATCGGTATTGGATGCGATGCTGAGGTATATCTGGTATATTTTAGGGTACTTGGGGGGGGGAGGGGGGCTCCTGTGGACTCTCTCTAAAGTCTTGGTCAACCGTAGCTATGATAGCCCATTTTCTTTGTCCGGTCTTGTTGGAGCCTGTCAACAAAAGAAACGCAACCACCCGTTTTCCATACAAAACAATTTTTTTTCAATAGAGAGTTTGCGCCCGTAGATCTAAGTGGCGGTAAATTTCATTAATATATGTTATGCTAAAAGGCTTGGAGACCCGGGTGCCCAAACGCACCTGGTTGAGGCCCAAAAGTCAACTTTAAGGAGAGTTGAGTGCGAGGCTCATGTTATGCGATAATATTGTTTCTACATTCTCTGCTCTGGCTATCAACACTTCACATTGGGTTCGGCTGCTGTAACCCGGCCGCCAGGTCACCTGGATCCTATGCGCAAACTCTCTAATATGCGCCTATAGAATGAGAGAAATTTGGTATTTTCTCTTTTCTTCTTCGGCAGAGAGCCCCCCCCCCCCCAGAGATTCACATAGTTGAATCCCAGGGTGCAGGAATTGTTCCATCACACAAAAACCGAAAGTCCAAGTTCCGAATGGGAAGTTAAAATCCACGCCAAAACAACCAATTTGTATGATATGGGATTTTGCGTAGCAACGGACTTACCGTAATCCTAAGTTTCATGTCTCGTATTTGTATCCAAGACTGTCAATAAAGAAAGTTGGAAAATTCACAATCTGACTCTCCTTATGGATGTCTGTCATACCATCTGAGTTTTGCGGGCGGGTTTCATTTGTGGTTGCTTACGGGAGCTAATTGAAAATTGGTGTTCTATATGGAAAGTTGGGGGGTGGGTGTGTTTCTTTTGTTGCCAGGCTCGTTAATTCTGACCGCTCATTACTGGCGATGAGAATACCTTCATTCTCGGAGGGGGGGAGGTTGCAATAGGGATATTGGTAGTGGAAAAGGGGTTTGTGCGGGGATATAGTTGGGCTGGGCGATCATTCGAGTGATCCACTGTGATAAGAGTCTTCACTGCTTATTATTATGACGTCTTGCACTGTGTTCTATGTACTCTTCGGCTTTATTCTTCCTATAATGCCTGGTGCTGGTTTCTCGCATGCATTGTTGTGGGGTGTATAATGTTATGGCTCGGAAGGGGGTTTCTGAAAGGTGGTGGCTGGATAAGGAAGGAAGGAAGGAAGGAGGGTCGCTTCTATATCACTGTCTCGCTCCTCCCTCCCTTATCTGGGCAGTAGGTGAATGGAGATGAAAGTCTGCGTTATGGCACTCGCCCCATTTACTTTGAAATACTGCCCCTAGCACAGGTGAGCTACTGGAACTGTCGTAGTGTTGAAGGGGGTCTTTGCCTTTATAAATATGATTGATACTAATAGGAGTGTCCTGTCGGCGCCTGGATTTTATTGGGAGCGGAGGAGGAGGAGGGCCTGAAAATAGATCGTGCTACGGAAACCTCTGATCCCGGGCTTCTCTTATTCGACGAGTTCTCTGCAATTGGTAGCCTGGCTTTGATAGCCCGCGAATTTCCTTGCCTCTCGACGTGTCTAAAGTTCTATTGCAGGGAAATACCTGAACTATTCACGCTTGGTGCTATTAGAGTCGGGTTACCGCTGCTCCTACTAAGCCGTGTTTAATGGGGTGTGAGGGAATTCGGGACTATCGCCGGTGTAGGGGATAGCTCAACAATTGCATAGGTCCTGGGGGCGGCGTGGACTTAGATGGTGCTCGTTACTATGGCCGTACAGCACCGGTAATTTGATACGGTTGTGGTCGGGTCTGAATATCCCAGTGTCGTCGACCCATAATCCCCTTTCCCCCTCACCACTACGGGTACCAGTATGTTTTCTTCCTAATCTGAGCTAATTGTTCTGTTCATTTTCTGCTTTTCTGCCCCCCCTCTCCTCTCAGCACGGGCGCCTTGCACGTCTCTATCGCCGGGATCGCTCTATACTACGCTTGATCCTTGGATTATTAGGCCGCCCCTCTCTTTTTCACTTCTGCTCTGTACGAGAGACTACGAGTTAGTATCGTTGTGGCTTGTCTCCCCTTCCCAGTAGAGACCTTTTAAGCCCTTCCTTATTTATCCATTCAGGCTACCGCTTCAGTTCCAGGCACAAGACAGGGTGGCCAGAACTTGTTAATTCTGTGAGCACAATCCAGTGCGCTTTCCTCTTATGATATCACAAAGATAATTCCCAGCTCCCCCATGATCAGTGATCGTTCATGAACAAAGTCACGTGTCACCAATGATGAATCTTGGCGCAAACTTCTGGAGCCTCACGCTTTCACACGGAAAGCGCAACCCCAGGCCACCTGTCATACCGTGCGTACGCAGTGCCGATCCACAAACTGGAACCCAGGAATAGCCATCGCCCCTGGTATCCCATCTAGAGTTTCGTTCCTTCCAACTACCCCCTACAATCCTTTACACAACCTATGACATGGCCTCACCTCACCAACGACCCCTCCTCCGCCCCTCGGTATCTTCGCGACTCTCGATAGCAATCTCAACTCGCTCCGCTGAAGCTGGGGAGGCGCAACACGAAGATGGCGAGCAGATTGATGAAGAGATAGAGGAGATTAGGCGCTATGAAGTAATGCTCCATACCCTAGCCCCACCCAAGCTCCGTTGCTGTGCGAACCTGCTGATGAGGTTAACCTAGGACTTTACGACGATAGGTACGTTTGCCCACCGCCCCGACAAGATGAATAGTGGAAGGTGGGGTTCATGGCGTTGGATGAATAGATTGGGTGCAGGACGCTGCGCGAGCGCAGTTTCAGCGGCGAATTCAGAAACGGAAGGAGGGGTATTATGTTGGTACAAATTGGAGGAGGAAGCTTTGGTTGTCCTATGATGCCGGTCAGGCGTGGATCGTTATTAGCTTGATCGGTACTCGCCTTTCGCTCCCTCGCCGTTTTTTTCTTAGCTGTTGTTTTTGCTAACATGGGGTTTAGGCGCATGTATCGGCCTCAATGCCTCGTTCTTGAATATTGCCACAGAGTGGTTATCGGATATTAAGTTGGGACATTGCACAACGGCGTTTTACCTCAATGAGAATTTCTGCTGTTGGGGCGCAGAAGATGGTGGGTTTGGGCTAGCCGGGTTTGGGGGTTTTTGGAGGGGAGTGGAGGGCTGATTTTTCGATTTTTCTTTCCTTGCTTGGAGGGTTTAGGCTGCCCGGAGTGGAAAACATGGAGCACAATTTGGCCGGCGAATTACCTGCTCTACATTTTGTTTTCGGTAGGTTTTTGACTCCTTCTTGCCCTACTCGTACCAGAAAATGGCGATTGGAAACTACTTTGGATGTATGGGCCATCCCGGGTCGTGCTGCCCGGATACCGGTGGTTTGTTTCGGGAATGTTAGTTGAGCTGACGTCTTGCAGATACTCTTTGCATATACCAGTGCTATCCTCGTTAAATCCTTTGCTCCATATGCTGCCGGCTCGGGTATCTCCGAAATCAAATGCATTCTCGCCGGCTTTGTCATGAAGGGCTTTCTGGGTGGGTGGACACTACTAATAAAGTCTATCGGCCTCCCGCTCGCCATTGCCTCGGGACTGAGTGTGGGTAAGGAGGGTCCCAGTGTGCATTATGCGGTATGCACCGGGAACGTGATCAGCAGGTTCTTCGACAAGTACAGGAAGAATGCAGCGAAAACCAGGGAAATCTTGTCTGCCTGTGCCGCCGCGGGTGTTGCCGTTGCCTTCGGGAGTCCAATCGGGGGCGTAATTTTTTCCCTTGAGGTCGGTTTCATTTCCTAGTGCGGCTAGTGTGGAAGTGATCGTTAATGCTGGAAAAAGGAAATGTCGTCGAATTTTCCCCTCAAAACAATGTGGAGGAGTTATTTCTGCGCGCTGGTGGCCACTGCCGTTCTCGCTGTGAGTGAGATTCTTGACCTTTTTTTCCGTCTTAGTCACTAATATAAGAAGGCTATGAACCCTTTTCGAACCGGCCAACTTGTCATGTTTCAGGTTACCTATGATCGGGACTGGCACTTTTTTGAGATCGTTTTCTTCGTAATTATCGGTATATTTGGCGGGCTTTACGGCGAGTTCGTCATCAAATGGAATTTACGAGCTCAATCCTTCCGCAAAAAATATCTAAAGCAATGGGCGATCGCAGAGGCTACCTTTCTGGCAGGGATCACTGCCGTGATTTGTTACTCCAATATGTTCCTGAGAATAGACATGACAGAAAGCATGGAGATCCTGTTTCACGAATGCGAAGGTGGACACGACTATAATGGACTTTGCGAGTGAGAACTTTGGGAACCAACCCCGAGAGTGTAAATATTCTGACAATCTGTGAAGGAGCAGTCGGAGATGGCATATGGTCACGTCGCTCACCATCGCGACTGTAGTCCGAGTGTTCCTTGTCATCATCTCTTACGGCTGCAAAGTGCCCGCCGGGATCTTTGTGCCGTCCATGGCTATCGGAGCATCCTTCGGTCGAACGGTCGGGATCTTAGTTCAAGCACTCCACGAAGCTGCCCCGAACTCCAAATTCTTTGCTAGCTGCCAACCAGACATACCCGTAAGTGTATCTGCACCTGCACTGCGTAACCTAGACCCAGCCCTCCTGCTAACACCTGCTAAGTGTATCACACCGGGGACGTATGCGTTCCTTGGTGCTGCAGCTGCACTTAGCGGTATCATGCACATTACGGTTTCTGTGGTGGTCATTATGTTTGAGCTGACGGGTGCATTAACCTACATTCTCCCCACAATGGTACGTTACTTTCATCTCCCCAAACACCCCACCCTCTGCCCCCCTTGGTGTCGTGCGTGCGCATATATACGAGTTGGCGCAGTACCGTGCACACATAAAACACACGTCCACAGTGGAAGGGGGGGGGGGGGGGGGGGCTACCAATGATGGTCGATAATGATAACCACAAAACCACAGATAGTAGTTGGCGTGACAAAAGCTGTCAGTGGTCGTTTTGGCAAAGCGGGCATCGCAGACCGGATGATATGGTTCAATGGGTTCCCGTTCCTAGATAACAAAGAGGACCACTCGTTTGGGGTACCAGTATCTCATGTGATGAATCAGGAGTTAGTTGTGCTCCCATCAACGGGCATGGCCATCCGAGAAGTCGGTAATGTTCCCCCCCACCTTTCTCGATATATGAAAACTCTCCTATCATTTTAAAAAGGCGCACCACGTTTATAGGGGTTGTTGCCTATATACCGCTCATACTAATATTCGCGTTCACCGACAGAAACAATTCTCGAGTCCACAGAATTCCAAGGATTCCCGATTGTGCAGGACAGAAATTCAAAGTTGCTCATAGGTTACATTAACAGAACAGAGCTCAAGTACAGCATTGGTAATTATTAACTTCCCCTCCCTTCTCTTCCTTTCCCCGTCCCACTCCCCACATTCAATACCCAATATGGTACCCCACACCCGCGCAACCACAAACCCACACCTAGAAGCGTGCGTGCGTGTATTGCCCCGCATGAAAAAACACCACCACCCGACCGGGCCCGGTAGTTGCAAAAAAAAAAAAACCTGGATAAATAACAACTTTACCTACCGTACATTGCCTCTACCACACTGTACCCAACCGGCCCTTGGTACCATCTGAAGAAGAAGAAAAAAATTGAAAAAAGCACTAACCTTCTCATTTACCCTGAAGATCGTGCCAAGCGCGAACGTACTATTCCACCCACCTCCCGCTGCTACTTCCTGTCCGCCGACCAAGCACAGACACCAGCCTCAACCGTAGGAGTGACCGTAGTCAACGCTGGTGGCGCGGGGCATCCCTCGTCGGGCTCGTTATCGCTGGATTTTGCCAGGTTCATCGACCCAACGCCATTGACCGTGCACCCGCGCCTGCCTCTCGAGACGGTGATGGAGATCTTCAAGAAGGTGGGGCCCAGGGTCGTGCTCGTGGAGCATAGGGGCAAGCTGTCCGGTGTGGTGACGAGGAAGGACGTGCTCAAGTTTCAGTTCAAGGTGGAGAATAGGGAGAACCCCCGCGACGATAGTGCTGAGGTTGAGAGGGAGGAGAAGTTGTGGGGGATCATAGTTGGTGTTTCGTTGTGGCTACGTAGGAAGGTGTTGAGGCAGGAGGTGCCCCCAACTGGGGGGGAAAGGGTTACAGGTATTGATGATAGCCAGGATGGAATTCTCGACGTCGAGGCCTCTCCTATGGATTTGGAACTCGATGAACGGCGGTAATGATAAGGATTTTGATCGTTATTCAGCAATATTTCTTTCCCCCCCCCCCCTTCCTCTCCTTCCATCACTTTCACACTAGACGGTTCACACCTGTAAATACGCTTCGCTTCGCTAGAGGTTCTATATTGGTAAAACAGAAAGTTTATTTATCTATCTATGGATGGTCCTCATCCCCTAGACTATACATCTACTGAATAGCCTAATTGGCGCCCGCCGCAGCCTTCGCCGCCTTCTCCTTCGCATATCTACCAGCCACCTCATCAATGGTGGTCTTGTCCCCCATAATATCCTTGATATCTCTGTGAATATCCGTGAATGATGAAAAGACAGTGAAGGGAAAGCCTTCACGATCACAGTAGGTGATCAAGTCTGGGTAGGAGCGTTAGTAGTGCGCCACGATAATGGGCTACATAAACTTGAGACATACCATGGCCAATCTTGGCAAAGAGCAAATCAGTCTCACGAGCAGCAGACAGATCAGATACTCCATCACCACAGTAGAAGAGAATGGGCCTATCCTCGGCCGGAAGGTTGGCAGTCGGCCTGATGGCCAATGATTTGTCGTGTCCAAAGTCGCTATTTCCGATACGTGATATATTAGCTCCGCACTTCGCTACCTGAAGAAAAGAGAGAAGGCAAAGGGATATAAGAACCTGTCATCATGAAAATCAATGGTCCAGGATCCATCCGGCAAGTGCTTGGGCTGATTGCTAACAATCTTGATCTCATCTGCAGTGGGTCCAACGAGTTTGGTAAGGAGCGCACGAATAATGGGCTCCATTCCGGATGAGAGAACAATGACGGGGATCTTCTCGTCCCTGCACCAATTGTAGAAATCTTTGAAGCCAGGGTCTAGCTTGATATTGTCGCAGAGAACCTGAACGCACTCGTCGAAGGGCGTGGGTACTGAGTCGAGCATTTCTTTGAATGCATCGCTGAGATGAATTAGCTTGAGGAATAGTTGAGTGGATGGGGGATGATGGGGTGGGAGAATGGGAAAATACCGGAACTTGACACGGTTCTCGAGGATATCAATGTTGCCATCTCTACGCTTCTTCTCGCCATATCCAAGGTTGTCGGTCTGTATTGAAGTATGTCAGCAAGTACCCAAGGATTATAAGCAGTCCGAGAAAGTGAGATGTGGAACTAACCAAGTAATCATTACCTATCAGCCGAAGGTAGTTGATGTCAGCCAGCTGTAGGTTTCCATAAGAGATCAATTGACTCCTGGCTGGCTACATACTATCTTTCAGGGTGATGGTTCCTATTGTTTGGAAAGGCTCGTCAGTTCAGTTCAAGCAAACAAAGATGGATAATTGTGGGCCAGGGCAAGCTGGGAATAAGTTACGACAGAATGCGTACCATCGAAATCAGTAAAGACAACAGCTTTGCTTGCGGGGGCCATGTTTGACTGGAAAGAAAAAATTTATCGGTCTATGGTTTATCGTGTAATAGCTTGAAAGGTAGGAAAAAAAGATGAGGATGAGGATGAGGAGGAGGAGGAGGAGGAGGAGAAGGGAGGAGAGAGGGGCCCTAGGGCCCTAGTTATACCAAGGCGGGGAACGGCTAGAGGGTTGGAAAGGTCGGAAAGGGGATAGAGGGAATTCACCAGAGGGGTACGTAGGCTAGGGGGGAAACATTGCAACCTCCAAACATATCTTGGTTTGTTTGTTTCCTCGCAGCAGTAAATGATAGATAGGAGGGGTCCGGGAGAAATGCACGCCGAGGAGGACAGCATCAAGCATAGCAATTTAAATTTTAAAAGGCAGAATGTGCGGTCGACGAGGGGGAGGGGCAACCTGCATAATTATTGTCTTCTATTCTTTTCTTTTCTTTTCTCTTCTTTTCTTTCTTGCTTTCTCCCCCCCGCCCCTACCTAGTCAATCCATCCACCATCACGAGAGGGATATCGATCCCTTACCACTTAACTTACAGCTCAATTGCTCTTTCGTTTCCCAAGAGATTTACCAGTACCGGCGCACGTACTGTATAGTACTCCATTCTACAGCACAGGGGAGCAGGGAATGCATAATCTAGAACGATATGGTGTGGAGCGCTTGGATACCGTAGCGGTACTGTGCTGTGCCTGTAGCAAGTTTTCGTGATACTTTATCGGATGGGGGCGTAGGTAGGGTACTCGAGTACATATCAGTGCAGTGCCGGTACTGTATTGCATGGTACGCAGCCGTGATATTAAGTTCTCACCGCCCCAGAAACTACGGTATCGTGCCCCATCCCATCCCATCCCCACCATTGGCCGTACCGTAGGTATTATGGTCTGTGTGGTTGATGCTGTCGGTTGGTGGGGCTGCAGCACCACAGGCACAGTGGCCACCCCATCTCCCACAGACCCAACCCTTGCCACAATTGTTTCTCCGTCTGAACTCTTCGACCCGAGAACTCTTCAAACTTCCCACCGCCCAGCCAACCAACCAACCACCACACCACCACCACCAGAGAGGGAGAGAGTGTGCACACTCTGCCGCTAACATCTTCCCCCCCACCTCCCCTCTCGGCCTTTTCGTGATACGCCCTACGCCCGCCGTGACATGAGGCCTCTCCTCAGATCCATTCTGCTTGCAAGGCCTTCCGGTTCCCCTCCCGCATCCCGGATCCTAGACCTCCGTCAATTGCACCTGAACCCAAGGTTATTACCCTGTATCCGGCGTCAGCCCCAGCATCCGCTTCGACTCTCCCAACAGCACTTCCGATGGTTTTCTTCCGAGGGAAAGGCTCCCGGCAACGGTAATATTGGGGATACCCCGTCTCCGGATTCCTCCGCCGCCCCGTCGAGTGCCCCTCCTCCTCAGCCCGAGCTCAAGAACCCACGTCTAAATATGCCCAGGATGTTCTCCGCTGCCGTGGATGATTTACAGGCAGCCATGTTTAGCGCCGGCCAGAAATTGAACGAGATTACAGGATATTCTGACATCGAGGCACTGAAGAAGTCGATTGAGAAGCAAGGTACCTTTCTTTCTTTCTCCCTTCTCCTCCCTTCTCCCCCCTTTCCCCAACCCTTTCCCGGACTTTTCTCCAAACAATTCGTCACTCAATTCCGTGCCTTCCCGTTCCTTTTTCAAACGCTCTCTCACCCACAATTACTTTTCTCCATGAATCCCTACTACAACGTTCCTTTTGATTCATGATGCCCCTCGTTTCTACCTCCCTCTCCGGCGATATCTTGACAAGTGTGATATAATAGAACCTAGGTCCATTTGCTAAAACAAAAGGTCCGTTTTTTTGAAACCCGCTCTAGAGCAACGCGTGAAAGCATCTCGCCAGGCCGTGCGGAAGGGGAAAGAGGAGTACCAAGCCGCGATAAGTCGTCGGTCGGCCTCACAACGTGAGGTTAACGAACTACTTCAGCGGAAACACTCCTGGAACCCAACAGACCTCGAGCGTTTCACCGAACTCTATCGATCAGATCACGCGAACGAGCAGGCCGAAACCACTGCGCAGGATCTGCTCGTCCAGGCGGAGCGTGTTGCCGATGAGGCTCAAGAAGGCCTTGCCCGTTCTATCCTTGCCCGGTATCATGAGGAACAAATTTGGAGTGACAAAATTCGAAGAGCGAGCACTTGGGGAACTTGGGGATTGATGGGTTTCAACGTGCTGCTGTTCATCGTTGTGCAGTTGGGATTGGAGCCTTGGAAGAGAAAACGGCTGGTGGGTGGGTTTGAAGCGAAGGTCCGGGAGGTTATCCAGGAAGAGGGACTTAGGAACGCAAAACGATTGAAGGTTCCACCTGTGGTCGAAGAAGGTAGACCTTCCGGAGTAGTACAGTTTGCCGCAGACGAAACTGCTGCGATTGACGGCGATGTTGCCGTAGCGGTGGATGCTCTTGAAGTAGCTGCCGTAGAGGAAGCTCCCCCTGTAGCTGTAGGGGTGGATGCCATAGAGACTACCGCGGGAGAAGATATAGCGCCGATTGAAGCTGCCGTGGAGGTACCAGCAGAGCCGGTGGCAGAAGAGCGACCGTGGATTGACTACATCAAAGAGGAGGTGACGGGAAGAGTCGAGGAACTCTTTGGCGAGGAAGTAGTAGCGATAAAACGAGTTGACCTGACGGTTACAATCCTGGAGAGTGTGGCACTCGGAGCTTTTATCACGGCTACACTATCTTTACTATGGTCTGGCAGGTAAGACTAACCATAGCGACAGCATTCCGCATGGGGAAGCATATTTGCATTGTCATCCTTTATCTTCCGTCCTTCGTTCAATTTAGACAAAAAGAAAAAAGACTTGAATCGTGTCCCAGGCCACTCCCCGCATGATTTCGCTCGTGGGGAAATTCTTGGCTTTTCTTTTTTTTTTTGCTTTATTACCGGCATTCCAATTCATATCACTATTGCCTCATTGTTTGCGCTGTATTATACAGGACTGTTTATATCGGGTCGGAGAATGTACGAGTAGCGGGAGGTGGATGAAAAGAAAAATTGCATCTCATATGCCGTTCGTTGGCTGCGGGGTTGTGGTTTCCTTGTGCATTCCTGAAGGGGGTATGAGGAAAATCTGCTCGGGAAAGTGTATCCAGATTTTTCATTTGTTGCCTCAAAGAAGCGCATGACAAGCTCGCTACGGGAGGCTAGAGTGACGATTTGAGTTGGCATGAGACGCCGGAATACTAGTGAAGAGTTAAACAGTCGCAAGTCGTGGATTGCGCTGGAGAGGTTCACCGAGTAGAAATCCATGACGGAGCACCGGTCTGTCCGCGCGGATTACCCTACCGTACCTTCATTCAACACTACCAAATCCCGTCTCATCCCCTCCAACCACCATGTACTAGTACTGTACGAGTCCACAATACGATACCATCAAAACTCGACCCCCATTAAAAAACGACCTCCCCCAATCACCACCGCCGAAACAAACAATGTTCACCCTCCACCCTCTCTCGCGCTTCCGCCCGCTAATCACAACCACAACCACCCGCCTCCTCCTCCCCCCCCGCACCTTCACCACAACCCCCCACCCCCGGGCAACATTCAACCAAGTCCTCCGCGGCTGCCGCAAGCCCCAACCAAAGCGCAAGCCGGAGTCGCCCGCCATGTCGGAGACGGGGAACCCGTGCATGAAGGGCGTATGTCTGAAGGTGTTCGTCATGGCACCCAAGAAGCCCAACTCCGCCGAGCGCAAGGTGGCGCGTGTGCGGTTGAGCAGCGATAAGGTTGTCACGGCTTACATCCCCGGCGAAGGTGGGTGATTTCGTTTTCCCTTCCTTCCTCCATCCCCTCCCTCCCTTTCCGGAAGGACGTTGTTTTGGCTGATGCTGGGGAGGCGGAATGTAGGGCATAATGTGCAGCAGCATTCGGTGGTCCTTGTGCGTGGTGGGAGGTCGCAGGATTGTCCGGGTGTCAAGTATCATTTGATTCGTGGGGCTTTGGATTTGGTTCGTTTCTCTCTCTCTCTCTCTCTTCTTTGGCTGTTTGGGGCTTTGTGTTGACTTTTGTGGGGGTCAGGGTGGTGTGCCGAATAGGTCCACCTCGCGGTCAAAGTATTTTTCTTCTCTTTCCTCTCTCTCCATGTTTGGTCGAAAGGGCGGATAAGGGGATGGGGGGGGGGCTAACGGAATGCGCATAACAGGTACGGAACGAAGAAGCCGAAGAAGGGGTTATAGGCAATTGAGTTGAAATCGAATCGAATCGGATTGGGCCGAGTCTTCGATGATTTGGACGCTGATGATGACGTAAATATAGTTTTCCTTCATCAATTGTCACTCTGTACCAACATTCCACCACTACACACGTTCTTTCGACTGCTATGGTATCGCATTTGTACATCACACAAGCGCACCGAAACAAACTTTATAGACCCGATATCAACCCTGTTCTCCCTATGGTTACTCTTCCCCTTTCCCCCTCGCCGTTAATCAAAATATCACCCTTGTAAAACGTCGAGTTCGTTGCTTTCGCCGAAACCTGCCACCCTCCCCTCCTCTTCTCTCTTCTCCCCCTCTCCCTCCCCCTTTGTCTGTACTACATAAAACTCATGTTCTAAGGGCCCGCCCAATTATCCCTACGTTCCGGCGGGGTGCCGGAAAATTTAAACAAAAATGGGTGTAAAAACAATTAGGGGAAAAACAGGAACAAAGGAAAGTATCTGGTATTTTTTTAGTCCATTTGTGTCTCGTATCCTTCTGGCTTTTCTATGCTGTTTATTTCGAAGTGGCGGGATAAGCAAGAGTAGCCTGGGGGGTTATTAGCTTCCGGATATCGAGTAAAATCGGTAGGGGTAATTGAATAACATACCCTTCCAGTCAAAGTTATCCTTAGGGTTACAGTGGCACTTGAGCTTCAACCGATCCTTTTCTGTAGTAGGACAGTGCGTGAAAGGCACGTGGTAGTAACTATAATAGCGTGCGTTAGCTTCCGAAAACCGTTAGTGGTTACACTTGTGTAGGGTTCCGTACGCAATGTCCTCAAAGAAATGAATCTGCGACTTGTCCAGCAGCAAACTAGCCGCGATGCTGTGAACCGGAGCATCGCCCCATCTCTCATAGAAGAAACCACCATCCTTATCCAGCTTATCGAAGAAATCGGTGTATGCCTTGTCCCTCCAGAAATCCAGACTGCCAACTTCGAAATTGGACCAGTAATGGCAGTGGTTATAGGTTTCCCCTCCATCGTCACTGAGGAATCCCATTGCATTGTTCGAGTGAATGTGTTCCGGATGCTCCTTCATGAAACTCTTGACACTGTCCCAAAGTGTCGGGATGGTCTCGACGTATTCATACAATGACAAGACGAAGCCGTACTTCTTATTGTTATCGGCCATGAAGCGGAAGACGTCGTAATCAACATCGCAAAACAGTTCAACCGATGGCTCCACACGCCAGTAGTACTCGTAGTCGAGCAATAGCTCATGTCGGAAAAAGAAACCAGATTCGTAACGGCACATGTGCCGGTAAGGGATGGAATCGCCATATATAACCTTTCGCTGAGCCTAGAACACAAATCAATCGGCAATTAGCTGACCCAGCCGACACCCAACAAAAAAACGAAAACACCAATTTTTAATAAGCAAGCAAAACAGAAAACCCCGGGACAAAAATTGAAAGGGGGGAGGGGAAACTTACCATGTCCTCTCTAACCTTCTTCGCCTTCTCCTGATCAATCCAATCCGGGAAGCTCCAGTGTTCCTCCGGAATCAACCCGTACTTCGCCTTCCCACTAGTAAGCGCGGTAGTAACCTTCTTGAACTGTGTATCAAAAGGCTTATCATTCAGAAACACCCAATCATAATTAAACTTCCGATTGAACCGATCCTCAACATGCCTAATAGACTTCGCAATCTCCCAGATATCGGTATTCCTCGCCAGCGTGACGAAAGTAGCGTTCGCGCGCTTTCCCGGGTGAACTCCAGTTGGGAGACCGCTTGCCGGGTTCGAAGAAGAGCCATTATTGTCGTTGGATTGCGATGAAGATGATGAATCCTGCGCACGCTGTTGCGCGGCGATTTCTTCGACGTCCACCCGTGGTGTGCCGGCGTGGTAGTTTGTTGTGTAGATCTTGAAAAGGACAGCTATCGACTGATCCGGATTTGGATGTGTAAGTGTGTGTGCCGGGTGGGAAAAGAGGAAGAATGATTCATGGCTCCGCGAAAGGGGAAAAAATGGGTTGGCAGGTTTTACTCACGAAGAAAGCTAATAGCATGAACCGTAAGGTTCGGGTATTCGCTGCCATCTTGATAGACTAGCGTAGGAGGGAGAGGGGGAAAGGGGGAGGAAGGGAAGCGAGGTGAGGAGAAACAACAGAGCCAGGGAAAGCGGTGGAGTATAATAAATAAGGAGAGAAGATGGTCCTTGGAAGCTAATCCGATGAGCTCCCCATCCAACAAGAACAAAGAAAGCCAAAGAAGCAAGATGGCAGAAGTCGGGGAAAAGGGTTGAAGGGGGGATTGATGTAACTTTTGTATGGTGGCGTTGATTAGCACGGGAGAGAAAAGGGGATTCGCTTCCTTGTACAGTAATCAAGTGAATTGCTATCAAAGATTGTGAAGCTTGGGGGGAGCATCACACAGTACTCGAGTAAGTTCCAGTGGGTCGGGTAACGCAAGGAGTTGCAGGAAAATCCGGTATCCGTTATGATGGCTTCCTGTTGGGAATGCTGATTAGAAGCGAAAAGGCCAATGAAAAAAAAGGAATTCCCGGCCAAATTCAATTCTTTCCCTTTCTGTGATTGAAAGCTCGAACCCAATTGCCTAAATTTGTCTGAACCTACCGGTACGAGCTTATGGAGTCAGCCGCACGTGTTCTCACTCGTGTGGCAGGACTATTCTTCCTTCCCTCCTGGTAAGCCGCAAAAAGCCGGCAGATCATGGAGCACGCTCCGAAAATAAGTTGGCAGTTCACATCATTTCACGGTTACACGACCCACAAGAATACTATGCCCGCAGAGAGTGACCTTCAATTCTGGCAAGTGCTCGAGTACAGTAACTTGAGTCAGCTATGACGATTATGGGTAAGCGAACATCCACTTCGCTTCCTGGTCCCCTACTCTCGAGGTATCATATCGGCGTTCTGTCTCCAGGAAGATCCAAGGCTTTTCATTTGGGCAGGTAATCTTCCGGTATTCCCTCCAGCCGCCCGATCAATCCTCGGAGATCAAGATCTCACGGGTTGGTCAGCCATGATTGATCAACTTTAGATGAAACATACAGTACTCGAGTGCCGGTATAGTATAGTACACGTACTCGTATAGTACATCTATGCAGCTGGAAAATCGCAGGACTTTGAAACAAAGTTCGGCGCCATATATTTTTCGCGCTCTGGTCTGGAACAAGCGCGGAATTCCCAAACGTGGGGTACCGGTCACTATTGTAGCGCCAGCGGGGAAAAAACCTAGTATGACATAAGTGGGTTAGGCGAACTCTTGCGAGGTTAGGATAGCCTTAACACTCATTACATCATTCCAGGTATCGTACTTGTACCAGGAACAATACTGGTGCCTATTAATAGGAGAACAGTCAGGGTCTTTCCTTTCTTTCTTTCTCTTAGCTGACTGCTTTGGGGTTATGATAGCTTATTCCTCTAGGATTTCGGGGGTGAAGTAAAGAATTTAGCAGTTTTGGAAAATCACTCCCGCTAGCGTACTCCAATTTCGAATGCCATTTTCGACAACAATTTATGGACATGATTTGGCAGGAGATATACAGGGTGTACTTCCGCGCCGCCGCTGAGCTCATTATCATATGTTTACGAACACAATATTTATGTCCTTATTTGACTGCGTGGGAACCCAAGACGTTTTTCACAAAATGGCATTCGAGTGACGATCCGTGATACATTGTCGATACTTGTTCACCACTACCAGCCTAGCGCGTGGTTGAGAAGTAGGGAGCGAGTGCTGGACTTGGTGGATATAGAGCAACGGAGAAGGAAGATCGAAAGAATAAGGGAAATACGGGCGAATTTCCTCCTGCGACCTTCAAGTGCGGGCAAATGGAGCTTTAAAAGGTAAACTCCTGCTTCCCGGACGTTCAGATTTCAGGATGAAATGACTCCCGCCCACCCAGATGCCTCCGCGTTCATAGAGATAGGGGGAAAAACGGTGCAAATTTTTGAAAAACAAGATTTATCCGTAGCTGTCCTGTACATGGAAGTAGTGAGGAAGGAATTGTAAGAGAGCTCCTGTTGATAGATTCAAGAAAAAGACAGACGGGAGAACAGCACGGGAGCAACGAAAAAGAGGCGGTTCCTCTCATCCTCTCAATCCTACCCATTTCCCCGTGCCTGTCGTTGAGCACTCCACATCACGTATCACATCCTTCGATGTCCGGTGTGGGTGGATATCACACCTTTCGTGATATTTCCTTTCCAAGGATAGGGGGGAGTCACTTTTGCTTTCTCTAGCATCTGTGCTTCCCTCCTTGTTGTAGCATTGAATTGAAGGCGAGTGCAATATGATTCCAAGTTGCGCCTTTAGTGCAATTCCCTTTACCACTTGGGCACTGCAGCTTTTGTAGGCGATGCAAAACTGCTCCGGTTGAACAGAGAACCTCTCTTCTCTTACGTTATATCGGGTAGTGTTAAGGGAAAATAACAGTCTTCTTTGGAGAATTTGTTGATAATCGGGGTGGTTCTGCGCCTCAATAAAATAACCGCATCGCCATAGAGCTACTGGAAAATGTCTGCGGCTCCTCGGTTTTACTGTGTTCGCATCGACCGGTTTTGCATCAAGCTACTTGGTACCGTATAGTACCATATTTTATGCGCTAATGTTCGCCACCCACATGTACGCGTTCAATTGAAGTTTAAGCACCTAGATATCTCTGCTAGTAAGTGATTAAAGAGTAGGAGGGAAAGAGCACGACTCAACCTAGCTATGTATAATCGATTGCATTGCTGTTCAGCTCTGTGGAGAGGAGATACCCGTGTCGTCCAATTGGAAGTTCAGTGGTCGATTTCGCTCTTATCCAAAACCCACGGTGGAACCCCTTCACCAATTTCGTACTAATGAATGGGGGGCTTTCTAATCGGCTTCCGGGCTAGACGCATCGTGGGAATACGTTGAATATCAGTCACATGATATGGCTACAGCTCCTATGTGTCATCGATAGATGCCAATCCTGCAAGCTTGGCCTCTAGTATAACCCAGAGCTCAAAATCGCATACAGAACCTATTACTTCCTAAAATCTTTTGGGTGGTCCCGAGAAGCTTTGGCGATTGGAATTCCTCACTTATAATCTGGTCCTTGGATGAGTGACGGCTTCAAGAGTATTCCGACGCCATGATTATGCAGGAACTGGCGCACCCTGCATAGCGAGGGAGGGTGGGGATGCCCCGCAATGATCTGGCCGACCACGATTCTTTTTGCAACTGGCTCCCGCTGCTACCGGCTATCCGGGAGATGTGCTCCGTCTCAGCCACCGAGGTAGTCGCTCGGCGAATGGGCAACCATGTCCCTTCGATCGAGTAGTTATCCCTTCACGAGGTAGGCCATATTTCCACTAGGATATCCCGGCGACCAGGAAAAACTCAAGCCATAGACTACTAGTAGTATAATAGCCAAGTGCAGAGGGATCTCCCGTTTGCATTTTTAGCCCTGTGCCCACTGGCTCCGAGTCCGAGTTGCATGTACCACCCGTGATGCCTGGAAGAGTGTGGGATTGTGACAAGGGATAAGACCTGGGGCTCTCGGGGGATGGCTCCGAGGTTCTCGCAGCTATACTCGGCATCCCAACGCTTCATACAGCACTTATTGAAATCGATCCATTGTGAACTTGTAGAGTGGGGACAATATCATGAGATTCTCTTTCCGAGCGGAGCACGTAATCGGCTGGAGCATAGTGGGATTGTTATGCGTCCAGGTTTCCGGGAAATGGGCGCACTGCAGTAGTGGTACCGGGTACCGGTCGTGGGGTAAGCAAATAGGGTGGCCGGATTGCGGTTTTCTTTTCTTTTGGATTTGGCATGATTGCCAAAGTGTAACTTGCCTGCAATCAGATGGCTTGATTACTTGGTCAATGGGATGCCGGTATCATAGGTTAGAATTTGCTTTGTCATCAGGGTACGCCAACCGGCAAGAGGCCTACTTGGCCAAGTAACCTGTTTGGTGATTGGGATGGGAGAGATATTGTGAATTTTGGGCTATGAAGTGTTTCAATGGTGACTTATCTCCTTGTCGTGGCCGTCTAGCTCGTGGGGCGTCTTGTCTATGCGTGATGCTTGCGTCGGTTATCGCATCAAAATACGGACTAACGCGGATAGCCTGGATAGATGGCATACGGTACAGTGCCGGCACGCTACTGGCATCGTCGACTACGGTACTCGTACGGTACAATACCGGTGTGTAACAGTACGGTAGGGCACTTGGGTTGTCCCAATGGGCCGTTAGGCCGTCCAAACATGCCCTTCAGCGAAACCTTGGCATGCCAAGCCCACTCCAAGCCACTCCCACACATCTTTCCTCTTCCACTCCAACATCCACTATCAACCCCGCCTCCCCACCCCCGGAACCCGGGATTTGATTCGAATCTTTCCCAATATACCTGTTCACTTCTTTTTTCCTCATCGCTTCGTACCTCACGAAATTCCCTCAAAGTCGGATCCACTTCCGTTTGGAACTCACGCCGCCCGCCTCTCTCTGCTTCAATCTTTAGAACGATTACCACCTCCTGCCATGTCGTTCTTTGGGTTCGACACATCTCTGCCGAGGGATCGCGGTCATCCAGCAACGGCTCCTGGCTTCGCGCAGGCGACCGATCATTTCGCTGGGTTGTCTAATGTTGACGGTGATGATGATGACGATGGGTGGGTTCCTGTTTACCGGATATTCGAGCCTTAGAGCCACTAACTCTCGGAGTGAAGAATTGATTTTGAGGATACCTATGACGGCCTTGGTGATAAGCTGGACGAAAAAGACGATGCATTCAACGACGAGACTTTTGGTGCCCTGGAGGGAGCAATAGGTATTAGTTTCTTTTCGGAGATGGCCCCTACGGATATAGGCTGAGGTCAAAATTCAAAATCTAGGGAAGGACTTTGACTTTCATGGTGCGACCGCCCGAGTGGCAGACGCTATGGAGGAGGAGCACGAGGTCTTTAACAGGTCAGCGAGGAATCAGTCTGTCGCCAGAGTGGCAGCTGCCCCCACGCAACCCGCACGAGTCGAGCCTCCAACTCACGTGCCGGTCCTCCGCCCTGATATGTCTTTATGGGGATCCGGACCCGCTGCTACGCCTCAGCCCGAACCTCAGCCAGAGCCTACGCCAGTGGCGCCCCCAGTTGGGAGGAAGATATTAAGCCTGGAAGAGGTTGAGGCCCAGATATTAGCCAATAATGAGCAGAGACATCAATCCCCACCCCAGCAACCGCCCGCCCAGGGCCACCAATTACCTCCCCAACATCAGCATATACCCCCAATGATAACCCCTCAGTTACATCAATATCCTCCCCAGCAGCATGATGTGCATCAGCTTCACTCTCAGCAATTTCCTGCACGCATACAGAGTATGCTCCAGAGAGATCAGACCCCCCCTCAGGTTCAGCATCACCAAATTCCTGAGCAGCATCCTGGGGGCGCGCCGCAACAGCAGCAGCAGAGAGTGCAGCCGATGGGACAGCCATTACATCCCTCACGGAATCAATATGGAATGACGAACCATGTCCCAGCACCGCAGTTGCAAAAAATGACTGAGGCGGAGAAAGCTCGATTTTTGGAGGAGGAGAGCAAACGTTTGAAGAGAAATCACAAGATTGCCCAGTTGGTGAGCAGATAATGGAGCATCTACATGGATGAGTACGAAGCTTACATAATTGTTGAACAAAGGCACGGTATAACGGTTTAATGACCCCTGCAGACAAGAACTTTATAACTCGCATACAGCTCCAGCATCTGGTATCTATCAATAATGCTGAGGATAACGCTAATGAGGACTTCTACTACATTGTTCATTCGGCAATTCGGGCACGCACAAACCCTCAACAGCCCCTCAATCAATTTGCGCAGACCTATCTTTTCCGTCAGAGCGCAAGAGGCAGAAATAGGCAACAAGACAACCACCTGCAGCGGATGGAGCAGCAAGTTCAGCGGGCTGTTGCGGCCGCCAAGGCTCGTCCAAAAGCCAGTCAGTTAGTGCTAGAAGGCAGTTTGGGAAAAATCTCATTTAGCAATGTCAAGACGCCACGACCTATGCTCAACATCAAGAAGCCCGACGCTCCTCGTGGTGAGCCCATAAGAAGGGTGAGTCCGCTATCCTTCGGGGGATGGTTACCATACATGCTGATATTTCTATCTAGACTCAGCGTTCAACATTTTCAAGCGCTGATAGAAAATCTTTGCTCAGGGCCATTGAGAATGTTTATGATGCGCTGCTAGAGTTAGAGGTTCATGAACGCGAGAGGGCAAAGCTGTCAATCCTGATGCCAGATCAACAGCCCCAGCAAGCACATGTTGAATGGGCAGCGAAAAGAGATCAGCTAGTAACAAAGTTATGGAAAGAAACCAAAATTAGGGAGCCAATTGACCCAACGTGAGAGATCCAATATTTGCCATTAGGGATATAGGCTAATACCGTCCTTCAGATCGACGGCCACTCATCCTTTTATCGCAATTCTTTCCTATTCGAAAATGAAGCGGGCTGTACAACGTATATTCCGACACCTAGATCCAGAGCAGCGTGTGACTATTCTCACTATGATTGTTGTCCACCTGGATATCCTTGATGTCGTGAAGCATGGTGTATACCTTCCAGATGAGACCCAACTTCCCTCAGCTGTCCGTGAGGAGATTGAAATGTTTGCGGCGAGCGTTCTTCCGCCCTTGTTAGGCTATGTTTATGAAGCATCTCTTTCGATTGTTATTGGGCTCCTGGGAATACTCTTGGAACGTGTGGATGTTGTGGCTGTCAGCAAGACCAAGATCGGTCTTGCGTTTCTGACCATGTTTTCTTCCAGAGCGGAAATCGTCAAGCAAGCTGGAGGGGCGCCGGAAGACGAGCTCCAGCAATGGCAGATGATGTATGACAGGCTCTTTGATTCTCTTCAAGGGCACTGGATGGAATGTTTCCCCCCCGGAATGTTTGTCGATGACGTCTACGTCTGGCAATTTCTAGCGAGTATTGCGGTTGGAGCCAACATGCATCAGCAGCAAGCACTAGTGACTGCAGTAAAGCAAGTCTCTTCATTCCCTCTTTAAACAAGTGTTTGCCTCTAACATACCCTGTTTTGTAGGGACCGAGTTATGGAGAATGTGAGGGCAAGTAAAACCTTACCGCCCGAGCTCGGTGCACAAAAGAGTGCAAATGTGAATCTCTTTATGAGAGCTATCGGACTGGATGTTGAATTGCTTGGGTAGATGTGTCGGGGCGCTCGGTGGCTGCAAATAAGTATAAATTTCTGGCATGGGGTAGAAAGTCTAATCTCTCACAAAATGTTGCTGTCTGGTGATTGCTTCCCTCAAATATATTTGGGGGGAGAGTTACTATGAAATAAAAGGCGGTCACATCTGGGTAAAGGCGTCCTTGGTTTCTCGTTCAATCTCTGTTGAACGCGGGGGGGTTGCTGATATATATTTTTGTTTTTCACTCTTTTCTGTATCCCGATCGCTGGTTTGTGTTGGCCTCTCCTGGGAATTTTGTCTGAGAAGGCATTTTATATTGTACAATGTCTTCCTGCTGCGCTTATCAGAGCTATTGATTGGGCCAAGTGGATATTGGTGGAGTGCGAAGAGTATTGCTGGTATGGGTGTTGATTTAACATCTGCGGGAGTTGCTGTATTGTTTGCAATTTCTAATGACGGGTGGGAATGTCATGGGCGAGTGATGCGATGAGATTACGCTTTGTGTGGATCCGCACCAAAGTTAGTAGTTTTCGATATTTACGATGCCAAAGGCCTTTTGCTGAAATGCGTTTCGATTAAATAGCGGTAGTACCGGTAGCGGAGGGGCACTTTTGGAAAGACGAATTCCTGATGACCAAGGTCAAAGAGAATGAAGCATTGCCAGAGGGGTGCAAGTCTTGGCATGTAGACTAATCCCTAGCCCTGAACTGAACCACCAACTTTCATCCTAGCACCTCAAAGCAGCAGGAGCTTCCTTCAACTCTCGCAAGGCGGTGAGCCCACTCACCAACAACAACACGGTCAAAACCATAATCCTTCAGCTCGCCCCACGATCCTACTCCTAGCCCCCAATTCTTCCAAAAAGTTACACAAATCCTCCCACCGCCCGTCTCAATTACGTTTAATAATGCCGTACAACTCGTCCGCAATACCCCCTTCCGAGGAGGTTACCGGCCATTCTGCTCTCCCCCGTGAGCTATTCGCAAATTTTTATTCCTTCTTGCCCGTTACCCACTAACGCATCGTAGTCTCCCGGGTTAAGAAAATCATAAGACTCGACGACGATGTCAACGGTTGTTCCAACAATGCTGCTTTCCTTGTTACCATTGCTGCTGTGAATATTTTCCCTCCCACCCTCCAAATATGCCCTCGAACACAGCGAGGTTGACGTTCTACAAAGGAAATGTTTGTCCAGTACCTCGCAGAGCAGGGGCTCAAAATGACCTATAGTGACCGAAAGCAACGGAAGACAATGCAGTATAAAGACCTGGGTAAATTACGTCCTTGTACGGTTTCTATTGAAATTTCCTAACGGGAGATATAGCTGCCGCTGTAGCCAGAGTAGAAAACCTCGAATTCCTCGCAGATGTTATCCCGCCTACGGTGCCGTACAAGCAGGTTCGGGAACGGAAGAACAAGACGGTTAAGGACGCCGAGGCCGGCCAATTGACGCTGAACGGGCAGAGGATATTGCCAATAGGATCATCAAACGGTCGTAAAAAGGGTTCCGCAGAGACTGACACTATCGCCGCCGCTGGCGGTCGGGAGAGGGGGGTTAACGGAGATAAGGGCAACGAGATAGAAATGAGTTAGGTCCCTTTTACGACCGGGATGGGTCAGGGCTTGCTTGATAGGGGCGTATTTCGCGAGATCTCCTCACATCCACTGATAGACAGAAAGTAGTGCTTGGGCGGGTTCATGTGATGAGGATACGCGGAATTGGGAGGGAGTAGGCTGCGTTTTTCCTCCGCCCCCGGGAATAACTCTTACCCCTGTTTTTGCTATCCCGATTGGAGTTTTTCTCCGGCGAGTGGTTTTACTTTCCTTTTGGCTGATGGGATTTTAAAGTGAGGACTGGCGGTGCGCTTCTACTTTGGTCATAACGAGATAGATTCTCTCCCGCTCGGTAGTTAACCCCATAGTTAGCTAGCCTCACAAACACATGCGAAGAATCGACCGCCAATTCTCAAGATTACTCCCTTTCACTTTGGAAGCAGCAATTGACACAAATCCCCTTTTACCCAATGCCTGTGGTGAGATTTATAAGGATCCAGGATCAATCAAAAGTCGCTCACGTGCAGCCGCGCCGCAGGTAGCAGGTAGCCGACCAGCAGAAATGATCGCCGGCGACGGCAACACGTCATGTCCCATCCAATTCGTGCGTGCTGGACTAGATAAGATCGATCAGATAAGCTTGAGTGAGAAGAATTGGGAAAAAGCGCGAAACTAGCCAGCCACCCCCCCCGTCCGACTTACCCACTCCGGGTAACCGAAACAATCGTTTCACCAATTTGCCATTTCCCCTTCCATCTTATCATCCCACAGGCAACCCCCACTAGGATTCATTCACCTCACATCCAATTCGCAACCAAAGAAACCAAACTCCCCTCCCCTCATCCCATCCCACCCGGTCTAAGCAAGGGCAAGCAGGGAAGTAAACAAATGAACTGCCTCCGCACAACCGCCGCACGAGCCCTCCGCCCGCGCACAATCGCTCCGCTGACCACGGCCCGCTATGCCGGCGGAGGGTCCACATCCCACTTCGATGACAGCAGCGTGTACAAGTCACCCTTTGCCGGTCCCGGGCCCCGCGCCACAACAAGCATCCCGGACTTCAGCAAGTATCGTGGCGGGAGCACCTCGGGGAACAAGGTCTTTGGCTACTTCATGGTCGGCACGATGGGGCTTTTGTCCGCCGCTGGGGCGAAGGCAACTATTCAAGGTCCCCTCCTCCCCTTTCTTCCGCCTCTATCTGCCGCCAATCACCGCGCTAATCGATTCTCTGGCACAGATTTCCTGGTAAACATGTCGGCATCAGCCGACGTCCTAGCCATGGCGAAGGTGGAAGTGGACCTCTCCGCTATCCCGGAGGGCAAGAACGTCATCATCAAGTGGCGCGGCAAACCCGTCTTTATCCGCCACCGCACGCCCGACGAGATCGAGGAGGCCAACGCCGTCAAAGTGGAGTCCCTGCGCGATCCCCAGACCGACGCCGAGCGCGTCAAGCAGCCCGAGTGGCTCATCATGTTGGGCATCTGCACGCACCTGGGCTGCGTGCCCATCGGCGAGGCCGGGGACTATGGCGGGTGGTTCTGCCCTTGCCACGGATCCCACTACGATATCTCGGGCCGGGTGAGGAGGGGGCCTGCTCCTCTTAATATGGAAATTCCGGAATACGAGTATGTCTCCCCCTTGTGATGATGGCAATTGGTGGCTGCAGCGGGACTAACGAGATGTGTAGCTTCCCCGAGGAAGGAAAACTCATTATCGGGTAGACGGTTAGATCATCACCTTACCTAATGATTTGAAAATAAAGAAGGCCCGTGGATGACTTGGGAATGGAAATGGGAAGGGATTTGGATGGTGGGGGTATTTGGTATTATTATTTTTTATAGAGCGACAAGACACTTTTTTTTTTGTAGAAATCAATTCATTCTTCTTTGATTCCCACATTATTATCATTTCCGGACCCAGAAAATAAAAATAAGAATTAAAAAAAAAACTAGAAAAAAAAGAGTATTTATTGGTAAAGTATAGCGCAAATTTTCTCGTCTTCACCCCCACCAAGATCTGTCTAAAATGATACCACATTACAGCGTACTAGGAATCACATGAAACACCCATTTTTGCAGGAAACCAAATCTTCACATCACCAGCATCACTGCTACGGTACTCGTACAGTGCCAACAGCCTGCTAATTTGCGCCAACCACCAATTCAACATGCGGAGAAAAAACTACAGGTATCACAAACTGTATATCTATCTAACCATACTTAATAGAGCCGTTTTACCATCACATATAAAACACTGCACAAACTAACATCTACCGCACCGTGCCAAATCGTCCCTCTTTCTCGCTCGAAGGAAAAAGGTATCCGTTAAGCCCAGGGGAAAAAGGGGAAAAAGGGGAACGAGTAATAATAATAATAAAAAGAAGAAGAAAAAAAGAAGAAGAAAAATGAAAAAGAAAAATGTGAAGAAGAACCACATGCCCATTGGCGCACGACTCTGACAGACAGCACAAGGTGAAGACTATATATTTCAAAGCCAACAAACGCATGGGAAAACCACATGGAAAACAAAAGATAAAAACTTCACCCAATTCTCCTTTCAAGGGTACATACGAAACACCATGCAATTTAAAATTAAAGTTTCTCTTTTCTTTTGGAGGAAGAAAGAAAAAAGGGAGAAAACAAAAAGCAATATTGTGTAATAGTCTGAGTGCGAACGGAGATCGTTTCTCTAGTCTGATACAAAAGCGTTTTCCCCAACGCAAGCCAAAGTCTGCCGATGTATAGGCACTAAGTGAGAAAGAAAGAAAGATGTATGTACGGAATTTTCGAAATGGGTTTGATTTTCATTTTTTAAGAATTCCACTACGTCGGGTTCCCACACTGAGAGCTTCTTCCCGCGCTTAAAGGAAGTAATCGGGAGTTCCTATGACATAGTGTTAGGGAATGCACTGTAAACACAATTGTTGGTTTTTAGTGAAGGGGGCATACGTCTGGAAACCATTGGCTCCCCAGCCCTCGGGCAAGGGTCGAATTGCAAGCTATGCTCCGGTTAGCGCATTGTGGCTAAAGATCAAAGATGCGGGGCGGTTACAAAGTGTATTTCAGATTCTCGTCAATCTCCATAATAGCCGCCTGGTTGCCGCACCTATAACAGTAATTGGGGGCTGCGGGGACAGTCAGCGATAAATCTCGCAATGGATAAGGTGCATATCTCGCCTGAGAAGATGGTAACTACGTTACGGTCTTGCGACCAATTGTATCCCTCCATAACCAGCTGATGCGCCCTCGCAACCAGTGTAAGGCCGTTATTATGATTAAACGCTTCGGATATGTCCTGACCAAATGTATAACCAGCCCCGCGAGGAGATATCCCCCACCCACAACGGTCATCTGGGTCAGACCACAGCAGGTCACACATGGGACCTTCATGGGGCACCTCCTGAATGCGATCCAGTGCCCGGATGTTATCAAGGGTATCGATGCTCGGGGACAAACCGCCATGGAGACAGAAGATTTGGTTATCGATCAAAGCAGTAAGAGGAAGAAAATCGAACAGGTCCGTGAAAAGCCTACACATCGTCCCCGTTAGCATAGCGGTGGAGGGTACGGGGTGATGGGTAAGAGGGCTAGGTTGCCACCAGCCACGGGCTGGGCGATATCTTACTTCCAAACATTTGCGTTCCCGTACTTGCGCAAGCACTCGTCATAGAAACCGTAGACTTGTGTGATCTGCCTGGATTCGTGATTGCCCCGCAAAATTGTAATCCTCTGGGGATATCTGATCTTCAACGCAACAAGCAACGTGACCGTCTCGACCGAATAGTATCCACGGTCGACATAATCACCTGCAAGAACGCATATCAGACTCTACCAAAAATGAACGCATCGCACCCCTTTCGACGAGTGGGGCCCCACGAACCCATAAACAGATAATTGGTGTCAGGGTTAGGACCACCGATCCTGAATAACTCCATCAAATCGTGGAATTGGCCGTGAATATCACCACAAACCGTGACCGGGCATCTCTGCAGCAGAGTGTTTCAGCTCACCGATCAAGACAGGGGGAGAAGTTGTAAGGCGGGGAAAGGTCACGCCAAGGGTAACGTACCACAGGCTGCACATTTGACTCGTCTTGAAGTATCTCTCTCGCCTGCAACAACAAGTCAGGAACCGTTCGATAAGGCGCTTCCCACCAGCTAGCTCATAGTGACGCCTCGAGGTGGTAGCCGGGACGTACCTTTTCACAGAGCCTCTGTACATCTACCTCGTTTAGCTGCTTGCATTGCATCAAGGTCTCGATCCATCCATCCAGCTGGTTAATAGATGAGGGGTCGGCGACAGCTATACTAGACGGGGGAGGGGTCTTCCCAACATCCTCCATTTTGGTATCCATCTTCTGGTATTTCTGTTTGTTAAAAATCCGGTGAATAAAGTAAGAGAGGGCAGACGATTTTTTGCTGGGAGTCGTGGTAATGGAATGGTCAGTCGCGTGGGATGTATTTTATCTCTCTTTTTCTTTTTTTTCTTCTCTTTTTTTCTTTTTGACGATGATAAGTTACTGTGCAGAGGTCTTTCTCTAAGTAGCCAACCAACAATGTTTATTCGAGCGGGTCGTTTCAAAGAAGAAGGGGAAGGTGGGGTGGGAGGAGATTTCGGATAAGGGGAGGCAAGTGTGAAGCAAAGGTGCGTGATGGTGAGTTGACGATAAGCAGTCTTCGAGAAGTGAAAGATGGTTTGCTGCTCGTCAGTGTTGATGTTGGAGGGGGGGGGGAAGGGAAGAGTGGAGCGAGTGCGGGATGGGAAAGAAGCTGATGCGTGAGGGGTACAGTAGGAATTCTATGGAATGCTGTTCGTGGGGGAAGGCCTGGTCAGGCTGTGGGTCTAAACGTCGGTCGTAACTCGCAAGCGACCGGATCGAGGGCAGATCAATGAAGGAGGAGGGTGCGCTCTGTGGCCGTGCAGAGTGGGTAAGGATTTTTAGAGTTGAAACTTGAATGGACGCCACAATCGCCCGCGCCACGACCACCAGCCCTTTGACTTGTAACTCGCATTCGTCCCTCCCTCTCATCAATCGTCATTCGACGGCAAAGAGCTGATTCGTTGGTGGGGGAGGTTAAATTATGACAACAACGAGTCTAGTACTCGTACGGCAGCCCCTTAAACCACTCCTCCGGTAGCCTACTAATAGTATCATAATAATAATAATTGACATATCTCCCCTTATCCCCCACATCCATAACCACCGACCGCCACTCGCCCACTACCATTGATCCATGATACTCTACCCTACTCCCCAGTACTCGTACGGTCCCGGCACCGGTGCAGTCCAGTGCACCACCTCAAGCCATCCATCTATAAACAATCCCCCACAAAAGTCCTCCCGATCCCATCGGCCGATTCCAAACCTATCTACCTATCTACCTACCTATTTACCTCCTCCTCTCTATACGTGTATCCTGCCAAAGGCGAAAATTTCCTCCTCCTTCTCCTCCCACTCCTCCGCCTCCTCTGTAAATCCCGATTACTCGAGGGCATAATGTTATCGTAGACTTTGAAAAAAGAAAGAAAGAGAGAAAGAGGGAAAACAACGTGCTGCATAATCTAGCCGGAACAGCCCCTCTCTCAAATAATCTCCTCCTCCCGAAAGAAAAAAGAAAAAAAAAAACCTCTCCTTTCTCGCCATATTCCTCCAAATATCATATCTTGCTCGGTGTATCGGTTGATTGATTGATTGATGCGTTCCCGAGACACGTGCCGATATATGTAACTTAATCTCACCCGTGGGAGTACAGTAGAGGTAGGTTAGATATTATATAGTCTAATACCGACCGAAACTTCTAAATCGAGGATAAGCTATGATACCCATAATAGTAATAATAATAATAATAATAATAATATACTTTGACCATAGTATATCTACATTAGTAAACTATACCAATTAGCACCGTCCAGTCACTAGCATCGCCATATCGCACCCACGCACCGTATCGTAACCCGTTCTTCATTCTCTCACCCGTGGGACACTTCTCTTCTCTCCCCACACAAAGGAAAAAAGAAAG